TTACATTCACGCCCAATTTTATATCCCTACATCTTAATTAATTTATTATATAATAAATTAAACGACTCTCTAGCCTCCTTCTAAGCCTCGTATTTAATTTTATAGAGGTTCTTAAATTCGTATAATATCGAATTAATTATTTACTTTCGATTAAAACTAACTATTTTAAATCAAAAAGTATTAATAGGCGTAGTGGCAGGCATAGTAATAAGTATAAATAATTAGCAATAGGAGCTAATGGATTAGGACTGCAATTAAGATTATGATTATAATTAGGATTAAGAAATACCGTAGTTAATTAACCACTCTATAAAAGAAGTAATTCGAAATAGGGTAGGCATACTAAAAATAAAAGTAATATTTAGCTATGGGAATCTTCTAATAATATAAATATAAATAATAACTGTAATAAAATATTATTTCACAGATTGCTAAAATAAATTACGTTTTACCCTCGAAATATTATAATATTTAAATAACGTAATTGAATTCTCGTAATTACTTCTCTTTAAGATAATATAGTCTTAATAGAGTGTAATACTTTTTTTATTCTTCTTTCATGTATTAATTAACTAATTTACGTATTATATAATAATATTAAGGTCTATACCGAAGAGGTTATATTCGCTATAGGCTATTTTTATAAAATTGCCTTCTATTTTCTATACTTTAATTACGAATTCAATATTAAAATTACTATAGTCCTCTATATCGATACTACTGCTATTGTCTTTCTTAATTTGAATACGGTCGGTCGAAACGAAAATAAGCAATTTATTAGGCTGTATAAGGAAATTATTAAAATAGGTATCTGCTACCTATAGTCCGTTATATATAAATAAAATATATAGAAAGTTAGGGATTGGGAGTAGCCTTCGAAGTATTATTACGGTATAGGATTTTTAAATTAATTACTAACGAAATAGGAGAATAGAAAGTATAGTATTAGTTTGCTCGTTAATTTCGACTTTATTCTATAACTTCTATAACGAATATATATATTTTTCGTATAATTTACGGCTATTATTTATAATTGGTAATAAACGGTCTTTATTTTTATTATCGGTTAGGGTTTTGTAGTGGGGAGGTTATTGTTTTTTAATTTAATAACGTAATAATTTAAGAATTTAATTATAGTTTTAAAGGGAGGCGGGAATTCGAGAAGACGAAGTAATGGCGGGAATTCGAAAGGTCGAAGGAGTTTGAAAAATCGAAGGAATTAGAGGAGGAGCGGTCGAAGTAGTTAGGGGAGTAGTCGAAGGAGTTAGAGGGGGAGTAGTTGCTAGGGAGGAAATTAGAAATTTAAATATAATTTGTAAATTATTCGAAGAGGCGGCGGGTATAGAGGAAATTATACGTTGTTTACTAATAGTATTAACTTTCCTCAGTTTCGAAGTATTATTACTATTTAATGTAGAATTATTATTTTGAATAATAATATGTAAATTAAATTTAATTAATTAGGTTAATTAAGATTTTATAATAATTATATTACTTATAGTACGTGCCGTTCGAATAACAATCCTCTCGTTATTTCTATTTCTATTTTCTAAACCGGCGTTTATACGAGTTATACGGGTATTAGGTATTAAAAGCTATTTCGATTGTTAAGGTTCATCCCCGTCGTTAGAAAGGGAGTGTTTAGGAAGTATAATTGAAGCGGGAGCGGGCGCGGCGGTACTTAGTATAAATTGTATATGGTATAGACTAGCTTATTGATTAGGACCCTTCAGTATTAACCTTAATCGATTAGGAGGATTTATACAAGTATAAAGTAATAATCAGATTGTAAATACCCTTAAGATTGGTGATAATATAGGCGTTTGAAGATTTTACTATTGTTACGTATCGACGGATTTACGATATGTGTGTATTTGGCGGCTCAATTCAAAAGTGGGGACTGACACCGCGTTTTCAACGCACAGCAGCGATGACCAAAGATCTACTCTTTGAGTTAAGTCGTTCAGGAATCAGGAGAGCCAAGAAACATAAAACTGGAAACCCTTTTATTCGACAATGGCTGTTTCTCGGTTGGCCAAATTTCAAACGGTCAGAATGGGCAGTCTTGGGGTAAATTCGCCCACCGCCATGTGGCCATCCCCTTGGTGATCGCTTGGGATGGGCCGGACTGGAGCGAGGAACTGGAGACAGAAGGGCGATTGTCGAAATGCAAAGGGTGATGGTGTCCAATGGTGTCCGCCTTTTTTGCTCCGTTGAGGTTCCATACCATGCCAGGCCGGCCTCCATCCCTGCCAGGTACGATGCCACTAGAGGCCAGGGGCAGACGTCGGATGGAGATGGATCAATCTCGAGGGGGTGGGCGATGTTACGCTCTTTCCACAGTCAAAATGGTGCATGAACACTGCAGCCAGAGCAGCATCCACTCGCAATGTTTGGAACCAGGAGCCAGGCACAGGGCAAGGCAGCCAGTCGCAAGCAAAGGAGAGGAAGGGCAAAGCCGTATTAACACAGGTTCCAAACAGGACGAAAAGGGTCATTCATGGCCGCATGGTCGGCATCCAAACGAGGAGTCCATCCATCGTCCCAAATGGAAGGCCAGCCCAGGGTCTGTTGCGTTGCCCCACTTGCATGCACGCAACGGCAGCCTGTGATTAGCCAGAGTGCCATCGCAGCTGGAGAGTGGAGCCATCTCACTTTGGAGTTTGGAGAGTGCGCGGTGGGTCTCTGCTTGGGTCGCTGCCCCCGAAATTCCAATTCACTGATCGGAGTCTACTGTGCACCTGCCCGCTGCCTGTAGGTCTGGTGTGAGTGCGCACCATTTCACTCTTCGCACCCCCCCGACTCACATTAACACCAGCCGACCTCCCATCCTCCACCAATTCCCCAATCTTTCCCTCCCTTTCGTTTTCCGTTTTCCGGCTCAACACCCTTCCTCCCGCAACCGCGAATTGCTGAGAGAGTCCAGCAGCAACTCTACTCTCGGCCGCCTACCTCGCGACAACAATTCCCTATCATATGGTCTCGACGACTATCTAATTATCGAGCTGCACCCCGTCTCTCCCTTTCGCACCAACCGATCCGACGCTCCCCTTCCAATCAAGTGCGGTTCATTGAAGGCCTAATTGCAATTGCGTGGTATACTGCCAAAAAGTGAGTAGCTTCGCAACACGCACTCCAGTCCAGCGCAAGAGAACGCCATTGCACCCCGTTATGTCCTCTCGCCTCGTCGTCGTGCCCTAAAAGGCTGTCCTGTTTGCTGCCCATCAATTCGCATCGGTCTTCCTTTCACCGAGCGCTGCCATCCCCGACAATCGACACCTTCGGAACTGCATCGACCATCGAGCCGACATCCAACATTTGTTTGCGGATTCAATGGGCGCCATGCCAGCGACTCGAGGTTTTCGGGGGTTGTGGTTCTAGCTCGTTTCTGGAAGGGCATCCGCTATTTTTCGCAGCGGAGACTCCAGCTCCAGATTGGATTGCCTCCCCCAGAGACCAGGGGGTTCTCGCCCCCTAACACTTACAACAAAATTACAAATCGCTTCGCAACGTCCGGTTCGTCTCAATTATTGCTCTGATACTAACCTCAAACTCGCTCGCCAGACCGTCGATAATAATCCCCGAATAACGAAACAGCCACTCTCTATCATCGCTAAGAGGTACAACAAGCCGCAAAAATGGGTTGCGGAATGAGTACAGAGGACAAAGAGGGCAAGGCCCGGAACGAGGAGATTGAGAACCAGCTCAAGAGGGATCGCCTGCAACAACGCAATGAGATCAAGATGCTTCTTCTGGGTATGTCTTGTTCCCGACAAGCCAATTGCTGGCGCATCCCTGATCCGGACCCTTCGGTCACCAATCAAATCTCGCGGAAGCTGACAATATGTTGCAGGTGCTGGTGAATCCGGAAAGTCGACCATCTTGAAGCAGATGAAGCTTATCCACGAAGGAGGTTACTCGCGCGACGAGCGCGAGTCGTTCAAGGAAATCATCTTCAGCAACACTGTGCAGTCCATGCGCGTCATCCTCGAGGCCATGGAGTCCCTAGAGTTGCCACTCGCCGACCAGCGCGTCGAGTACCACGTCCAGACCATCTTCATGCAGCCCGCTCAAATAGAAGGCGACGTGCTGCCTCCTGAGGTTGGCAATGCCATCGAGGCCCTCTGGAGGGACGCTGGCGTCCAGAGCTGCTTTAAGAGGTCAAGGGAATACCAATTGAACGACTCGGCAAGATAGTAAGTTCTCGCTTCATGGGGGAGGCTCTGGTCTCCAACCGCTAACATGTTGTCACAGCTACTTCGATAATATCGCTCGTATCGCCGCGCCGGACTATATGCCCAACGACCAGGACGTTCTGCGATCACGTGTCAAGACAACCGGTATTACGGAAACGACCTTCATTATTGGCGATCTTACGTACCGTATGTTCGATGTCGGTGGACAGCGTAGCGAACGCAAGAAGTGGATCCACTGCTTCGAGAACGTCACCACCATTCTCTTCTTGGTCGCCATTTCCGAGTACGATCAGTTGCTTTTCGAAGATGAAACCGTCAACCGTATGCAGGAGGCCCTCACGCTGTTCGACTCCATCTGCAACTCCAGGTGGTTCATCAAGACATCCATCATCCTCTTCCTAAACAAGATCGATAGGTTCAAGGAGAAGTTGCCTGTCAGCCCGATGAAGAACTACTTCCCCGATTACGAGGGTGGTGATGACTACGCCGCCGCTTGCGACTATATTCTCAACCGCTTCGTCAGTTTGAACCAGCACGAGACCAAGCAGATCTACACGCATTTCACCTGCGCGACGGATACCACACAAATTCGCTTCGTCATGGCTGCGGTCAATGGTAAGTTTTCTTCCTCCGAAACTTCGCCTGGACAAGAAACTAACGGACAACTACAGATATCATTATCCAGGAGAACCTGCGTCTCTGCGGTTTGATCTGAGCCTTGATCACAGTCTTTCTAATTTTTCATTAGTTAATGGGGCTATGAGGTCGGGCAAGCGGTTGACGCCGATCGGTGCTTCGAGTATTGCCGCCCAACCGTTACCACTGGCTCCATGCCCACAGTTTCTGCCTCCAGATAATGATCTAGCGGAGGCGGCGTGGGCTCTCGAGAGGATATGAGCTCTACATACAACCTCGGGGGCGTCCCTGGAGAAATTGCATTTGAGAAGCATCATCAAGAGGGGGGCTAACTATTTTGTTTAATCATGATTCCCCATCGACCTTGGAGTCTTTGCTCTCTATCGGTGTTCTGTACGATTTCTTTTCCCCCCATCTTTTTTCTATCCCCTCCTATCCGGGCGCTTTTCACCCTGCTCTTTCACCCCAGGGACACCGCGGCTGCTATGGAAAAGCAAAAACCCCTCTCAACAAAAGAAATGGATGATTTTGGCGTGCGTGCTTTTTTCAATCAATCATATTTCGGGTGTTCTTTCATGAGCGGTGTGGGGGAAAGTAGTGGGATTCAAGCCCACGGGTTCTGGGGAGAGGATGTTGGAACCAAGCAGGTCGCTACCAATCGGAAGGAGGGTAGAGAAGGGAAGGACAAAGAAAGAGGAGGGGTTACCAAAACCACGACGGACGAAGAGATGAGCGACGCCCGTTTCGTTCCGCCATTTTCCCCTCTGGCTGAAAGAGGGCAAAGGGAAACCAAAGGGTGGGAAACGTTGCGGCGCGCGCGTGTTTGAAGCAAACGATATACCAAGACAAGCAAGGTCTCTTTTCCTTTTTTACTCTACTTTTTCTGCTTTTCCAAGAAAGTTTATTCGTGTGATGTGTTATCTTTGTTTTGCACGCGGCGTGGGGGAGGGAGCAATGGCGGTCCGGGTTTCCTATGGACAACGCAACGGTTGGATTTGTCTTGTCTGTCTATACCATACCAATACCGACATTGAAACGCGATTGACTTGAAAGAAAAATATGATTCTATGATCTACTGATGACCGTGATGCGATGTGATGTGAAACTTGCAAGGCCAACGGCGTAATTTGACCTACCAAAACAAACGTGGTGTGTCCGAAAAGGGAAACCACAGCAAAAGGTAGCACGACATACGGGAAGGAAACTGAAATGTCCAAATGGAATAGGGTAATATAATCGCCACGAGGGAACGAGGAAACGAGGGAAGGGAAGGAGGAATCCTTTTGTGTTACCAATAAAAGTCATGCATTTTCTCGGGTAGCAAACATGACAGGAAGCACCCGACGCTAGCTAGAGGTAGGAAAAGATCTGACAGACTAATAAGAATAGGATCACTTGGGCTTGTACACACCACATACCTAAGATGGCGTTTCTCGGAACAGGTAAGATTACTATTCAAGTTTGTGGTGATCTTCCGAACGGGAATGTCGAATTTGGTAAGCAGTTCGTCAGACTTCTTTCCTCACCTCCGGCGGGAAAATTGGCCATGTCTTGTCATGGTCCTCTTGACTCAAGTACCGCAGAGTAAATCATCTTGGAAATAAATCTTTAAGAGATCCAGCGTGGAGAACAGCCAGATAGCTGACCGACCTCCTGCCACCGGATCTAACTTGTGCTGCTGTCGCCGATGTTGTGCTTAATCTACCTAGGATGACTTAAGAGCTGCACATCGTGTTCATATGATAGATAGCCCCTTAACTTGCCGAATTATGAAACGTTACTAGAGGTAGTAATAGCCACATTGCTTAGTTTCGAAGCAGAGGGTTCAGTATCTGGGCAAATCTGGCTCGTCGTACCTTCCACACCATGGATCTTCTTCCCTAGGTAGGTAGGTATGGAACATAGTCATGAGTTCCCTCTCGGGAGTTGAGACGACCGCTGCTATGCGTGGATCTCTCCTTCTCCTACCGCCGCCCTCTCCTAGCTTATCCGGCCAGAAGAGCCGAGATCTGGAAATCTGATACTGCCCTCCGCGGCTGCCCATAGACATGGTTCACAGTCTATCCATACGCACCTACTCTTGTTTCTCTTGGTGAGCAGTGACACGATTTACATACCTCAACCTCAGACAAAGGAAGGAAGGATGATGATGGCATTGTCAATAGTAACTCTCCTACAGTGAGTGGCATTTAAGCATGGCCTACAAACTTCCGCCGCCGCTAGAACATTGACCTATGTTGTCGTTGAAGAAGACGCTTCAATCTACCGTATATTCCTAAAGAAAACTCCGTCAGTCATGTATGACACTCTTTCGCCCCTAAAGACCAGTCAGCCAGTCAGTCAGTCAGTTTTCATGAAGCATTTTTACTAGACGTATCTCCCTCCTCTATCCTACACCGTCCTGGATTCATCCTGAGTTTTTCTCGCGCCACTCCTCCTCGCCGGAAACCAGATATCATTCATCGGAAATATCAGTCACACCTATCGTATCGAGTAGCAACCGCCCGGAGAAGGGCTTACACCCGTTTTAATTGAGGACAGTTCATCAACGAACTTGAACACTTGTGGACCGATAAATGGTTATGTTACCCGCTCGACCTACCAGTACTTGTCCTCTTGAACCGACGAGAACACCCTCGTCGGAGAAGGAGAAGGACTACAGCAAGACCACAATGGACCATAACCATCATCATATTGAGCTTCTTCACTTCTTCCCTGGTCAGAACCTCCACTACCAACGCCATCCACCCTCATTACGGGCACCACCGGCTTTCGAACAAGACCGAGACCCAAAACCAACCGATACCCTCCGGGTTCTTCGTCGAGTGATGGACACCGCTACCACCGTCACTATCCCCCCGGTTACCGGCAATCATTTACAAGTAACACCACCAGCTTCAACTACCTTTTCAACAACCAGCTCTTCAACAACCACCAACCCTAGTACCTTCGTCGATATTACCACCACCGCGGCCACCCCAGTCCTAACCACTGCCACTACCGCCCCCAAAATCAACACCAACACCAACACCAACACCAACACCAACACCAACACCAACACCAACACCAACCACCCCTCCCAACCCTCCCAATCCTCCTCCGCCCACACCACCACCACCGCCGCCTCCCGCCACGAAATCATCCTCCTAGCCCTCGGCATCTTCATCCTAGTCGCCCAACTAGCACTAATCATCTGGGTCGGCGTGCGTCGACGGCGGTTTTCTTCTTCGGGTTCCGGAACTTCGGGTTCGGGTGCTTGTGCGTATCATCATCAGTGGCATAGGGAGAATTGTCCTAGGGAGTTGAATGGGTTGCAACTCGATGGACGGGGAAGCGGTGGAATGGGGCATGGGCATGGGCATGAGAATGGGGGGGAGTGTTTGTGGAAGGAGGCTTTTGGGAGTGTGGGGGAGAGTCCGACGAGTCCGGGGGGTTGGAGGGGTGAGAGGAGTTTGGGGTTGAGGGTTGGGGAGGGGGTGGAGGGGGTGGAGGGGGTGGAAGGGGAAGTGGAAGGGGAAGTGGAAGGGTCTGGTTCCGGGACTGGGACTGGATCGGGGTTTGATGAAGATTTGGGTGAGAATGAGAATGCGGGTGAAGGTGTTGGTGAGGGTGTACGCAGCCGGGGCAACTCTGTTGTTATCGCTGGTGCGCACGAGTTTGTTGAAAGGGTGAGGAAGAGGAGTAATAGCTTGGGCACGTTTCTCAAGGGGATAGGGGCAGGGAAAGGACAGCATGTCCAAGTGATACCTGAAGAGCAAAAGGCAGTGACGAGAAAGAGAAGCAACACTTTCACAATGGGGTTGGCCAGAAGAATCAGCGGTGGTGGTGAGACTGGCCTCAGAGAACGCAAGGGGTCTGCTGCCACTGCCACTGCCACGACCACTGCCAGGGAAGGAGATGTTGAGATGGGCGTTGGAAGGACAAGTGGGCTGAGTACAGATTTTGGAGGGAAATTTGATGGAACTGAGGAGCAAGATGGTGGTGGTGGTAGTGAGAGGAGGCGTGGATCCTGGGTGCAAGTTCTCGGGAGACATTCTGGGTTGGGAAATCAACTTGGGGTGCAGGATCCGGAGAAAGGAGGCTATTGGTATTGGAAATCCTGAGGGATCTTGGAGACAAGGTTGCCGTGGTTGGATACTTGGTATGACTGAAAACACGTCGTTGTTCCCGTGTGAACTTCAGTTGTTGGATTTGATTCCTTGTCGAATGTTGATGTGGTTTCAGCCCACTCTCTTGGCTAACTAAGAGACTCTCAGCAAAGTATAGAGTAAATAGATTGGTCTATTGTTCCTGTCAGTCGCTCGTCACACAAACCAGAACAACCACAGCAATTGCATGTCATCCACGCCCATCTCTCTTCGGCTCTCTCCTACTCTATGTCGTTGAACGTTTTGGTTGTACACACAAAGGGAATAATCGTAGTCTCTTGCTTGTGGGGGAAATCCGCGGCTCCGTATCGTTTGTCTGGGTCTTTGGGTCTTGGTCTTTGGCGCATCGTGACTCCTCTAGCATTGTCTTGTCTCTTTCGCTCCCCGAACCTAAGAATGATAAGACATCCCTTCTTCCCCATTCGCCGTCTCCTCCAACACCGAGTACTCCGAACCAAGCTTTTTGATCTTCCTCCGATCCTCTTCCTTCTTCCATTGGCCGACTTAGGCCTGGGCACGGATCTCCCTGGCGGCCTGCTTCAGGCTGCTGTTGCACTCCTCATACGCGCGGCCGGCACCGAAACCGACGCCGACAAAGGCGGGCCACGCCCTCCGCTTGAAGACGAGGACGGAGAAGACGACACCGAAGCCGAGACCGAGGGTGGACTTGATGAGGAGGTTGGAGAGGCAGCGGTCCCACTAGCAATTGACACATTTGTTAGCAAGCCGACACAACGCAGATGAAGCTATCCAGACGGGACCCAATGCGGGGCTTTGCGCCCAAGGCTGTGGGAGCCCGAGGTTCGTGTCCGAGGCCCGGAGCAATTGTGCGATGGGGGAAGCTCACCTTCTCGTTGAGAAGGGCCTCGCTGACGGGGCGCGTAATGGCGCTCGAGGTGGGAGCGGCCACGGGGGAAGAGGTCGAGTCGGACATGGTGATGATGTGTGGGTTTGGGTGGTTTGAAGCTCTGCAGGCAAGGAAGTCAGAAGGAGGCGCGCGAAATCTAAAGTTGGACGAGGCACAATGGTTGGTTGCAGCTTGTTAGCGAACTATGCTTGGTCTGTTAAGCTAGTAGACCTGAGACACGGCAGCTACAGGTCCTGCCGATAGCTGTACCTTAGCTATGACATAGCATGGACATAGCATGGACAGAACAGGCCGGCAGCTACCTTGAGCTAAGGCATGATAGGTAGACATATGCTTTGAGTTGAGATGTCAGACGACATACATACCTAATGTAGATGCGTAGCGAGTGACCTCTGGACGAGGGTGGGGCAGCAGACGAAGAAAGATGAACAAGCGACCTTCAACTGTTAGCAGCAGACGTCGATGATGTTATTTTCCCTCGGGAGATGTTCCCAGGCCCGGCGAGCGGACCCCAGCAAGTGCCAATTGGTGCCTTCGTCCTTTCTTCGGCTGTCTCCGTCGTCACCCGAAGGCGGTGACCAGCTATCCAGTCTTGGCGCAATTGACCTTCTTCACACGGGTGGGTCCCGGCCAGAATTGGGACGGCAGAATCTTGGGAAATTTTGGAGATGGCGCTGGGCGGTCAACAGTAACACAGCTACACCTTCCACTAACACTTTGTCAACCATCACTCTTTCTCTGTTTGTCGCAACATGCATTTTGGCTTTTAAGATACCCAATTTCTACTTCAAAATGGGTGTAAAGAACAGTGAGGCTCGGGTAAGTTTAGGGGACATTTCATTAACAGCTTCCACTTCCCACCCTAGCCAAAATAGACCACATGCCACTAACACCATCACCACCACCCACAGACAGGCGAGGTCGCCCTCATCAAGACCATCCGCGCACTCGACGACGGTAGCTTCGACACTATCGGCCAAAGACTCGAGACAGTATGGAACACATTATCGAAACACAGGGGAGGTAGCTTCCATGCTGCCGAGGAAATGCTGCTGCGATGGCTCCTCAAGAACATGTCTGGATCCGCCACCATCAACGACCAAGTCCGACGCTTTCCCCTATCCTGGAACATCATGGGCGCAGTCTTCGCCTGGATCCCGCTTTTCTCCCTAGCAAAGTCGCTTGCCGATCGACGATTCATTGCTGTCCTGCAACAGACACTCAAGGACATCTCGACGCCACAGAGGCAGGCCGCGCAGGGCAAGAAGGGAGACTCAGACGTTGAGATGAAGGACGCCACATCAGATGAGACTACGCAGAAGTCGAGGAAACGAAAACGGACGACAGCCGCGAAATTCGATCTTACAAGTCAACAACAAGTCGCAGGATGCCTTCAAACCGCCGAGGCTGTCTTCGAAGCTCTCCGAATCCTTCTATCACGATGCGACATCAAGTCAACTGACGGGATGCCAAGTAACCGTATGGGTGCCGAACACATCAAGTCGCTCTTCTCTTCCTCTGCTTCGGATGTTATGCAGATGCTGGTCCCAGTCCTTTCCATCTGCAACTTTGCCGCGGAAAGTGACGAGCTTGAGTCATCGAAGGAACAAAGCACATGGATGTCCACTTTCTACACCCTCTGGGACCTCCACCTCCAAGGTCCCGAAGATGCTTCGGCCGTCGCTGTCTCGCTGTCTGGCCTGGGCGGCCATCTCCTCAGCAAATTGACGGCCACACCGCGCCACCCATCCCTTATTATCGACACCACCATACAAGAGCAATGGGCTCGGGACCTCCGTCGCTTCCTCACACGAAACATGATCCTCCCTGCACGAGCGGCTTTCCTGAACAACCGGGCTCAGGATATCATCCAAGTCGCTACCCAGATGTCCTCCGACTTCGCCTCTACCAACTACCCTGTTCTCTTCGACCTTGTCACTAGGGCACCGCGTGTGCTAAGCGAAAAGGCGACAAAGAAAGATTATGAGGAATGGATACAGGCTGTCTTTGATGGGATCATGGCAGCTTTGAAGGGTGCCGACGCCAGCAAGAGCCAACCTGCTGTTGAAGCTGTCCTGGAAATGGCGGCAGACCAGCAGCTCCCTCTATCAGCTGAGAGCTTGCGCTCCGTGTGCAAGGCATATGGGCTTCAAGGGAACAAGCTCAACTGGAAGCTGCACCTTTCCATTGCCAAGCTTAACCCGGATGTGTTCTTGGTTACGCAAGAAGGACAGGTGCTTCTTGACCAGGCTCTCGCGCACACTTTCTGCACTAGGGAGAAGGAGGCGGATAAGTTCGACAAGGCGACCGAGTTCCTCATCCACCTAGTCAATGGCCATGCTCGGGCTCGTGACCTGCAAGGATTCATCAAGACATGGCTCACCTACCTTGATAAGAACGAGCCGAGCGGGTTCCCTTGGTCAAGTAGTCAACTGGCGAATGCCGTGGCGAAAACCGCTGAACAGTCTATTACTGTCGGCCAGTTGGTGGATATTCTCAACGGGGTCGATGAGCAAAAGACGAAACAAAAGGGTGTCAAGATGGTCATTCTTGCGGCTATCGCAAACGGACTCTCCCTGGAAGCATACATAGATGCTGCCAACATGCGCACGTTCGAAATCGTCTCCAAGGAGAAGTTCGAGAAGAAGGAGAAGTCCGTCATCTCTACCGCTCGGTGGACTGTTGCTGAAAAAGCCATCAGCCGGGCGACGGTAGCAGATGCCAAGTCTGTCTGGGGAAGCGTTCACTCGGACCTGAAGTCTACGCTCAAGCGTTCAGAAACATATTCCCCAGAGGCTTTCGCTGCCTTCAGGTGTTGTGCGGCCGCTTGGGTGAAGCTTGTTGATGATGAAGATGCAGCCTCTCTTACTAGCTCGTTTGTTGACAAGCTAGACAAGAAGGATGATACCAAGGGTACCTCCAAGGCCAACGAGAGCTCTGTTAGCAAGAGCTCCTACACGACTTGGATCCTTGAAGGATGCCCTCACCTGGTCAGCCTTTTGACAAAGAGGCAATCCGTTTTCCCACCAACACTGATCAATGCCCTTACTCCTTCTGAAAAGGACGAAAGCCGGACTCTGGATAGCGTTCAGGCTTTGGCCCAGCAGATTCTGGAGAACCAGAACATTGTCGGTAACGAGAAGGTTATTGGTGGGTTGGTTGATAAGACCATTACGTTGATCGAGACCCCCAAGGACTCGGAGTCTTTGATCGTGGCGAGAGGCGCGATACAGCTTCTGCTTGAGGTGCCTATGGAGGCATTGACCAGACAACAGAGAGAATCCGCTATGAAGAGGCTGGTGTCTCAGGCCAAGAAGGTTGTGGACAAGCCTAAGCACGTTGATGCTCAGTATTGGTCGCTTGTGCTGAGCTTGATGACCAAGCTTATGTCCAAGCCCACGTTCTACGAGGATATGAAGTTCGATGACCTGGAGACCACTGGCAGGTGTATCCGGAAGATCTACAAGAAGTCCGAAGAAAAGGGGTCAACGGAGACAATCCTCCAAGAGCGGGAGTATTACCGTCTCTTGGAGGCGTTGGCTACGTCAACCATACGGTATGTCAAATCTGAGACGGTCTGTTAGAATAGTGCACTGACATGATTACAGGCAAATGTGTGTTGCCAACCCCGAGGAGCGTGAAAAGGCTTATATCGCTAATGCCTTGACCGTGCTCAAGTCTGAATGTGAAGAGGCCTACATCGCGCCGCGCCTCGTGTTGCTGCGTGTATTCATCTCTGTGGCCAAGGAGAACGAAAAGACCAAGGGTGAAGCAGACTCTCTTGACCTGCTTTCTACGGTCAAGCCCATCATCACGTCCAAGAAGTGGCGTGGAAAGCGGCTACTGCCCTTGCTGTTGGCTTTGGAAGCCACAAACGTCCTAGAGCCCAAGGCTGTCAAGAAGTTCTCTTCTGCGGTTGATACGCTGCTCAAGGCTAGCAACTGGCTCCTTGAACATGGCTACCAAGCTGGTTGGGAAGTTCGCACCTTCATCGCTAAGTACTTCAGGGAAGAGCTGGGCGCACCTCTTAAGATTGCCACCGACGCTCAACCGACAGCCGATGACAGTGAGGAAGAGGGCAATGACACTGAGAAGCCAGGCTCGGTGGCCGGAGCCTTTGAGAAGCTCTCAGTGCTGGAGTACGTCGATGTGGTAGTCAACAGCGTCGACGAAGACACCAAGCTCGGCTATCTCAAGGAGCTCCTCCTCGTGGAAAGCGAGACCTCTGACGCCAGCAGTCGTCTCCTTATCGTGGAGAGGCTGATCCAGCACATCAGCGGTACTCGCCCACCTGTTCGCGATGACCCCTCGCAGGGGCAGTTCGACCTAGCCCACGCCCACACCCTTCTCTGCAGCCGGCTCTCCCACGCAACCGCCTCCCCAGCACAGTTCATCCAGATCGCCAAGATCGTCCACCTCCTCCTCGACAAGAAGGCCAACTGCATGATACAATGGAACGTCGACTCGACCCTCAGCGCCGTGTCCGCCATTGCCTCCGACGCCTCGTCTACCACCATGCTCACCACCCACCCCAAGACCTACGAATCCCTCTGCCACCTCGTCGAGATCGTCATCAAGCGCCACAGAAAGCGTCTAGACGGACACTTCCACATCTTGATTCCCGCCCTGCAATCCCTCCTCCGCCGACTCATCTCTTCCACCTCCTCCACCTCCACCGCCCCTTCGCTTTTTTCGGAGTCAACAAAGGAACACCACGCCAAGCTTTTGTCGAGGCTCTTGACACTCATCACCGAACCAACCGTTGCTTCTGTCTCTTCTTCTTCCCGCTCTAACGCCGCCAAGGACCAAGAGCACCACAACCACCAACACCAACAACCTCTCGACAGCGAAAAGGACAAAGCCAAGCGCTACGCCGGCCAGCACATGTACCTGGTGCTGATGGCGTACGTGAAGCTGCAGCTGGAGTTTGTGGTCCCGCTGGTGGTCAGGCAGCAGCTGGAGACGGGCATGTTTAGTATTGTGGACATCACGCCGGCGGAGGGGGAGTTGAGGATCATGAATGATGGGATGGATCCTAGCGGACGGGTGATTTTCAGGGAGATGTATAAACGGTGGGAGAGGTTTGGGAAGTGGTCGGGTGTGTAATCAATCGGTTTTGGAAAGGTGTTGTTGGGATGGGATGGGATGTTGTATCGTATTGTACTGTATTTTGTGTATATATATGGAAAAGATACCAATTTTTACTGTTTTAAAACCCTACCTCGGAATGCTATTGCTTTTGGTCGGGTCGCTTGTGATATACCTAAATTGAATGAGATAACTAACGCCTTTATATAGCCTTCAATATCTCATAAACTTAATGTCCACCACGGAAGCTCTGATACACTCAGCTAGCTGCTAGAACCACCGCCCCTCCCCTGCTCCTGTAACCTCTGCCACTCCCTAGCAAACTCCCTCATGCCCCCTTCGCCCGCCATACTAGCGTCCACTACATCCTTCGGCATCTTATGCGCCGAGTACTGCGGCGAGCTAAAGTTGTACGCAGCCGGATCATCCTGCTCCACCAACCTCAGCTCAACCTCGTACTCCTCCTCTTCCTGCTCGTCATCCTCCGTCGTCTCATCATCGAAGTCATCCTCGCCCTCCTCTTCTGGTTCCGTAAGGTTATCATCTCCCCTACCAGCAGTTCCTGTGGTGGAAAACCGTAGCCTGACAGTCTTCTCCTTCTTCTCCGTTGGTGTTGACTCCGCCGTCCCCAACACAGGCATCTTCACCTCCGCCTCCAACAACTCCTCCCACCCAAACAAGATCGTATCCGTCCTCGGCGCCCACGGGTTAATATCAATCAACCTCGCCCTCGCCAATCTGCTTCTAGCCTCTGACGTCTCATCATCGTCGCTTTCCGAATCAGACCGGTACGCAGCTTCGGGGATGTAAACGTCAAACACAAACGACGAATCGGGAAACGTGTACTTGAGCTTGGTATCAAACAGCTCGCGACAGCGCGCGATGATGGCGGGCCGCAGGTTGCGCAAAAAGGCGTAGTAGTTGAGGTCGCGCTGGGTGATGGCGATCAGGTTGCGGTCTTTGACGAAGCAGCGGAATTCGAGAGAGGGGAGGGGGAGGAAGAAGGAGCGGAGGACGAGGACGGGTTGGAACAGATGTTGTGTTGTCGAGGAGGTTGTCGAGGAAGAGGGGCCGGGAACGCAGTCGTCGAAGGCGTGGTCGAGATCGTGGCTGATGAAGGACGACGATTTGAGCAGGATGTAGACGTCGTTGGCCGTGGTGCATTTCACCGTGTTGGGGTGGCGCGAGATCCAGGTCGCGTCCTTGGGCGAGGACCAGTTGAGCTTGGGGGCGGCGGCGCCGCCGAGGGCCTTGATGGCCGCGTTGATGGCGTTGTGCAGCTCGGGGAAGCGCTTGTTGGGCGGGAGCTTGGCGGGCGTGGAGTCCTCGTCGTCCGAGTCGGAATCGTTATCTGCGTCGCCGGGGTTGCGCGGAGGCGGGGGGATCTCGGAGGAAGGGGCGGTCGGCTCCCAGTCGTCGTCATCCGAGTCGTTCTCGTTGCCGGGCTCGTCGTCGGCCAGGATGATGCCGTCTTCGCGGATGTAGGAGATGAACTCCCGGCTGAGCGGGATCAGGCGCGAGCGGATGCACGAGGTGCGGTACTTGGGGAACCAGTAGTCGTAGGAGCAGTGCAGGATGTGGTCCCGCGTGACGGGGGGGAAGGTGATTTGGCCATCTTGTTGAGGCGCATTGGCGGCTTCTAGGATGCCCTCGAGAGCAGGCATGGTGGAGGAGTTTGTCGAGGCCGTGTTGAGGAGAGTTGGGAAGTCTAGCTGTGTTCGGAGTTGCGCAAAGAGGTCGTAAAGGACAGATAGAGCTATATAGCAGTTCGAGATACTTCAAATGACTCAGAAGTAGATTGCTGGAATATCGAAGAAAAAGATTGGATGCTGACAGATTCGCTGCGGGGCAAATGTTGAACTTTTGAAGATCCAACGGCAAAGGGGACTCTGCAAAGAAAATCGCACCCCGCAGGGTCGAGAATTCGAGAACGTCAGTGCCCCACTCGCCGTATGACTCCACATTCCAGGCTAGATCCGCAATTCTGCCGGCGCATTCCAACCTCAACTCCAGCTGTGAACTGTCAAACCTTCACCGCCTTCAGTTAGCGTTACCTCAATTGATCACCGCCCAGGACTGGCCAACTGCTTTCTTCCCTTTGCATCATCATCAACAAAAACATCATATCCCCGAAACTGACCAACAATGTCCGATAACGTCGGTCTTTCCACACCGCGTGGTAGCGGTACCTCCGGCTATGTCCAGCGTAACCTCGCCCACTTCCGTCCGCGCGACAACTTCCAGTCCTACCCGCCCAAGGACTTTGACAGCCTAAAACACCAACCGCGCCAGCCAGACAAGGGCCTCCTCGAGCACGATCGCAAGCGCGAAGTTGAAGTGAAGGTATTCGAATTGCGCGACAAGTTGGAAGAAGAGGGGTAAGTTGCTTTCGAACCCATCTCCAGCACCCACCTACTAACACCTTCAACAGCGTCGAAGAAGATGAGATCGAAACCCGCTGCGACGAACTCCGCCAGAAACTCCTCGCCGAAATGGAGCGCAACCAAAACAGCCGCGGCGCGCCCACCGGTCCTCGCAAGAACTTGAAGATGCACCAGGTCCACGAACTAGCCGACGCCAAGATCAAGGAGAGCGAGCGGTTGCGCCAGGCGCTGAAGATTAGCCGGGACTACCAAGAGGGAAGCCACTGGAAAAAGCAGGAGGAGAGGCTGAAGGGCGCGCTTGAGCGGGAAGCAAATGGTGGCAGCAGCAGCATGCCGCCCCCGCCTGCACCAACTGGGCCGTCTGGTGGCAATGACCGTGGTGGTGATCGTGACCGTGACCGTGGCCGTGGCCGTGGTCATGGTCGCAGGGATAGGGATGAGGGTCGTCTTAATTCTAGGGAGCGCCGCGCTCCTCCCAGGGACTGGGATAGGCCGCCAACTCCGAGAGGAAGGGGTGGAAGAGGTGGAAGAGGAGGGAGGGAGAGGGAGGTTGACAGCTATCGGGGCGCCGCTGGTAGGGACAGGAGCAGGAGCCGAAGTCCCGTCCGGGAGAGGAGTCGCACCAGGAGCCCAGTGAGGGAGAGGAGCCTGAGCAGGAGCAGAAGCCGCAGCAGGAGCTACAGTCGGAGTCGGAGCCCGCCCCGTAGAAGGGCTGTGGACAGCCAGGGTCGCAGCCCGAGCCGGAGCAGGAGCAGGAGTTACAGCCGGTCTCCAGATAGGGACCGGTATCGGGAGAAGTACAGGGATCGCGATGACCGCGATTAGTTTCACGACTGGAAACCGACTCGAATGAGCTGGGCCATCTACAATCAAGCGCGAACAAAAATGGCAATGGCTCCAATCAGTGTTCTACTAAGAAAGCGTTTCGGAGCTTACGATAAAGGTGTCAACAATAGGAGTTACCGCGTTCAATGCGGATGAGAGCTTTTGGGCGAATCGAAATCGAGATCAACTAGGTCAGAATTAGCAAAAGACTCCGCGTTTAGGTATGAAAAGGATACTCAGTCTGCTGAAGACGAGTCACTTGGTAGTATCACATATCTGAGAGACTCAGCGTCTCTGGTCTTACAAAACAGATTCGACCTCGGGTTATCTCTGAATTCTCCAACTCGAGGGGGGAGGTAGGAGGACAAATGGGGCGCACAGTGTAAGACCTAACGAACGGGAAACGCGAGTGAACTTCCCAACTACCGCTTTTTCTCATTCAACTGGGTTTTATCCTTCCCTCTTACAGTCTAGCATATCTAGGAGTCACCTCAGAACTGGGGCGCCATCGTCGCCGACAGACTTAGCGAACCACTCAAAGGTTGAATGGCAAGTTGGCATGTAAGTGACTTGCAGCGGCTCGAGCGGATGATACAACAGTGTAAGCGTCCTAGACTAGAGTAGGCCTAGTTTTTGCGGGTAGATAAAACCCAGTTGAATGAGAATTAGCGGTACACTACTGCACGCCATTCAACACACTACCGGATCACGCTGCAGTAGGCTTGCAAAAGCGGGTGAGCTAGCTATAAGTGGTTGAGGCTGGTTGTAAGTTATTGGGTGAGAAATATGGGGACGACGAGGTGTTAGATTGCACGGTTATGTGAATGTAGAGAATATAGGTTGATCGCTGTATTGATCAAGTGTGTGGAGTAGAAAGACTGCACACATAGGTTGGGGGATCCCAGAGTATTAGGGAGGTCTGCAGCGCTATTGGGCTGGCTGGGAGGCTAGTCCTCTTATAGAACTCTCGTCTTATTGGCTAGATATAGCCCACTAAATTGATATACTTCCCTAATTGAAATCCCTTTTGGGAATAAAGTTGAAGCTATTCATATATTCCCTTCCCATTTCTAACTATTTCCTCTACGTTTTTTAATTTAATATAATTTATTATATATTCCTTCTTTTCCTTCTTTTCTTTAATTGAAATTATTCTTAATAATCCCTTGAATTCTATATGTTTTTGCGCAGATAGTACCTTCGTTAAATTGTCTATAGGTATTTTTGCTATTTTTAAATACTTAATTTTAATAATTCTAATTATAATTTCTTATTTAAGTTAATACTTATAAATATCTACGTACTTTAGTTTAGTTACTAGTTTGGAGGCCTCGACCGTTATTACTCTAATCGTTTGCTTATTATTATAATCGATAGTAGGGATGGGATTTACAAATTTTATAATTAAGCTTCGTATTAGATATATTATAAAAATAATTTCTTTTACTACGTTTAAGAAGATAATAAACTTTATTTTAATTATTAATATAGTTACGGTTATTTATTTAGTAGTTCCCTAGTATACTAGACTATTAAAGAGTTTAATTATAAAATTATATAAATTCTTTCGATTTATAGAATTATTTATAATGGATATATTTAATATAATTTATAAGGTATCTTCGCCTCTATAGTATAATGCTATATTTATGATAGTATATAAGTAGTATAATATTTTATTTATAATTTTATAATAGTTTAGGCTAGAGTTGTAATTATATTTAGCGAGGCGGCTTGTAGCGAAGGTAATATCCGGTCGTGTTATGATTATTGTATAGAGAATAGAGTTGATTTTAATCTAATATTAGTATATTAATTTACTAAATACTTTATTTTTAAAGGGTATAAAAATATTAGTTATAGGTAGCTATGTTATTCTTTTATCGTTTGTAAGGCAGTAGATCTTTTATAGGTATAATTATTAAAATAATTAGATCTTTCGTATTTTACGGTTTTATATAATCTCGATACTTAAGAATTTTTATAGCTCTTTATTTCTAGTAAGATAGTATCGTTATTTAAGGTTATTTATATATCTATTAGCTTCTTCGCTTTTATTATAGTAGAAGGTAAAGATAATATTATTAATGTAATAGATGACAAATACTTTATTATCAATAAGGATATAGGGTTCCTTTAGGACCGTTTCGAAATTTAGGGTAGTAAATGTATTAATAAATTTACGTTATTAAAGAAGCGGGGAATACTATAACTCATATAATACTTTTATAATCTTTAATATTTTACTTAATATTTAATACCTTAAGGGTATATATATATATAGATTTCCTTACTTATATAAGCGTTAATGAAGGTATTAACGGCGTTATATTAAATAAATTCGAAGTTAAAGCGTATAGTTATAGTGATAAAGGTATGGAAGAATCGGCTAGCGAATATAGAAGTATATATTTCTTATCCTATTTCCTTCTTTTATTAGTTTCTACGTACGACGAGACGTACTTTAACCTTATTAAACTTACCGGTTTTAAAGAACTTGTACGTATATATTTATATATAATTAAATAATTGTTTCTTTTTAATTTTAGGTTCGTCCCTATCGACCTTTATTTAAATCCTTATTTCTTTATAGTTATTGAGATAGATTTACTCTATTTCTTTAAAGAAGTCCCCGAAGAGGTAGTAATTAAAAGATTTATAATTCTTTGGCGGCGGCGGCAATCTTTAATAGTAGATAGTTTAAAGTTTATTTATAAAACTGAAAGAATCGAATTCCTTTTAGGTAATAATTTTATTTTTCTGGGAAAAGCGCTCTAATTTTGTTTTTATAATTATTTTACTGTAATATTTAGCCGTAGGTTAATATAGTCTTTTTATATTAAATACCGCCTTCTATAGTTTGAAACGGTAATAAATTTCGTCCTCTATACGTTTATCGAAGTAAAAGCCTATAAAAAAAGACGCGGATGATAATATATAAGGAGGAGTAGGGTAGCCCTTATTAAGGATAAAGTCGAAGGATATTTTATTAGCGGAGGAATTCGAACTTTCTAATTAAGGTATTAAAAAACCGCAATCGGTCTGTTATAGGCATTACTGCCTTATTCTTATATATAAGTACACATGCACATATACTACATTAGTGCAGCCAGCTGAGTACAGCTATCTGGCTATAGCATATTCAGCAATCTGGGCACAAACTACCATCATATAACGGCATAGCTATTCTAGGTGGGTCTATATCTATAGACCTACACCCTATACCCTATATAGTTCTCGTACGCATACAGGATTCTCTTCCTATTCTTCGTATAACAATTAAAGTCTTACTTTAGTACTTACTCGCGCCCTATAATACTTTATTATATTTAACCTTCATATTAAAGCGTAACGAATAATTTCAGATTGATTAAATTTAATAAGAATTATCGTAATAACCTAGTCTTCATAATATTACTTTTTAGCGAATCGTATAATCGCCCGTCTCAAATTAAGAACTTATTATAACAATAATCGATACTAAGTAAGCACTTAGAAATATCGTAAGCGTAAGCGTCGTAGAAGAACGATATAGTAAATATCTTTTTTTTTATTTCTAATCGATTAAACAAAATATTTAACGCCCAAATCCTTAGTGATAATTAAATCGACCTCGTTACAATCTTTCCGTCATTATTAGATAATTTTAACGCTCTATTAGCTATTTATAATAATAACCCCAATTTAAGCCTAAGGGTCTTACCCGACTTCGCGATACAAGTATGTAATTACGAAGAAATTATAAAGTTACTTTATTACTTCAATAAGAAAATTAACGAATTAAATAAAGAGGTTACAACCTAATAGAACCGGGCGTTCCAATTCGAATAGGAGGCCAAAACCTATATTAAAAACATTAAAATCGACGCTACGAAGGCGACAAAACGCATTAATACCTTAGAGGCTACGAAAAAGCAACTTATTGAATAATTTAATACTCTATAAGCCTAATATAACCTAATTATTAATAATAATACTTTATTATAATTCAAAGTAGCTACTCTCGAATAAAATAAAACCCAATTCGATTATAACCTAACGGCTACAATTAATTAAAAGGAGGGCGACTATTAAAATTTCCTCAATTTATGAAAAATAATTAATACAATTTTAAAGGATAGTTACGCCCAATTAATTAAAGTACTAACTAAAATTATATTTATTAACATCGTAATAAAAATTTCCGGCGAAAAATTCGCTAAGGCCTAAAAGTAAATTAAGGATGTCTAAATTAATCATCGTTTTATTAAGGAAAATAAAATTATCGCTAAAGGTAAAGCATAAATTAATGCTGATATAATTAAATTTAAAGCCTTAATCGAAAATAAAGGTATAGAGAAGGTCCCTAAAGGAGCGAACTAGGTTTATAATACTAGTACTTGAAATATTAATAATAGCGGCCCTAGAGGATCGGGTATAAATAATATTAATAGTACTAATATAAATATCGGTCCTAACGATAAAGGCCTTAAAAGATCGGGTATGGCTAGCTTCGGCAATATAGGCGGCGGTCCTAATAATAATTACCTTAGAGGATCGGGCCCAGGTTTTAATATAAGTAGTAGTCCTAGCAGTAGAGGATTTAATTTCAATTAGCTTAACGGCCCTAACGGTCCTAAAAGTCCTAAAAATTCTAGTTATCTTAAAAGTCCTAGCGGTAATAAAAGTAGAAGCTTCCTTAATAGCGGTAAAAATAATAATTTCCTACCCGCTCTTCCCTCCCCTCTTCCCCCTACTCCTACCCTTCAACCCTAAAATAATAATAATTATTATTATAATTTTCATAAAAATCTTAATTATTTTACGGGCGAGGAAATTAATATATTTAAATATTATAACTCTTTTATAGCCTAATATACTAATATTCGTACTAAATAAATAATTAATATTTATACTTTTCCTAATCAGAGGACTAAGCTATTATATACAATATTTTATTTAGGCGGCGAAATTAAAATTACTATTACTAAATACCTTCAAAAGATTTTAAATAACCCTTACTATTCAACTGTATAGATTTAATCTACGGACGAGGAGTTTTTAACCTACCTTAATTCCTATTTTAAATAGGGAAACGTCGTAGCCGTAGCCAAAAAGGTTTTAGCCTAATTTAAACAAACAAATAAATTCGCTAACTACTACAATTTCAAAGCCTACGACCGGGTATATATTATTTCCCTTATAGTAATTAAGAATTTTAATACTATTACTGAAGTTAAAGTATAAGACGATTATCCTTATATTGTAATAGTTAGAGTAGAGTAAATATCCTTTATTGATTAATATATTTTTATAATAATTTTTCTTATATTTTTTAGTTTATTTATTATTATTTAAGCGATATTAGAAGAAGGGGGGGTAATAGAAGTAGGATAATATTACGAAGTCGGTATTATTGAATAAAATTAAAAGGGGGTTCGGATTAGGATTCTTTACTATATTAGTTCGCCTAGACTAGATAGTATTTTAATTACTATCCGTATTAGAATTGTTTATAATATATTATTTCTCCGCGTAGAAATTTTATTATTCGATTATAATTATAAATTTGCTTAGATATTGTTTTTTTATATAGAAATTTTATCGTTCGATTATAATTATAAATTTACTTATATAGGGTAATAGAGTATCAATTAAGAGTTTTTAGTAAATTATTTCTTTATAAGGAAATAAAAGGGAAGGTGCGAATTATAAAAAGGAGGAAAAGGAAGGATAAGAAAGGACGACCCGGGGGGGGGTTTTATACTTTATATATATAAATTTATTTCGAAGAGAATAAATATTATAGAATATTGACCAAGTTAGACCTTTCCTATAGAAAAATAATATATTTTAATTAAAGGTTTACATAAGGCGTTTTAAATATTTAATAAAAGTATCTTTATTTCTTTTTTTAAATTTCTATTTTTTACTTTTATTAATTGTAGTAATATAATAAATATTCGGTAATTGTAATTATTATAGTATTTCTAATTATATGATAGTAGAATTAATTATATATAAGGAGGGTTTTATAGAGGTAATGCTATAAATGGATAAGCGTTACTATTTACTTTAAATTCTTATATAAACTCGTAATTGTATATAGTATATTACCTAATAAAAGTAAATTATTTATAGGGAATATACAAATTATATTAATAATTAAAATAAATATTTCCTACTCTTAAAATTTACCTTCCTTTATTAATTAAAATAATTTTATTTACGCTTCAGTATTTTCTTTTTATGTTTTAATATTTATAACTTCCGCTTCTATTCGTTTCGTAAATATATTCTTAAATTCGATAGCGCGTATTAATTTTCTATCTCTCTCCTCAATTTATATTTTTTTTACCCTTTAAACCGATATTCATAACCGTAAAGTAAGTATTTAAAATAATCGACGTCTAATATATACATTAAATTTCTAAGGCCGTTTTACCAATTTATCTAGGATATATCTAAAATTGACCTTAGAGTAGTAATACTAAAAAATATAACTTTTATAAAGGGTTAATAGTCGTTAAAGGCTTAGAATAATAGTATAACCGGGGAATTATTAAATATTAATCCTACTCTATTTTATAAAATAGAAATAAAAGAAGGAATTAAAAGACGAAGAGGGGTTATTAAATTAAAGAAGATTAGTACCTTCTTAACTACCTTCTCTATTATAAGCGTACTATCTCTTTTCCATTTATTTATATTAAATTAGCCACTGATATATCAGATAAATTATTAATTTATTAGTAACTTACTATCTACCCTCGTTATATTACAATTCAATTAATTTATTAGTAAATTAATTCGATACCCGAATTTAATACTATACTTTATCCAAACCTATTTATATGCTATAAAATAGTGATCGAATCTTATATTCCTACTAATGAATTAATTATAATATATTAATAATAAATTTTTATTAATAATTTACGTATAAATATAAGGAAATAACAATATAAACTAATCACTCTAATAGTAGGATTATTAATATAGTATTTCGACTATATTAGTATTTAATCGAAATATATCCTATATTTCTTAATTTATATTAGAGTAAGCGTAGTTATACCTAGCGCGAATAATTAGGATACTCTTATTTTGAACCCAATTCCGAATTTCTTCCCGCGAATTACCTATAGAATAATTAATTAAAGCTCTATTTAGGATCTATCTTAAATAAATCTAAAAACAATTATAGATAATCTTCAATTTACATTTTAAATAGTAGCAAAGTTACGTATATTTATTAAGGGTTAAATATATAAATAACCCTTCCATTTATTAGCAAAATTAAAGATTATTCTTTACATACCTTTTAATACTACGCTTGAAATAAATATAATAAAATCGTACTATATAACGAACGAAATATATAACCTTACGGGGGTAGGGATCTATCTTAGAAATATACGCCGAAAAACCCATATCAATTAATTAAGGAGTTAATAAGAATATATTATAGAAGGATCTTAAAATAAAATAACGTATTTATAATTACTTTAAAGTTTTAGTCTATAGTAATACCATAAAGACCCTTTCTAAACAATTCCCGCTACTTAACTATATATTTATAATTGACTTTAAAGATTTTAAATACCATTTTAAAGGTAAGAGCGTACATTTTTGGCAAATCGGCATTGGTAAGGATCCGGATAAGAAGGATAGCTATCGGAGTTAAAGATCTATCGGAGATAAATTCGGAATAACTTAACAACTTACATCGTCTTAATTATTCTAAGTAGAAGCCTCAGATAACCTCCCTATTTTCTATACTGGAAAGATGTTTATAATTTATATCCAATTCGAAGGATTTACTAAAGTCTTTGTGAAAGAATTCTACCTATTCTTTGAAGAAACAGATGATTATAAAATTAGTCCCATCGTTGAGGACCTTCTGGATATACTATTGAAAAAAAAAGTCAGTGATTCATCCCTAATGAATCCCGGATGTATGAACTTACACGAGTGTCTGGATACGGCAACATCCGTCCCCGTTACAGATAACCATTTCGCCTGTAACATGTAAATAGTTTCAAAAACTGGTCTTGTCAAGTCCCGTCCGGGGATCTCTTAGACACTGCTAGCAGCGGAGCACCTGGCAACTTCCGGCATCCAAATCGTATACTACAAAACCTACCTGACCCCCTCTTCTCAAACTCTTCGAACGGGAGCCGGGGCTGCAGCCGCAACCGCAACTCCATACTATTCCATGCTACCATGGACTGGGATCATCCTCATCCCCTCAAATTGATGGGGTACACGCGAGGAAGTGGACAAGTGGGCAACAATGGAAGTTATGGAAAATCCGGGGAAATGCGGAGAACGTAGTCCAACAGGTCAGAGTCATGAAAGCGGGGGGAGCCGGTGAGGAGGACCACCAGGTGATCTGGGCCTCGGCCTCGGCTATGTACTATGGGCGGGCGACATCCGTGCGATGGGGGATGTGGGAAAGTTTCCGAGATACGTTCGGGACATGTGCCTCTGGGTATTTTGACTTACTTCATTGCTCACCGGTGAAGGTATGTGAACAGATTGCATTCTGATCGATCTAATTAATACCTGAGCGGTTGTGTATCGGTGTGTCTGATTCCGTACTTGGGGGGTCTAAACATCGAGGTATGCATAGAACTAGTCCTCATTTTACAAAATAAACAACGATGAACAATTCCACCATTATTGTATCGATATCACCACGCTTAAACAATGCTGCAAAAGATCTTGAGGAAAAAAATGTCTTTGTTGAACCCTAGCATTCCATCCATAGATCCATTGAACCTAACCTGTACGTATGTATAGTAGTAGTAATATTGGTAGACCTTGCCATCCATATAATGTTTCCCACCATAGCCGCTTGAATGTTCTTTCAACACGAAATCTTGTGACAACAAGAGTAAGTAGATCTATGCCTCTCTCTCCTCTTCTTTTACATCAAGGCAAATAGCGTTTGGATATATCCCCATCTCAGACCATGTCTTCATCCTCAACCTCATCTCGTGGTATCGTTCGATTGCTTCTTCGTGCCTCAACAGATACTTCTGCAGCGAGCCCCCGTTTGTGTTCCTCATCCAATTGACCCTTTACATTCATCCCAACCCACCCCACACGCGGCTCAATCCTCCCTCTTGCTTCACGGAAGAGAGTAGGATGCGTAGGCTCTCCCTTGGATTCTTCTTTTGAATTGGTTCCACAGGTGTAATTTGCTTCGGAGGTGACCAGCTTTTTGGCGTTCGATTAAGCTCCAGTATTGCTGCTAGTCCTCGTTGGCGCAGCAGTGCTCGCCCCCAAAAATAGTCCCTGTCATCGAATGGCGTCCAGTATGTTACGTGGAGTAACGAAACCATCATAAGTCCGACGTTCCGCGACACGAGTGTTGAAGAGAAAGAATTGTTTGCCGGGCATCTTGGGTCTTGAAGGATGACCATAAGTGCTCAGCAACATTAAGCTGAACAAACACTTTTTACCTCGTAATGAGTATATTATATATGACAGAGCGGCTTGGCCGACGTGAGGTACTCTGTAGCGCTGCTCGGAAGGAAGGCAGCTAAGCGGAGCGTTTTTCGCTGTGGTACTTTCGACAGAATCGTCGACGTGAAATTGGCTCGGCGTCGGACGGAAGATACGTGGAGGTTGTTGGATCATAGGAATCCAGACTCGGCCAAAACTCTGTAAAGCAAAACAAAAAAGCATTAACGATCCGCACAAATAACAATGCAAAAGGGTGGTGAATGTGCTGGCCCGGTTGAATCCAGGGTCACAAAGGGGTGCGGGAAGGGACAAAGCTAGAACTGCAAGCCAAGTCGAGTGATGTCCGGAGAAGTACGAGCCCGAACAAGATTGCGTGCCCATGCCGTCCTCCCTTCATCACCTCGCTAAGTAAAAAGCACCCCCATCACAAGCTACCTGGCGTAATTTTGGCTCTACATACCTGACGATCTTCTCATCTTCTCTCTCGCGGGGCTCGATTTGCAAACTCTTGTCGTACATCTCGTGCACGTCTCCGGCGGCTTGCATATTGGACAAGATATAGTCCTGAAGTTCGGGTACTGGCTGTAGCGAATATGCGACGTTTTGGTACTGCTGGATATCTCCGATAACGTCTGCGGTCTTCGCCCGCTTTGCAAAGTTGATCTGGTTCGTCTTCTTCAGAATCGAAGGGATACCATCTTCAATGAAGGTAAGATCCGTAAGATACACGCCTAAGGATCTCAGGTTAGCATTCAAGCAGAAAATGGGGCTTCGCTATGGTTTCTTACCAAAGAAAGGAATGCATGGAGGGTTGGATAGATGCAACGCCTCTCTGTATTCACCGAAGTTCTTAGTACTGGCCATGAGCTTCCTCATGGTTTCAAGCGTCGCGAGAACGCGTTGAGGAATCTGATCCCATGTTCTCTTCAAGCGGGCAATGGGAGCGGTTCCCAGTGCTGAAATGATCGATGTAAGCGTAGAGAAGTTGTTGAGACCCCGGCACTTGTCGGCAACGGCAACAAAGTGTTTTATGACGACAACACGCTTCCTAACATCGGTTTGCGCCAAAATCATCTCAGCCACCCAGTTGGTCATCTGGTTCGAGTGCAGAATAAGGGCCTTGACATTAGGTGCTGGTTCTGGCTGCCCTTCGGCAACCTTCTTCTGCCATGTCTTGTTGAGACATTCTGTAGACTTGATCTTGCCGTACAGCCGCGACTCAATGATAGTAAGCTGGCGAGCAAACTCAGTGACATCGATATCCAGGAACTTGAGCTTCTTCATGTTCTTTGGCATGATTGGCGCAGGGGTATTCTGGTTGACCGTCTGGATCATGCGACGAACGTTGACTTCCTTGCCGCTCAGTCGCTGGTCCAGGACGGTGATCAAGCCTTTAGAACCTGGTGTCTCTGTCGACTTCACTGTGTCATTGGCGAAGTTGTAGACATCACGGATAAGCTCCTTTGTCTCCTCACTCTGATCTTCCATCCAAAAGTTATCAAACCAGTTCTTAAGAATGTTGACCACTCGGAAGCGGATAAGCTTCTGCTTGCTATTTTGCCACTGCTCAAACTGGGCCTGAGTAAGGCCCTCGGGTGGTTGGATGCCGAATCTCTTTACGAGTAGCTCGAACAGTTCGCGAGCCGAAGTAAAGGACTTGTACGTCAACAGGAAGGTGTTATTGAAGTTCGAATCAAGCTTGTCGTGGCGGGTAAGCTGCTCCACCAAAGCGAGGAGAGTACCACCCTTGACGACGGGCGGCTGCACCTTCTGATCCCAAGATAGCTCGGCTTCGTAGTCCAGACGCAAGAACTCAGGCGTGTCGTCCACAGGCTGAATCGGGGTGGGATCTTCTCCGAAAAACTTCTTCATCTTTGACGGGTCACCCTTACGCTGGAATGTAGGAGCAGTAGGGTCGCCCTCCGAAAATGATGCTGAGCTCATCAATACCGGTCTCAAGAAGGCAGAGTCAGTCCTCATGTGCCGCTCATATGGCGACGAATCAGCTCTGTTAAGCGGCGCTCGTTGAACAGGTTCACGTGCACGAGCCTCTGCTTGTTGCTGCATGACCATCTGGACTTGCTCTGAGAGTAGTTGGAGGGAGAAGCCAATGTGCGAGGAGTTGGTCTCCAATGCTCGAGCACACTGACGAACATAGTCTAGCCTCTCTTCCAAGGCATGGCCCCGAACCTCAGACCATTCATCGGCGAGCGGGCCAGCGACGGCCTGGCAGCCAAGTACTAGGTCGGATATGTTGTCATACAAACTTTGCTTGTTTGTCGCGAAATCAAGAAGCTGCGGCTGCTGGAACCCGTTGCTACCAAGGCAAGAAAGGTCAATAGACTCAATCATGGCAATCCATGGCCTGAACATGTCCACGACCTTGCCACCGGCTGCGCAGATGTTGTTGCCAATCACTTCGTGTCTGAAAGGAGTCAACACCTTATCCGTGACAACCAAGCTCTTGTCCAGTTCTCGAATGCTGGAAACCAGCATACGCTTCTGCTCATCCAGCCTTTCTAGCAACTTGTTGTCGAGAATGGCAGTGGGCTCCACTACGCCCTCCTCGTCATCAAGAAAGTTGGAGGTAATGGGATCGTGAGGGCCAAGACCATTAGTCTGCCAGCTCCCGCCAGAGTTGGACCCAATTACGAACCCAGGGAACAGCCGAGGAATGTCTTCGCCCCTCTGCTGCCTAGCAACTTCGACATAGCTGTAAACTCCCATAAGAACGCCATCGGCCTCCTGCAGACACTTTTGGACAGACTCGGCGTTGGGCCAATCGGCAGCGGCAATGTGCGAAGAAATCACCAGCTTGGAAAACTTTGACATCATGTCTCGGAAATGAGGATATAGCGCCTTGTTGGTCGAGATGATGGAAGGCTGACCGGAATGGTTGTCGGTTGTCCCCGAACCAGCCGCCAGGAGAAGGCGCAAATGGTCAGAGATGTCTTCGGCGCGTGCAACGTACTCGGACCGGTGGTTGTTCTTGATGGCCTCCCGATAACGGTCAATTGCCTTTTTCATGTTGGCAACCAGTCGGCTCCAAGTGAGAGGTTGCATAGTACCATCGTCAAAGAAGGATCGAGGAATTGTAGCGGCGGTAGGGAGGTTGAAAGTTGCGCTAGTGAATGCCGTCGTCGATGTCATAGGCACTGGATGGTGATGACCGTTTGAATATGTCTCGTTGCGGCCCCTGTTACCGGAGGGCTGTCCGTTGATAGAATCCATGGACGTGGACGGTGAGACACCATCGTAAAAGCGGCGGTTCTTGGGCTGTATTGGAGTGAGCCCCTCATTTTCTCAAATGTAATCAGGTATTCTGGACTTACGAGTGATCCTCTGGATGCATTCATGAACGTCTCGCCCTCGACTTCCGAGGCTGAGGTGATATCGTCTTCGTCCTCTTCATCCTGGGTCAAACCACGTGCCATCATCTCGGGAGGCGGCCTGGTCCTTTCGGGTATCGTCACAGTCATGCGGTCGCGGGGACCGGTCTCGTTAATCGAAGCAGGCGACTCTAGCGGCAATTCATTGCTGCTCTCGCCGGTCATAGTGTTGTAGTAGAACAAGCGGCCGTCGGGGGTGGCTTGAGGGATCCAGAAATCAGCCCTGCCGCCATCGGTTCCCTCGATGGGAAGGGAATCGGGGTCATCATCGCGATCCGACGCATCATCCTCGTCAAAACTTTCGTGGTAGACATCGTGGTCTTCGGCCTCTTCCTCTACTACTTGTTCGTGGGTGGCTTTATCCTCGGTCTCGCCGGGAGCTTCATCGGGACTAGGGATTACTTCGCAATAATTACTAGGAAACCATCCTCTGACACCGTTGATGACACCATCCCACCAACCACTTTCGAGCTGTGTGATAACCTGGATTATATCGCCCTCGTGAAAGCTAAGACTGGTCCTGTCGTCTGCCTCGTAATCGTACAGCGCGCGGACATACATGGTGCCCGCGGGCGCCGTGCCTGCAACGCCATTCATGGGTTCAACAGAGTCGGTCGCAAAATAAAACGAGGAGTCGTTAGGGTCGACCAAAGTGGTCGCGTTGCTTAAGTCGGGGTCGCGTCGATCGTAGGTTGCTTTCTGGGACTGGGTATTGTAGGAACTGGTGGTATTCTGACCCTGAAGTAGCGACACAGGGGTCTGTGTCATTAGCATATTGAGAGTGTCGTGGTAACGGGTAGAAGCAAGCGATGGTGTGGAATGTCAAGGGTCGAAGATCATGTTCCGGTCGCTGAGCCTCGGGTGGTGTGATGTACAGTAGACTGTGCAGAAGTCGAGCGTCCAAGGTGCGCTAGGTCGACGTGAATGATGCTGAGGGACAGATGCGATTGCGTATCGAGCCGATACAGCTTATCCCCTATTTTAAAAGTCTGACGTCGGCGGGAATTAGATGGGAAGGGTGGTCCAAAAGTTTACTGGGCGCTAGAGGCTATCGAAAGAACAGTTGTCGCATCTGAGTGGTCGGAAGGCTGAGGCGTCGGCGGGTAAGGAGTGGTGAGAAAGTGAGGCAACACGGGCGTCGATTCGCCGACCGCTACTTGGTGTGGTGGTCTTTTGTTCTTCGAGTCTAGCGAGAGAAAGGGCTGATGCAAGATCAGGCATGTAGGTATAGGTCTAGGTCTAGGTAACCGGCGTGATGATGACGGTGGTCCGAATTCCTGTCGGTCGCGACACGTCCTTGTCTTCTTCGTCTTTCTCTGTTCTGGTTCGCGCGGTCCTCTTGGTTTGTGGGATCGGAATGCAGCAGAAGGGGGTCGGTCGAGGCTGCGTTGCTCTTGGATCGTCCGTTGAATGTTTGTCGAGTTTGGATGGTGTCTCTCCGTGCCCGTGTGCCCGGGTCGCGAGCGTCCAGGGGGCGGTTGGATGGTCGATTGTCTCGTCACTTTCCCGGCATCCGATTTGCCTTTTTGACTGAGAGTTCAACGAAGAACCATAGGTTGTTCAGTTGGGGCAGAAAGACTGGACGGACCTATCCAGCAAGGGGGTGAGGTGCCCAGGTGAAATACATTAGGCGGGGGGCGTCTCTTCTTGAGAGGGAGAAGTCAAGGAGAGCGGGAGCAGAGAGTGGATGGCCTTGCACTGCAGTGTGTGGTAGGACGAATGGACAGTCAGGTCGTAGGGAGCACTGGGCGCAATGGGGTTGGGGACTTGCCCACCTCCACTGTGGGAGGGGACTGACCAACTGAGGGTCCTCACTTTGCGAGTCCCTCGCTCTTTCCCGCTCTCCAACGGTTCTAGGCCTTTGATTGGCTCGTGCTCAATTCGTCTCTTGGACTGATTGGTAAGGTAAGGGGCGGCCTGGATGTGGGATCCATAACAGTATGGACCCTTTCGGCTTCCACTTTCCCTCCAAGCCCTCCCCTCGTTCATTCCTCATCCCCTCGTAGCTTGCATCAATCCGCCTCTCGACTTGCATCTCAAATCTTAAAGAGTGCCATTTGCGACAAGTCTCTTTTGTTCAGCATACACATCCCATTGGTAACAAAGAAATGCTAACATCAACTTCTCAGACGTGCAATATTATGCACTCGAGGAAATAAACCATAAAGAGAGTCCCATTGCTGGCCTCGACCTCGTTGATCAACCGAAGCATCAGGCAGTAGATCGGTACGGGGTACGAGGTACGACATGGTCGCTGTGCTGGACCTGGACAACTCGGAATCTGACGAAAAGACTGAACGGACTCGGCCGGGCCTTTGAGAAAAAGTGTTTGGCAACCTCTTTGCAACCAAATGGCAGCTACACCCAAAAGGGAAAGCACGGCCCCCACCATGCAAGTAACTCGGTGCTGCATTCAAGTCAGCCCTCCAGTCAATCAGGTCGTCGAGGTACCTGGGACGCTCTCGCACACGGAGAAAGGTACCTCGTTAGAGTGAGCCAAGACGATCGCGTACAGTTGGTGAGCTGGCGCGGACACACTGTGTTCCCTCTTGAGAAATCACCAACTGGACTCTTTTCGGTTCGCTTAGAATGCCGCGGCGATGCCATCCATGTTTTACCCAGATGCTAATTTCTGCAAAATAAAAAAGTCCGAAATGAAGAGTTGACTTTTCCTCCAGATCCCGCAGGAAAACGATCGGAAACCGCAAATGTTTCGATGCGGTTGCCGGTTTCGTATAGTAGCACTTTTACAGGCTTCTCTCACAGCTCAGTACAACCAGCGTTCCCGGCAGTCTGGCAACCCATTGTCTGATTGTTGACAATGACAGCTTGGACTCGTTCATCTCATCCATAAAACACGGACCGTCCAAACTATTGCAACACCAGGCAGGCCCGAGCGCCAGGATATGTTCCCGTTACTATCGAATATTCCTCTTCTCGTCATCACCTTGGCTCAAAACGACCAAACACGATCCAGTAGTCCAAACCCCAAAGAGACAAAGCTCCGGCCACATCGAGGGGGCTTCCCTTCCGCGGCTCTTCCACCGTGCTTCCACGCCTTCTGGAAACAAGGACATGCACCCGTGCAAGGCGTGGAAGCCCCACGGGTACGGTAAGCTACCGTCCCTTAATTTGCCCTGTTGCACGCCATTGCTCGATCCGTCTCTGTCGTCGTCTGTTACACGCATTGAGCTTGTCAGCCGGGCAGGGTCTCCTAATCTGCATGTCTTCTCCTCCCACTGCCCTGAACCGGTCTCTCTACCGAAAGCCAGGCAACGTGCTCCATGTCTTGTCTTCCTTTTCCTCCCACCCCCTAGAGATGTGAAGACGGAGGCACGGACGGACGACGTTCGGAGATGAAGAGCCCCCCACCCCCCACAAAATATATCGCAACTAAAAGACTGCGCCTCAACTCGACGACAACTGCTTGATTAGGAAGCCCACAAAGCCCATCAATGCCTTTTGTCGATAACAAGCCGCCCTCGAAACTTCACCACCGCATTCACATTCTGATCAGGCAGGTCAACAAAATTCACGAAAAGATCCCAGGACAGAACCTAGGGACTATCGGTCTCTTTCTATCATGTCCCACGCTCTATACTTTCTTCGATCAATCCCCCCACGTTAAGTCCATGATGAAACAGAGGGATTGCCAAGGCCCTGGCCGGATTGGACCAGTGTCGCGGGAATTACACAACATCCTGTCCACACGTGCCCAGACGGAGAGGGAGATGACATTAGGCTAGGTAGAGGTAGTCCACCTCGTGGCATCCCATCCAGCAGCAACGGAAATCCCGTTGACTAGGGACCCAAGGATGTCATCCGAAGCGCTTCATGATGAAGAAACGTGGGACCCCAGACATCGGCCCGGTAGCAGGGCCGCTCTCACGGCTCGGCAAGACCAGACAAGGGAAGGCCAGTTATGTAGTCATCACGGATCACGATGTCAGCGGAAGCAAGTGCGGGACTAGGGCTAGCACTAGGACTAGGAAAGTTCCTGTCCTGGCGTCCGTCACGATGAATGAATGCCATTCCCATACCCACGTGTTCCATTGTCACTTTAGGCATACCATGGCCCCTGAAGCCGAAATGATAAGATTGCATTTGACGCTTTGCTTAAAAAGAAAAAGGCCACGGCTATCGGCGGGTTCCAGGCTTCGAGAAAGACTCTTGTCTAAGCATAGTAGGCGGCACGATTGGAAATAAGAGCCAAGACCAAAAGAGACGGACGCCATGTGGGCTCTGGGTTGGCAGCAGGAGAAAGTGACTGCTACATAGGTGGCGAGGAGAGAAAGAGTCGTCCCCGCTCCAAAATGAATAGTATTTGAAACGATATTCTCGGACGAGAAGCCTTATCTAGGCCTTCCGAAGGACTATTAAGAAAGCACTAAAGACGAAACTAAAAGGCGATCCACCTACGAATTCTTTTGTAAAGTCGTCCGCCAGTAGGTACAACGAGTGAATGACAGTCCTCCATGTCTACTGCTTCGTAACTAAGTCACATACATCATCTCTACCCGGATAAATCTGCCGCTCAAAATCATCCATTCATTTACCAAACGGCTCCTACGGGTAAGAACACCAGAACACTCACTCACTCGGACCGAAAGAGAGAACATAATCCGATCGTATTTTAGCCTTTCAGATACCTCTAGGTGCCTACACAATAATCATTGTTCGAAGTTATCATGTTTCAGACAAACAACTTGGTAAGGTTTGTCGGGTTACACGGTATATAAGGTAATAAGCTGATGAGGCTGAGAAGCGGCAAGGGGGTTTGTGCTACCTGAATCCAGAGTCAAGAATCAGGTACTTTATGTATGATTAACGAAAAAGGAGAAGGGAATGAAAGAAAACTGATGGGGTTGGTTGGTATGACGATTTCTAGCCAGCCCTGTTCAAGAGTTTAGGCTTCATGAAGCTTGAACTTGATATGGGTGCACGAACGAACATTCAGAACAGGAAAGAAAGGAGGAACTTCGAGATGTGGTCGGCGGCATGAGCTTAAATGGTAGTGTAGCTTGAGGAGGAGTAACCTCATACGTTCTAATTAACCTACGATGGAAGTGTAAGGGGCAGGCTGACCGGAGTGTCCACGTCGTGGCGGGAGGAACGAAGGATGGTATTTAATCGTGTGATGATCAAGAAACGCCATGCTATTAGAATAGGCCGTGGTGATCAGAAGAGAACTTAGTTTGGATCCGTCGAGAACGCGACAAGTTACAGATTTTCTCAAAGGCCTATGTTGTGGGTTGGATGGAGGAAATGGGAAATTTGAGTGTCGTCTTAGATTCTTACAGAACCTAGTCTAGCATGTGACGGAAGAATTTTGATGCTTTTGGGGGTCGCTGCAAGCAAGCAAAAGATTGCGTGCTGCCCTGCTTAACATGACACTCGACAAACTCTTGACAACCTAAAGTTTGTAGATACCTACAAAAAGAGGACACTAGTAAAGATGCGATATCGTTCTAAAAGCAATGACTGTGGCTTCTTCACATGCCGTTTCTAAAATATTTGTCTTCCGTTTGCTTTGATGCCAACACGATCTTATGTTGTCGTTTGTCAGAAGAGAACAAATTTTGGATTACTCTCAAGTTTATGTCGCCAGGTACATCGTTCCATTTGATTCTCGATCCAAGTAGGTATGTTGTGCTTAATAAACAATGGTGGAGTAGGTAGGTCTCAAAGATGCTGTTATTATCATCTTTGTTTTTTTGTTTTTTTTTTCTCCTCGTATTAGATCATTCTTCTTACCTTTAATTCGATGACACAATCCTACGATCTTTCGGGGTAGCCAGAAGAAGAAGCCGAAGATAACTAACAATGAGGACATAAAAGGGGGAAAACAAAAGGTTGCGATAACATTTTTTCCTTCTCCATTGGGATCACTAATCAATGGGCGCATGACCGATGTTTCTGACAACAATAGAATTTCTGGGTAGAGGGATCTTTTGTTGGAGGTGTTGGATAAGAGAGAATAAAGAAAATGATCATATGATTGTTCCCCAGACAGCACGTTTACTAAAGAGTATCGCATCTCCTTGTGGTAGGGCTCGTCAGTGAGTCTGTTATAACTACTGGTATGATGATTGTGTTGTCATCAGCGTTAGAGGTAAACATTTACAGCAAGAAGCCCTTTATCTTCTCCATGCCTGAAGTTGTGAGAAGTGGTGTTTTTCACGCTCTGTCTGTCTACTTCCTGCCAGTTTCAAGTCACTGCTTTGCCTAGCTACCTAAGATTCTGACTGAGGTACGGTGTAGCTTTTCGAACGGTCAGTGGTGTTATGTTGATGTGAAGCTGACCGACCTTAGTGGTTCAATATCCTCAAGAAACATAGCAGATGATCCCATAGCAAACATGGCTAGCTCCTGCCAAGGTCGAGGCCGTCGCCAAAGAAAATCAGCTGAACTGAAAGATATATCCACACAAACGACATCGTACCTGCGTGAGCCGCAAACCCAAAAATTTTTGGCATCCAAGTCGAGCTGGTGATCCCGATACAAACCTCTACTACAACATATACTACCTGGCTTCCGCTCCAGCTTTGATCACTATAAAATTGGAGAAAAAAAATCATTCAAGAGGAAATCTTGGTGGGATGGTAAGGGGATGGTAGGATGGAAAGCATGCCATGACATTGCATAGCATAGCAGAAAGCAGAAAGCGGTGATGTATGTGAAATGAAGGTGTTAATGCGAGCATGTACTATGTAAGACTTACAGACATGCAGACACAAATATCAATGCATGTAAAAGGGGTGTGTTTGGTTGTGTTGCTTTCGAGTGTTTTGTCTTTTAATTCAGCCAGCAGATGACAATGGCCGCTGGGCCGGTGCTTTATTTGGGGATGCCCTTTGTTACTGGTTGCCCGTCAAAGCGATTTGTTTCCACATCTCGAAAATGTGCCTGTCGTAAACACAAAACGCACCTCGAAGAGCATGATGAAAAAGAAACCGAACGAACGAAACGATGACCCTGTTTCTGTTCCTGGTGCCAAGCCCTTCCTCTGTCCAAGAACTTTATGACAAGCCAATCGACGTCCAGGGGCCCCTTTTTTCGAAGTTACCCGAACGTGCTTTAGCTTCCCAGTAAACAGGGATCTCTTGTGGAAGGGACGGAAAATCCCAAGCTAGCGGATCCACATTCGTTCTCTGAGCTCCCCGGAAACCACCCGCGGTCTCTCCACTCGACGACCTGCGAGACAACAGGATTGGCTCATGGACTTTGTTCAGGTTGGTGGTGGGGCTTTTGTTCGCGAACGCAGGATGAAGCGAGCAGCGAGGTGGTGGGTGTTGCTCGTGGTGGTAATGCAGGTTGTGATGCGGCAGTGTTTATTTACATTCTCTTTTGGGGTGAAGATATTGTTGAAAAGACTGCTGAGATATCATTTCTGGCGCATAGCAAATGGCGTTGTTTGTCAAACGACTTGTCCAAAGTCAATCCCAAATCGTACGAACGGTGGACGTACCTTGGATAAATTTAAGACGTTTGTTCATGTTTGCAAATTGTGTTTGGGGGTTCAGTCCCCGTACTGTAAGACATGGCATCGAAATATTGATAGTTGCTGGTTAGAGCAAAAGGCATGAAATCCGAAGGATGAGGAAGCGGCTAACGAAATCCTGATGGCCGACCGAGCGACCGAGGCAGAACGGCAGACGACAAGAACAGACGTCCGTCATGTTGGCCCGAGAATATCGCGTGAGACACAAGCTTGCAAAAGAGAGGGCCAAGACACCTGCAAATCGCGAATCGCCATCCACCACTGTGTTGGAGAGTGGAAGTACCACGCAGTTAAAATGGTCCCCCGATTGGCGCGGCCATGGTTGCCCCGTTGACAGGATTGGCACCATTCTGCCCACTGGTCTCCGAGAACGCGTTTTCGATACTGCACACCAGCCTCTCCGTCTTCTCGACGGGAATGTTGCGCTTGCGCTTTTGGTCTTCGGGAACCTTGTCAGTGGACCGATGGAATATTCTTCGAAGAAATTGGGGGGTTGCATCCATGGCGCTCTACCCCGTAGTGGCAGGTCAAGTACCCCTCCTGGAAGTGTCGCTGTCAACTTGTCGTCGTCTTGTGTGTGCCATTGTGCGCTGTCGTCGACCGTCGTCGTTGCGGTGGCCGCTGTTCTAATGTCAATCTGGAAAGATTGGAGAACGCAGCAGGGAGTGACAGTACCAGACGCCAGCCAGAGCCAGCGTGTGATTGCAACCCACCCAAAGACGCCGGCTAGAAGGCCGGATTTAAGTTCCACATTGCTGGCGACGGATGAGCGAACCTCGAAGCGGTAAAATGGGAGGGGATGGAAAATGTAACGATGGACGGCGACCAAAGCCGGTGCTATTCCTGCAGCAATCCCGGAGTTTGAAGAAACATATGAAAACAAATATCCCAAAGGAGAAGCAGTTCTCGGAGCCGTCAGTTGCCATGCTTTGTGCTAATTTCGAAAATTTCCTTACCCGTTCCTGTTCGTTCCGTGGCCCGCGTCAATACTGTACGGTCAAAGCGATTAACCTATAACAACTTGCGGTGCAGCCATCACCGACTCTTCATCTGGCTGTTGTTGATGCTTTCGCTTCGTGGTCCGTGGATGTGAACGTCATGGTCTCTTTGATGAAAGTGACCCCTCTTGCCCCTCTTGCCCCTCGTGAGCCCCTCTCATGAACCCCTCTGGTCCAACTTGGTCTTCAAAGATGAAAGGTCATCTTGTGCTGTACAGTGTGGCCGACGAGATTGCGGTGCGACTTGGAGCGATAACGCGATGTTCCCCGGATTTGCTGGGATTTCGTTAGCCAGGCCGCCAAGACGCCAAGCTGTTACTTTGTCGGATCTGCCGCTTGGAAGCTGAGGAGCGAATCCACAGACGTCGTTTCCGTTTTTACCCTTTTTCCCTGGTCGTCGGCTTCCACGATACGCGTGTGTGTTGTTGTTTTGATGGCAGCCACGGAACTCTTGTGGAACCGAACAGCGTGGTGATGGATCGTCGATGTCCATACGATTGGGAATGTCCATGTGGTTTTTCGTTCCTTTTGTATTTCCGAGCTTTGAAGTCGGGATAATCCGTGTACTTATACTTTCGACGAGGTACTCCGATTGGCGATGTTTGAGTAATCAAGATGGTCGCCGGAGTGATGGCCATGACCTGAAATTGTCGGCCATCTTCTTTCTTTTCAGTGGCCGGAATTCATGGAGTGTCCGATTGGCTGGGTGTTGGGGGATGCGATTGTCCGGAGCGTACAGTGCTGGTGAAGATCTCGTGACACTGTCTTGGTATCCGCAACTTGGACCATCATTGTGTTGTTCCAGTCTGTTGCGAAAACAACTTAACAAAACGCGGGGCAGATAACGACGAGAGACGTGACGCGGATACTGCTATGCGGAGCTCGTTCAACTACCCCTCTGTTGTTTCTGTTTCTTTGCGCAAGCATGACCGTTTTCGCCGTTGTCGCGACACGGGCCGGCCCTCTTGTCAATGATTGTCGCCGCATCGAGTCAGCATCTCGCACAAAGTGGTTCCAAGGAAGGTCGGTCATGTGCCACTGTCAACCACTGCGGTAACCGACAATAATCGCTGCAAATAGCGGGGAATCCGTCGGTAAACACAATCCGTCACTGAAAGAAAAGGACAAGGCCCCGGCTGGTGGACTGTCAAGACTGACAAGGTGAACACGAACAAGACACGAGCCGAGGGGCACCGCTGTCCGGCGGGAAACCTACCCCTCGAACCCCTCAATTTCTTCAACGACATCCACTCGCAACCCACCAGCCGTCATGGGCCACCTTGATGTGATGCTTTCGACCCCTCCTTGACGGCGGGAAAGCTCGAGGTCCAGAACTGAAGTCGAGGGGCACAATGAAGCGAGCCTCGACAAGTCCAGAGGACAGCCGATGTGCATTCTTGAAAAGTAAGTGCCAAGCTGTCCGGTAACAAGAAGCTTTGCCTGCTCGCTGGTATACAACAGAGGAAAGTAGATTACCTCCGAGCTCAGAGCTGTGATCACGCGATATCCAGTCCTGCCAGTGGCTGAAGAGCACGTCGTGGGGTCCGAGATGTGGCACGGCGACCCAGCAATTGGACGAGAACACTGGGATTCCTCATTGCTTCTGTCCCAGCCTCACTTTTGGAGAGGGGAGACAGTGCAACAATGGAACGATGGACATTGCAGCAGCATCCGTCATGCAGGTCAACCATTGAACTGAACCAGGGCGAGCCAGGGGTTGTCTTGGTTCTGTACGACAGCTCCCAGCTTGTTAGTCGTTCGTCGAGAACCTGTCCCATGATGTCTGGTTCCAAAGGTCTCGTCCAGTGAGAGGTATCTCCAAGCCGAAGCCCTGGTACTCGTGTGGGCTCGAATCGCCTGTCACACCCCTTGGCCCGGCCAAGGGGTGTGGCACATTGAATCGCGAATGCAAATGGATTCGCGAAAAAATCTAGGTACATGGTCAACTCTGCAATTTTCTTAGTAAATTAATGTACATATATTTTTTGCATACCCAGCATAAGCAATCTGACTTACACGAGCACATAAATCTATCATAAACTTCTCAAAATGCTTAACTCTTTGATCTAGGAACATTGAGGGGAAGGCATTTTGGTGTTTAATATAAAATGAGGTAATTAGTGTAATAAAGAGCAGGACTCTGGTATACATTTAGATTCTATAGTAGAGTAAAATACTATACTAGAAAATGCTGATTTTAAGTTGTCGAAATTCCTAATAAGAATATTGACCTAGCTTTAAGGCATTGCTAATTTAATATAGGAATGTTTATTGGTTTGGCAGATATTACATGCATGTATGCAGCAATTCTCAAAAAAACAGAGCGACATATTTATACCGCTAGTTTGTATGGGCGGGGAAGTACCGAAATTTTCGCGATTCAATTTGCATTCCCGATTCAATGTGCCAGACCCAATGCGCAGCATTGGGTCTGAAGAGCGTTTCTAGCCCAGACGAGTAGAGGGGAGGTGCCCGGAAAGCGACGTTGGTCGAGACTGGAGCGGCATGGATCATGATGCTTTTCCGCAGTAGGTACACGCGCCTTACACGCTTCTCCAACTCTGTACAGTGGTGGGTTGTGCAGGAGCCCCGCGAATCCAATTGTCGACTGTCGATATTCGAATTGGATGCCAACGCAACTCGAACTCTCCCAACAACAACAAATGCTGGGCTTGGGACACTGCAGCGATGGAACAGTCCTGACCCACTGATTTCTAGCATCTTGAATGGCTTCTGTAACCCAAGATTACAAAGACAACAGAGGTATGCCCGTTGCGTACTCGGCCTGATTGACCCTCCTCAAGCTGGCATAATCACGATATGGCGGTCAGTGACTGCAGCGCGCCAGACAACTCATCAACCACGAACCACAGATAGGATTGCGGGGCGAGCCAGGGCCCAAGCTGAGAGACTCGGATCGGACGGGTGTTAGTGGGAGAAGAAGATTCATGCGAGCATTTCGGGCTCCAAGTTGATCTGCTGAAATGAAGTTTTTAAAGGTAACTCCGGTGGTGAGGTGTCGCAATTCAAGTTTGCGTTCCAGTCTTCCACCGGGCCGTCGCTGACAATCAACTTTTTCCGCGTTGGTGTCGCGCGCCTGCAGGACTTCCGCTCTATCAATGCCCTGAATGGAGGGGGAAGCGGCATGATGTACCTAGGAGATGAGTTGACGGGAAGACATGTACAAGTGCCCGGGCTTCAAGCACCTCGAGACATTACTCCTACACCACGCACCGCACCATGGAAGCATGGCAGCATGACTGCTGCTTCAAATAACGACCGACATCTCAGCGGCGGCGGGATGGTGAGGAACCGTGAGATTGCTCGGGGAGGGGCTTGGGAGGGCAGATCTGTATCTGGCCAACTGGTTTCTGGATGCACTGTGTGGTCAAAGAAATTTGATGACGGGTCTCTCAACACAAAGCAGAACACGCTTCGACACGTTAGCTGGCCAAGTACCTCCAAAGTGGCATGGCGCCATGCTGTCGGCGAGAACTGTACCAGAAGAAACATTGGGGCCTATGAAGATGCCCCTGCCCCGCGCCTTGCATCCCGGCCCTCTTTCCCCTTTTCTGGTCGACATGTCAAACCAGCCCCACCTTGGCGAGGTACTCGAGACATGACCGGCCGACAGCTGTCCAGTCACAGTCGGCGCCTTTTTGCTGGGAGCGCGCAAAGACACACAAAAAAGAAGGGAAATGGCCTTTCTCATCTCAGACTTGTGACGCACCTCAGTTTGCGAGACTCACCGCTCTGGAAAGGTGGGCAGGTGGGCAAGGTGGGCAGCCCGCAAAACAGGTGTCCCAACATTGCTGGCTTTCACCTCCAACATCTTTGCTCTCATGATGTGCCTCGATTTTCACTTGCGACTTGTGTTCAAGTTGTGTTTAGGTCTATCCCGTCCCAACCACTGGAATTAAAACCCAATGAAGGAATCCGGCCCATTTATTTGTAGACTGCCCCTCGGGAGGGAGGAAGTGGGAGACACGCGTGCCGTACCCTGTACCTTCGGCCACCCCTCGATCAGGCGAGCTAGGCCGGATCGAGAGTTTGCAAAATTGCGAATGTTTGGCACCTGCGGTTTCGTAGCGGGCATCGGGGGGTTCTGGGTGCTAAAACGCGGTGACTGCCCACTGGTAGGACGTCTGAGGGAGGCCTGGCGACCTGGGTGAATTGCAGGGCAGGCTCGAGAGGCCACACCCCACACGGTCCGGGTTCGCAGGTTTGCACACGGTGCTGGCACTGGCACACTTTTGGCTGGCACACCTCCGTCCACCTCACTGGCACTCGCCTGCAGTACAGCCGGAGTGCAGGCAGTGGGAACGGGCATGGGAACTGCGCGTGGAACTGCGCGTGGAACTGCCCCCCTCTCTGCGCAAACCATCTTTTCTACCCCGTTCCCCCTCTTCTCGTTTTCCAAAACCCCTCCAGCTTTCCCTCCCACCATCCATCCCCATCCCCATCATCATCACCACCAACGACAGCCACCACAACAGGAGGTCGGCAATCCACCACCGCGACCGCTCAACAGTCTTTGCTTCCCACAGCAAGACGACCCCTCTGCAATTCAATTGGCAGGGGCTTCCCTCACCATCCGCCACGGTTTCTTCTTCCATGATCATATCACCAATGAGCAGCTTCACGAAACAAAGTCACGTCGACACACTTTAAGTCCTACGGGAGCGCCCGCGAGCGAAGGAGTCAGGCGATCTCAACTATCGTTCTGTGAAGGATCAACTGGACTTTCGACTACCACACCCAATTGTCGCTGTCCACGTCGATCCCGTTGCAGCAGTCCGAGTCACCCGCGAGAGGTAGCGAGGCAGCTTCACCACCAGAACCGACATCCCCCACATTCAAAATGCCAGGCGCAAGCGTGGCTGTCGCGCCCACGGCGGCGCCTGCAACGACCACACCAGCACCAACATCAGCACCAACACCACGAAAGGCGCCGGGCGCTACACAGCCAGAGAGAAAATACAAGTGCCAGTTTTGTGCGAGGGCCTTTAGCAGGAGCGAACATCGCAGCCGCCACGAACGTTCACGTACGCTTCATCTCTTCTTCGTTCGATCTCTCTCCCTCTCTGTCCCGTTGGCCGATTACCCGTCTCTTTCCTCTAGGCTTTTTGATCATGTTGCCAAACGGTCATGCTAACATACACTTCAGATACCAAGGAGCGACCATTCAAGTGTCTCAAGTGCAGAAGCACATTCGTACGACGTGATCTCCTCCTTCGACACGATCGCACAGTCCACGCCAAAGATGGCGGCATACCTCTTCACAGCGACGGGAAGCGTCGCGGTGGTCCCAAGGCGGCTCCTCGTCCTGCCACCGGGCCTGCCAAGACCCCCATGGACATCGACACTTCAGCTCTTGAGCAGTTAGAAGCCAGTAGTGACGGTATATTTGATGTGGAAACCGCTGCAATGCTTGTCGCTGACCTTCAACATAAAGCCACCTCTCAGGCGCGAGCAAATGGCGCATCTTACGACGGCAACGGGGCCATGTCCTTTTCGCAAACCAGCACTCCGACTATTGAGCCCTCCGTACCCTTCACCAACGGCTCGATCGGTCTTCCCCAGTGGGACAGCTTTATCTCCCACGATTCGAAGGCGCACTCGGTCATCTCAGGTGCCGGATCCTTCGATACGTCACATCCCAACCATATGGCCCCTATGGGCGGCCAACACATCAACGGACTCCCGCTTTCGTCGCTTCCAGCTTCAGTGAACGGCACTCCCACTCCCCAGTCGCCATTCCTGCCGCACCGCACCCATACTCCTTTGGATGCTACTCAGGCTCACGCCGGCCAGAAGCCTCCTCCTCCTCAGATCAACAGCGATGAGGAGAGGAACATGATTCTGGACAACATCCGTGCCCACGATGCCGAGCACGCCCTCCCAGAAGGATTCCGCGTACCGAGCTTGCCATCGATTAACCGATACCTTGCAACATATTTCGGCTTGTTCCATCACCATCTCCCATTCCTACACCCGGCTTCGTTCGAGCCCACCCGAGTCTCACCACCGCTCCTTCTTGCCCTTCTCTCCATCGGTGCCCTGTATGCTTTTGATCAGGAGAATGCTTATATGCTTCATATCGGGTCGAAGATCTTGGTAAACCAATTTCTTCAGCATAAGGAAAATTTTAGCTCGCGCAAGTGCCCGCTCTGGACCATGCAGAGTTCTCTTCTTAACATGATTTTCGCCAGCTGGAGTGGTGACCCCAAGGGACTCGAATGGGCTTGCTCAATCAAGAGTCTTCTCGCCAACATGGTTGCTGGCAATAGATATGAGCTGAAGCTTCGCCAAGAGGCTCGTGAAGGACGCCCCCCGACGCGCGCCGAGTGGGTTGAGGATGAAGGTTGCAGGCGTACTTACTATGCGGTGTACATCTTCTTCGGTCTTCTTACCCTGACGTTCAACCACACTCCGGCCATCAACTTCAACGAGTTCGAGGACCTGCAGCTCCCAGCCACCGAGTTCCTTTGGAACGTCAAGGTTGCTGATGAAGTGGCGTGGCAAAAGCATCTCGAGGCGTCTCCTGCCCCGACATTCATGGTGGCCCACGATAACCTCTTCCAGGGTGAGACGCTCACGTATAGCGCTTTTGGAACGCGTGTTATGATCAATGCGCTCTTCCTGGAAGTTTGGTATCATAAGAGGAGTCCCGAGGCTTTGCAGGATGTGGTGACCGAGTACAAGCTCAGACTCGCCCTTGAGACGTGGGAGAAATCTCTAGAGTTCTGCGAGCACGAGACAGTAGCGGCCCCACTGCACACGCCTCAAACGGGCCATCCCTTGATTTTCAACGCCAAGGCCATGTATCGCAACGCGCGTGCTCGCTTGGAGGTGGATTTGAAGACGGTTCAGGAGGCCCTTCGGTACCACGACTCCTATGAAGTCGCCGCTGCCATGTCGAATGCCCGGGATCGGGTAAGACGCTCGGACGAGATGATCAAGGTCATCCAGGTCTGCTATGACTGCATTGAGACTGCGGTCGACACTGGTGTCCGCTGGGTGGCTCGTACCTCGCCCACAAACTGGAGCATTGAGCACCCATTGTGCGGCATGGACCTCATGATCATTCTCAGCCTCTGGCTCTATCGTCTGGAACATGACGAGGAGCAGGCAACGGAAGAGGAGCAGGTCATGTACAAGCGTGTGCGAGAGCTGTTTACGAGGGGGCTCCAGGAGAAGATTGACGGCCATCTTGGCGCTGTTGTCGCGAGACTCTGGGCCTCGATGCTTGGTGAGGTCGTTGTTTGGGGGTAAGTGATTCCCGTGAACAGCCATTTGACTATTTTCGGCTAACGTAATTTTGCAGAATCACCCGTGTGATGGCCGACTCATTCCGCCTTCATGAGCAAGCTCTCATCGGTTACGTCGATGACATTGAAGCATCCCCCAGTGTCACGACCCCTTCGATGACATCTCAAGGGGCCGATGAGGACAGCGTGTATTAGTTGTGACGAAGTTGACGATCTTATTTATGGTTTGTGAGGGTGGGGTTTCGGCATATACCTTTTTCGAGCGGTTTTGGGTTCTCGTCATTGTTCGGTTTCATCGCTTTCAGCGTTTCATTGTCGCTTCTCGCTCAAGAGTGATTTTCCAATTTCTGTTTTCCAATGGCTTCAGGGTTCATCGGCGCGAGGGGTGGGGGTCTGAAGGGTTTCCTTGATAATTCTTCTGGGGTAGCTGTGGCATTTCGCGTCTGCATGGTCGTGGTATTGGGCAATGATGGAGGGACAGGTTTGGTAATCCGGTTTCGCATTGGTCCCGAACGGCAGGAAGGAGGATCAAGTCGCGCACAAAAGCTGGCGCAAGCATCTAATAATCCGCAAAAACCGACACGGTTTGCTGGTCCCATGTGGGAATATTTTTCCTTCTCACCTTGTCTCATTAGCTACGGCGCCCTTACCGCTTTATAATAACCCTTTCACGTCTTCGCCGCTGTTGTGTGCGGCGGCAGACATCTATCTCCTACTCGATTTTCCTTTCCAGCTTCTGATACCTTTGTTCTACTACACACTGTTGGCTTTGTTGTCGTTGTCTGTTTTATTTGCCGAATTCTCGCGCGTTCTGTTTTTTGCCTTAATTATTCTAGTAACAACTTTTCCTCATTTCCTTTTTTTCATTACCCTTCTCTGTACTAGATATCAGGACTAGGAACGTTGTTTCTGAGCAGAAACAGGTGGACTGCAGGAGCTAACGGACTAGTTGGGTTATGTTTTTGGTCTTTCCTTGTCTTTGGTCGTTTTCCTTGGGAATGAGCTTTGGTTCGGCGCATGGTTAGCGAGCTGAACCTAAAAGTTTGTTCAAGACATACAACAAATCTCCCCACAAGACTGATAGTTAATGCCGAATTGACATAAAAATTTCAATCTTCCTGGTCTCGCTTCTACCTCGTGAGTTGCGTGTTCAGACTTGGTGGGCTCGTGGGGCCAATATCTCGATTTTCTCCATATCAAGACAAGACAGGTCGTGTAACAGAAGTTCCTGCACGTAGCCACGATCAATATTTTTTCCTTCTCACTATCGCCAGCTTGTCTCGGAAACGCATGAGTACGTATTTTGAAGGCCGGAAACGTCACTCGAGTAGTGCTCTGATTGCTATCAAGTGCATTGCGAGCCTATTTCCATTTGAGTTCCCCTCTGTATCATGTTCTGTAGGAGATAGCAAACACTTTCCAAAAGCAGACGTCACTTGAGCCATCAAGTCCTCTCAAAGACGGCTGAACGCGCTTGAACGCGGTAAAAGAACAATGAGCACGTTTCATCTTTGAGATCAAGGAGACGAACCTTATCTTATTAGGAAGGAACACGTCTTTGCAGCTGGATCTAACAGTCGAACTGTTAACGGGTCGCGCCTGAAAGGGAAGGAACGCACGTAACGGGACGAGGGGGAGAAGGTCAGATGGTGGGAAAGAACGCCTTTGTTGAAGCAGGTACCCGTCTGTTTGTTGCCGATATTGCTTCAGCTTCTTTCCTTTCTTGTACACAATCAGTCTTTGATCCCCCACCCTCGTCTCTTTTCAGTCACTCAGTCCCAGCTCATTTCTTCCGACAACTTCTCATCTTCACTGTCGAGGGCGTTTCACTCGTTCACCGCGCTTAGGTCGGGTTAACCCCTCTGCTCAACCCTTGCCCTCACTTCCATCCTCTCGCTCGATCAACAGTGTTCTTTTCATCCCAGATGAGCAAAGAAGAGCTCATCATCAACTTCACACTAGAGTCAACTCAAACCACCATACTTCATTCTCTATACTTTCTACCTTGCGGCTACCTTGCGGCCACCTTCTCTCTCTCGTCGGTCGTGTAACGGCTGCAAATCTGAGAACCGTCTGAGTCCACTCCTGCTTGGACATCAAGACACGCAGAAAGGAGAAACGCGATTCACTCGTTGCATCTCACATCACAAATCTCTCTGTCTCACAGTCAAAGCGCGCTTCGGGACTCGGAACCCAACCTCCATCACTTCCCTTTCAACGAGAATCACGAACCCTGCGTTTTATGAGCTTGTCTCAACTCCGCCATGATGCTATTGGCTATGACTGGCAACGCGCCTAAGCACGGTAGTGCTGGCTCTGGTTTCTTTACCAAGCGCCCCTTCTCACTTTTCCACTCTCTTTGCCTTCTGGTCATTGCCTTGGCCTTTTCAGGACAAGTCCTTGCCGACTGCGAATGTGGCTATCAAAGTGATAACCTCGACGGCGTTTATCAGAATGTCTTCACCGATCTCATTGAGACGAACTTTGCCCGCATGCCCGATATTTCCACCAACACTGACTGGCTGCGCCAGGAGTTCAACGTGACCAAGTCCAAGGCTCGCGGAGAATATGGAGAGATGTTTTACATCAACGATGACGTGGAATATGTGGACAATATTGGCAACAGGGCCTCTGACGGCGTGCAGCTCATTGTCAGACAGGACCTGGTTGACGGTATGGTCCCCGTGGCGGAGATCGATACCGCGAGGCTGGATCTCTCCTATGGCACTTTCCGGGCTTCGATGAAGTTGACGGCTACCCCTGGCACTTGTGCGGCATTCTTTTGGGTCAGTATCAACTCACCGTGTGCAATTCCTTTTTCGGACCCCGCTAACTTATTCTCCTTTGCAGTACTTCAACGACACCCAGGAGATTGACATGGAATTTCTGTCCAAGGAGTTCGACCACAGCAAGAACACTTATCCAGTCAACCTTGTGCTACAATCCCGAGCCGCCGCCGCGCATGGCTACGACGCCTCGCAAACCGACAACTTCATCAAGGCAAACCTGCCCTTCGACCCCACGGCTGATTTCCACGAATACCGCATCGATTACAACCCAAGCGAGATTCTCTTCTACGCTGACAGAGAACTGCTCGCCAAGATGAATGGCTCCAACGTTCCGAGTCCTACTTCACATGGCCACCTGATCTTGTCGCATTGGAGCAACGGAAACCCCAAGTGGTCTGGCGGTCCCCCGAAGCAGGACGCGCATCTGGTCATCCGCTATATGAAGGCCTACTTTAACTCGACTGACCCTAAGAGAACACAGGATTGGAGCGGTCGGTGCAAGAATGCTAAAGCGCAGACCTCTGTGTGCAAGATTCCGGTTGTGACTAGGGAGAATCAGACTGCCAAAGATTACTTTTTTAGTGATTATCCGGACAAGGCAAAAAACCAGACGGTGTATGAGCCTACTAGTGGTGCGAGAACCTTTGAAGCGGTGGCGCGCTGGACATTGATGGTTATTTTGTTCATGGTTGGCTTTGCAGGGGGCTTCTTTTGAGAACTGGTTTACTGTTCGATCCTGTGGCAAGGAGAACATATCAAGACACTCCTGTGGCAGGGGGAAAAGTACGATAGTATTAGTACCTGACGGTTTATATGCGTGTGCAAATTCCGTTCGATTTGCTTGCTCATTACCGGCCTATTTGTTGTAGGCTGGTCATCTGATGTTCTACCATAGTCCGGAGAACTGGCATATCTGAGGGCACAAATTGAGGTATCGGCCTCTGTAGGATCAAAGAAAGGGATGTCCATCATGGATTGTCCGAAGGAAAGTCTCCTGTTTGCAAGAAAATTGTCACTTTCATACGGCTTCAAGGACATACCAGATATTGAGAGGGGCACACAGTATCAAAGCCACGTGTGGATAGACACCTCAACTCCCCCAGCAGGTAGTGAGGGTGCTCTACTCCAACTCTTTATATAGTTAAAGCGTGGCGTGATAGCAAGAATACTACCCTCCAATGAGACCTGCATATTCAAAACCGGTCATCTCACATACCGTGACTTTTACCCCAGGATTTTGTGTGTCCCTGAAGTGGTGTGGGTGGGTGGCGCTTACGTTCGGAGCTTTTTCTCTTAGTGTTGTCCCACCCGTCAGTCGTTGTCAGATTTCCCCGGATTTTGGGCGCTCTTGGCTTATTTAGCTGCGCCGCTGCTTGGCTGCGCCGTTCGAAGCCGCCGCATTGACGTGTTGTTTTCACATGCTTCAGTTTGTGTGCATATTTACAGAATCTCGAATTTGTCGTTGACTGCCGCTTAAGAGGAGAGGCACAGGTTACATCGAGTTTTTTGTTGTGTTTGATAGGTGGAGGTAGTAATAGCTACCCCAACTGCCTGTCTTGGGGGGACTTGAGATTAGGGAAGTATGCAATGATAGGATTGGAGAGGACGAACTTTTGAACTAAGTGTGGGAGGGAGGTGTAGACACTTCGGCCCTTTGTCAGTGCTTTACTCCCTCACTCACTCCACAAGAAATCTTCGGACAGAACGAAGTCAGATGCCACCACCCACTTTCATGTTCTTGTTCTTGTTCATGTTTTTTTTTCTTGTCCTTGTTGGGTTACTATATCACCAGTCACCTACACTAGTTAGATGGCTGGCAAGACTACTAAGGTAGGTAGGTATCAAACACTTCCTACCAATCCCTTCTCTTTGTAATCTCGAACCTTTTTGCATGCATGAGTGACATTCTATTTCCAACCGACCCAATACAATTGCGTTCAAGACCCAGCCAGACTTGCTGTTATGTATTATGCTGTTATGAAAAGTGAAACGGGGTGTACATAACACCCATCTTATACCCCTTTTATACCCGAGCCGTTAACGGCGGCATCAACTCCAGTCATCAACTCCCCGTTCGCCAAGTCGCATAACAACTCATGACGCTACTACCCCAATTTATCCCTTGCAGCAATGCATCGATACGTGACCCCCTTTGATCGGCAGTTTCATCGAAACCGGACCGGGCCTGGATGACAACCTGACAACGTGTGTCTGGACTGGATGACCTGCAGACCTGTACGCTAGACCTGCTGTTTGGATCGGAGAACCAGAGTAGTGTAAGGCGATCGATCATCAACGTCAACGTCAACGTCAACGTCAACGGCCAGAAGAAAAAAAATGGGTCACCAGCCTTCGGGAATCCTTCTATTTGAGGAAGATGGGCCGCTTTGCTTCCCAATTCTCCTAACCAAAGCAGGACAGAGGTTGCCAAGGCAGCAAAGGGTCTCGTGTTCTTTCGGAGTTCTCGAAGGAGTGGATGGAAGAGGAAGATCTGAGAGGCTGCCAAGCTTGGATGTCCTAGACATAATGTCTAGGGTCCAATATCAGCGATGTGAAATGACGAATGATCTTGTGGGTGTGTCACAAGTTGAGGGCAGGTGTTCAAGTTTTTTCTCTCTTGGTTCTTAACCCTCCTCATATCGTACGCGTAAGTTGGTGAGGTTTCCAGTACCATGGGTCTGGGTTTTGTCGTTGCATCTGTCTTTTTTTGACTGGAACCTGAAGGTAGGAACAAACAGGATATAAAGTGGGCTTGCTCATCTGGACAGACAGACACCTTGATCTCAGTCAGTTCACAGAGAATCAGGATTCCTTTTTCTGCAGAAGGGGTAACATTTTCAAGCAAGAAAGATATTAAGAGGCATACCTACCTACCTGTCATCCTACCGACCTTACCGTCCCACCTGCTTTTCACTTTCTCATCTCTTTCAGACAAGCAGTTAGTGCCAGCAATCCTCCTGTCCTCACCGTTCATCTTCGTTCAACCATCATCATCAAGTCCTTCCACGAACAACAACCGGGCAACACAGCAACAATGGCGACCCTCACCATCCCGCCAACCCAACAATCCACCACCGCAACCGCAGCCGCAACCACCACCCCCTTGGATGCGCCCATAACCACCCAAACAACCCCTCAAACCCTCACCATCTCCCTCCAAAACAACACCCCCTCCCCCACCGTCTACGCCTACATAACCGGCCAAACCCTTTCCGGCGGCACCCTCTTCATCCTCTCCTCCACCGGCACCACCCCCTACACTTTCCCCTCGCCAATAACCCAAACCCTAACCCCCATCCCCTCCTCCCTAATCTCCATCCCGCTCAACCCCCCCTCCTCCCCACCTAAGACCGTCACAATCCCCCGCTTAGCGGGAGCACGGATCTGGTACTCGGTCGGTTCCCAACTCCAATTTTTCTTGAATCCGATTACCGGCCAGGAACAAGATGGTAAAGGGCGGGGGGTAGCGTTGGTAGAACCGAGTGTGACGAACGAGAGTGATGTCAACTATGAGAAGGAGTGGGGGTTTGCCGAGTTTACGTTTAATGAGTATCAGCTGTTTGGGAATGTATCGATGGTGGATTTTGTGGGGAGGTGTCCTGTCTCTCTTGGAGTAATCAGAGATACGGGGAGGGCGGGAGATGTGCAAGAGGTGGAGGGGATGGGGTATGGAAGTGGATTAGATCGGGTTATTGATGGATTAAGACAGACGGGAGGGGATTGGGAAAAACTGGTCGTAAGAAGGAAACAAGATGGGGTGGTGACGAGGGTGTTGAGTCCCAATTCGGCGGTGGTGATGGCTTCCCAGAGGGGCGAGAGGTTGTTCAGCGGGTATTATGACGGGTATGTGAGGGATGTTTGGGAGAAGTATAAGAGAGAAGATTTGGTGGTGGATACGCAGAATAAATGGGGGGTGGTTAGGGGGAGGGTTGATACGGCGACGGGGTTGTTGACGTTCCCTATCCCGGGTTCCGGCACTGGTGGGAAGATTACATTCGGACAGCCGTCGGCGGCGGATATCTTCTCTTGCTCCACGGGTCCGTTCGCCTTTCCACCGTTGCCGGCGAACCCGACCGAAGCCGATCTCGATGTCCAGGCGTTTCGAGGAAATGTCGGGGCGCGTCTGGCGGCGGCATTCAACAGGAGTACGTTGTTGATTAATCCGAACCAACCGGCTGGCGAGGTGATCAGTACGTTCTACAAGAGCAATGCGGTGACGAACCACTATAGCAGGGTGGTGCATGAGAATAGCCCGGGAGGAAGGGGGTATGCGTTCCCATATGACGACGTGTCGAGGACGGAGGAGGAGAATGTGGCTGGGACGGTGGCAGCCGGGGATCCCAAGGTTTTTGTTGTGGCGGTGGGTGGTGGAAAGGTGAACTTTGCGGCGTTGGGAACGGCGGGCGTGTCGAGTGCGGTGACTGCTACCGGCGGTGCGGAGAAGGGGGAGAAGAGGGTGGCTACTGAAGACAGAGGAATGAGAAGTGGGAGAGGGAGGGTAAAGAGAATCAGAGGGTTGTTGAGGAGGGCTGTGGGTTGGGTGAGAGGATGAGGTGTGGTTTTTGTTGTATCATTTTGCTTCTTCTGGCGCCTGTCTTTCCTGTATTTATGGTGATATTTTCATACACATAGCGATCAGTACCTATCTCGTCTTCGTTAACTAGACACGAATGTCAAAATAAGCTTATTTCGGTGATAGTGGAGCGGGAAGAGAGAGCTGACACTGTAGACGGTGCCGGTACCGTACAAAATCCGGAGCACAAAAAGGGGCAAGTAAACAAAGCCATCAATAGCAGGCAGGCGACGACTGAGTGTCCTTCACTCCACGGGTTTTTCAGAAGATGCCGGGCTCAAATCGCAACGTTTATCGCAACCAGACTTCTTGATGATGATAACAGTATTCCACAGCTGGATAGAGTTCGTCTTGTCCTGGAACCCTTGTGCAACGTTTGACATTGTTTTGTTTGAAGCAAGCATTGGCTGGTGTACACGTTACAAGCAGAGTTCCGTCAGTGGAGGCCCGGCCCGGCCTTACAGGTGGGTTCCGCTCGTCACAGCGGGTGTGGGGAGCGCGGGCTTAGCGCCCGAAATGGAGTGCAACACTGTAAACACAGTGGAAGTTCAGTGGCTGCCCGGTGTGGACCTTTTGATGGTTGACGTGAGGCTGCTCGGAAGTGCTCCAGTTCGCGCCAGTCTGCAAGAATCGAAGCCAAGGATAACCAAGGAAGCTTGAAGGAAACATTGAGAGCGCGGCTGTGAGAGGTTGAAGAAAGAAAATGAGGAGACCCACGCATAACTGCGCCTGCTGAAAGTGCCCCGCACTTACTGCGTACTGGCGGCTTACACGCACAACACGTGGAGGGGAGCTCCAGTGACGTAATTGTACGTTTGGTGGTCGTTGGGGAAGGTGGGCTGGAACTGGCGTCATCAGCTCTTTCTCCACAACTTTTTTTTGTTTGAACCGCTCATTCTCTGGATGACACATGTTTTGGTTGTGCTTTGAAACAGCAGTCAATATTTGTCGGGTATGTCATGCACGATGGTGTATTATACGAAAAGGGACGAGACTTGTGAACCGACACCAGAAAACGAAGCAGTGACAGCGACTGGAGAGTTGGAGATGGGATGGAGAAAGGGGACGGGAACTTGGATGTGTGCTACTACGGCCGATCTATGGCTGGTACTTTGCAAACCTGAAGTGAACATCGCCAAGGAAGGGACCCTGAGATGTACGAGATGCGTACGAGCTGTCTTTTGAACCTTTCGGCGGCGACGATCAGTGGACATAATTTCCCCGAACAAGAGGGTGTGGAGATTCCATTCCGTCCGATGGACAAGCTCAGACGACGGAAGGCACGTTTGTTTGGCCAAGCCTCAGACGGTACCCCCTCCTTCCCAGAAACCAAATCAAGTCTGCAACAAAGACGTCAGCGGCCTCCGTGAAGCAATGAGGTAAGAGGCCAGTCTGGTGTAAAACTTCCATAGCCCAACGAAAAGGTCGTGTACCCCCACTCTCGACAGGAATAAAACGGCCGTCGATTTCTTTCCTTTCTTCCACGTCTATCCTGTTCTCAATTACTGAAGATCTTTACACTTGATACCAATCCCTCGAGATACCCATCTGTTTACTTTCCACGAACAAAAACACCACCCTAATTCTTGATACCCACCTTAGCCCATCATGGAGACCATCAACAAGGTTGCCAGCGCTGCTGCCACCACTGCTAGCAACGTCGCCGTTGAAGCTTCTAACCTCGCCGCTCAGGCCTCTAAGGCAGCCGTGAACGCCGTGTATGGAACTAACCAGTCCCATGAGGAGCCTATCTCGGGCAAGACAGGCGATGTCTCCAAGGGAGAGCCCTACGACGCTGGCAACATGGGTGAGTGCTTCTTATGACATGGTTTACTCTTGACTTAGTCCTAACACGATTGTGTCCTAGAACCCGGCGAAAGCACCGGAGTGGCTGTCGGCGAGAGGATGGTCACCGATCGCACCGTTAGGCCTACCTCCCCCAAGATCACCCAGGACGCTGCTGGCCCTGTGAAGGAGGACGGAACTGAGCCCAAGCCAGCGAACCAGGTCAAGGTACCAGAGGCGGAGAAGGACCACAGCCCACCAACCGTCAACTCCAGGATTGACAACCACTACAACATCCCCGAGCACTCCACTGTCAACCCCAAGACCACCGATATCAAGGCTCTTGACAACAACACTTCGTCCCACGAGACTACCGCCATCAAGCCTCTTGACAGCAACACTTCGTTCCCCACGACTACCACCCACACGGCTACCGCTATCGAGCCCCTAAACGATACCTTTTCGTCCCACAGGAACATTCCTGCCGAGCAGTCCACTACCTTCCAGGACCAGAGCTCCTCCAAGCACGACGTGCCCAAGGTCAACCCGGCCGCTACCCAGGATTCGTCTCGTCAGACTGGCGACAGCACTCAGGCCCAGAACGACATTCGTTCCCCGAATGATCCTTCTACGCACCCCACTCACGTAAACGCGAGGGTGAACGTCGATGACCGTGATGGTGGCTTGGATGCCAACAAGAACCCCAACAAGGAGCTTGGCTCTGGTCCCAAGCCTTTGGTGGAAGTTGCTAAGCAGCACGACGGAGATGCTGGTAAGGTCGAGAATGGAGGTGTCAAGGAGCCCCAGAGCGGCGCCCCCAAGGAGGAGCAGACCAAGCCGGAGTCCCACCATATTCACCATGCTACTGGCTTTGTGGCTGATGGCGGAGACTTTGACGCGGCGGCACCTGGAGCTGGTAGTGAGGCTGATCGTGAGTACCTCTTATGAACTCAGCCATGTTATAGTTGACCTACTAACATTGTTATCCTTAGGTCTTCTCGAGTCAACGGGAATCCACAGGGATAACGCTAATGGCCCCCTGACTGGTAACACCGAAGCCCTCGACCAGCACGACCAGCACGGACATAAGGAGAAGACCAGCTTGAAGCAGAAGATCAAGGACAAGTTGCACAAGCACTAAACTGCTTGAAGCCTTGCTTATATTGTTCTTCCTTTCTTGGCTGTGTATGATATCCTTTTCTTTTGTCTCTGATGTTACGAACTAATGACGGCAAAGGTGTTCTTGGGAAGCTTTGGTAGAACAGTCCTTGATGGACAGCATGGTTTATTTGGTCAGTCCATGCAATGTCGGGTACTTCGATTATACCATGACCATAGCAGTTGAAGACCTTCTTTTCTACTCATGATGAACCCAAATTGTAACACCCTCCTCGTGACCAGAATGATAGATGGCTGCAGTAAGACAGTGGGCAAACCGCAAATGGTCGTTATAGGCAGAGCCAGCATGATAGGTATCTTGAAAATTTTACAATGTGGTCATCCCCCGCATCAACGATGCAAAAACAATAGTGCATCGAATATTAAAAAGACAGAAAGAAACAAAAGGACGGTGGGGTGGACAGGCAGAAAAAAGACTAGCTAAAAAGGAAAAAAGGGGAAAAAAAGGAAAAAAGAATGCCCAATAACAGGATTGAACTGTTGACCTTCGCATGGACTTGATATCTCAGAGAGGAGATATTAGTACGACGCTCTAACCAGCTGAGCTAATCGGGCTTTGTTGAATGAGTGGGCAGGTTGATGGGGTTATTTACCAGATTACGCATTGCTATGGGTGTGTAGTGCTCCTTCCGTACTGGCTCTTGCGTTGCGTTGGGGGGAATGTGTCGGTTGGTGTTGAAGTTACCGTATCCTAGTTTGGCAACTGTCGCGGTTTCCTTTTTACCGAAACGTATAGCGATAGGAAGGAACATTGGAGTAGAGGGAAAGAGATGATTGAAGGTTTGACAATGAATGGAAGGGTTTGGAATCGCGGAGTGTCGATGTTCGGTTTTGGTGGTTTGTTGATGTCGGCTATTACGTTTGGTTACAGAACACACATGCCTCTAGGTGGTGTAATAGTAACATACCTGTACTGTACTGTAATAATACCTACCTTCAACACCACGCTTCATCCAACATCGCGACAAAAACAAGATGCGCTTCCAGGCAACTCCAAAGAACAATAATCGTCCCGTTCCTCCCAAAATATGTAGTAGCTAGCCGCTCGAATAACTGCCAGACGTCAAGTCACAAGCTGTCTCCACCCAGTTGCCTCAACCGGCGAACAGTAGTAGCGAGTGGGCCGGTCTCCCTTCAAACTACCAACACCAACACCAGGGTAGCAATCTTCAAAGATAGGCGAGCATCACCAACTCGAACCGGTCTCGTTGGTCCGGTTCTCATTGATCCCATGGCAAAACTTGGCGACCGTTGGTTACCCCATCTCGCCTATATGAGCATTATAGTGGAGAAAAGACCCCTCGACGGTGATGTTTTCGGCGGCACATTGTCAGATTGTCACCCCGAACCGATGAAACGACAAAGCATTGGGACTGAAGACGAAGAGGAATTGAGCAGGATGGTCACCCAACTAGATGTTTTTTATCAACTTGCACCGTTGGTTGTTTAACATGTTTATCTCCTCCAGTCCTTCTTTTTGCCGCCTTCTTTCATTCTCGTTATGCGACGTCTCAGTTGGCACTCGCACTCTCCTCCATGGAATTTGGCGAGTTGGGAAGGGCTGATCGAGGCGCTTCGATTCCTGTGAAACTGAGTGCTTTCGGCGCCGCGTACTCGCTTCGTTGGGTTGGTCGGTTGTCGGTTCTTTCACGAAAAATCTCTTGCGGACTGGTGATCTGGCTCAGCTGCTACTTTGTGGAGAGGATATCTTCTGGTGACAATGCTGGATGGCTTCCCCACTGCATCCGGTCAGCCCTCACAGTCCACAGCTAAACTGTTCTTGAGAACACACCTGCTACGCCATGCGAGATCTTTGCCGCCGTGTCTCTCGGTGGTTGTTGGTGCAACTCATGTTGTCTAACGAGACCTTTACAGCTCACGCGTCATCGTCATTTTCCCACCCCTTTGCCGTGGGCGCGATGTTGGCTCCGCTACCCACATGCGGATTTCCTTGAGGATGTTATTTTTCTTTCGGAATGCGCGAATGTTAACGATGCCGGGGCAATCTTTGCGCGCGTACCGAGTCCTCGTCAGTGTCGGTTGGTCCTGGGAGCTTCATTGTGCCTTCGGTTTCTTTCACCTCGACTGCATGTTTGCAGCAATCCGGGGGATCGTTGGTCTGAAGAAAGCTTGAGCGAGAAGGACGAAGAGTTGAGATGTTCGAGTATAAATGGTCGTCATCTGGCCTGGTTGATGAGGAATATATCAGCATCACCATCACCTTTACCATCGACATCAAGACAAGCCTCGGACAAACTACCTGCGATCTTTACTGCTCTTACTCATTTTTCACTTTTTTTTTAGCCGTCAGACACCTTTCCGCATTATCGATTCCCTCATACGACAATGTCACAGGACGACAGACCAGCCACAAGGGCCTCACAGGTCTCGTTTTCGTCGGCCGGACGTCCTTTGAGTAATCAAAGCAATGCTCCGCCGTTACATGATTTCGGACATTTCCAAGACATAACAGCTCAAGCGCGCGGTGAAACGCGCGCTGGTCCTTCGAATGAGCAACCCGCCACTGAAACAGTCTTAGGCAAGCACAGGAGAGAACCTAGCGGGTGGTCGACCGGGGCATCAACCGTGGCATCAACCAGGGCCATACCACCCAGCTCCAAGAAACAAAGGACATGGCCCTCAGGTGCCTCAGAAATATTTCCGGCTGACCTCACTACACTGAGCCCGGACCAATTGATTGATAATTACCTCATTGCTACGAAGAATAATCTCGAGAAGGCGGCTGATTCGTTTGAAGCCTACCGGGACTTTGTCCTCATCGCCGATGACACGTCCCATACCAAGTCCGAGCCACTGGCAAAGCTTCTTAGAGACACGGAAGTGAGGTTCAAGACTTTTGCAAGTTCACAACAATTGGCGGGCGCCAAGATGAATTCCAGATTTGCAGATCAGGCTCTTGAGAAGCTCGCCCCTTTCGACAGGAACGCTAGGACGTGTAAGGCCTCCTTGGGGATTCTTTGTGCACCTTATTCCCAGTTAAAGTTGCTAACTAGAATTTGCTCAGTCTACGGGGATCTTTATAATTTCATGTGGGCGAATGGAGGATATCAGGCAGGCATGACGAAAGACTCCTTGGCCACCCAATATTTCGAAGTCACTCTGGAGGACTATGTAAGTGGAATACGTTAACATAGCACTGGCGTTCGACCGGAAGTCAAGATGGCTAACGTTGGTTCCTCACCAGGATGTTGTTGATGCGTCGTTGGATGAAGTGAGCATAGATATCACGCGTCTTGAAGAGGAGTGCAAAAACATTGATATGGCACTTCGTAAGATATTGAGGGATGACCCCATTCCAGAGGCCAAACTCAATCCGAACAATGAGGAAAACCCGTGGGAGCCGGAAGATCCTACCCATGGAGCCGGAGGATTAGACTCTCCGCCGGATAGCCCTCCTGGTGGTCCTGCCGGAGCAGCCGCGGGACTTAGTCCCGCTTCAAGCCAATAGCCGGTCCCCCAAACCAGGAGGTTCACACGGCTCCCAACCAGGAAGCCATGGCACTGTAACGACGCATCAGTTCTCAGTGTTTCCTCCGGAGCGAGTCTAGCCTCCGACAGTGCCCTTGCCCTGGGCAGGCACCCATTTCATTTTGTCAGGACAGATCAGATCATGCTCGGTTTTGGGTTTTGGGTTTTGGTTTTTCGGTCCTTTTATTTGGGATGCATTCCGGAAATGCATCAGGAAAGTGCGACTGCGACTGGGCTTGGCTTTTCAATAGGTTGGATATTGGATAAGGGACATCGATCGTTACGAGCTGAATTAGAGGAAAGAAGTGAAAAGAGGCTTGCGGGCAGGTCTTGCAGAAAATGGGGTGATAAGTTTGATAGTTTGTTGTTAGTTTCTCCTTCCTTTGATGGGAGGGAGGGAAGGATAATAAACTTGATTCACCCCAAAAGTTCCATGTTGAAGGTATAATTTCTCGGGTCTTGATTGGTTGAGTTGTGTCTCTGCCTTGGGGTAATATTCGACTCCCTATTCTAGTGAATAAAGGTAACTAACCACTCACCCAAAGGACCCTCACGAGCTGGCTCAGGTCTTCTCCGCTGTTCTTTCCATGCCTAGTTACGTATCTATCTCCATGGATGGAACACCGGGCATACCTAACTCCGCACAAACTTGACAACGGTTCAATCAAGCCCGGCAAGCGGTCACCCTCCTCTTACACCCACCCCGCGTACCAATCCAGTAACCTACATTCGTCCCTAGGGTAGAGGTAGTTAGGGGATTACGGAGGAAGGCAGAGATGGTCTCTCTCGGAGAAAGAGTGTAGACTAGAGGGAGGTTGGAATAGAGGTAATGACGAAGTACCGTCGACTCCTTGTACGCGCATAAGGGACGACGAGGATTTACTTGGTATGACTATGACACCGAGAGGACTGCTGTTGGTGTTGGGTGACTTCACACTCGGTAGACAGACTGCTTATATGTCCGTAAACCTCACCTTCAGAGCAAAGCTCAAACCAGGACAATAGAAATCAGAGCATGAATGATAAGTCAAAGTTAAATAGATATGCTAGAATTATATAAAACGAATAGCATGTAAAAAAAACTGTACAACAAAACAAAAAACAACGCTGCCTTGTGTTCGTTGGCCGTGAGGATACCAAATATCAAACAAGCAAGATTTCGCTTCTCGCTGGCCTACCATCCCTTGATCCTGTCCAGCCCCTATTTGATAGCCTTGAACACCGACCGGGATAGTATAAGTAGTAGTTAGAGTCCCAGGAACCAAGTGACAGAAAATGTACGGTGAATCGCACAGAAGGGCCCGTTTATCCGGCCTTCCATCCATATGCTTTGCCTTCTTCATCCAACCAAATATGTTCTTGTGCAGTCGTCATCTCCAATCCCTTGACCATGGGCCAGATCCGCTTTTGTTATAGCCCCAGCCTGATATATCTGCCTCAGGGGTCAATAAGACTTCGACCTCCTCGCCACAAAGCGAGGGTGCTCGCACAAAAACATTCAATCCCGCTATCGTTCTTGAGCTTTCATCGCATTTAAAAGTTCCAAGACGCAAATACTCCTGGAAGCGCACCCCGCGCGTATAAAGACCCGCAACTAAGCGTTGTCATGAATATGCAACTGCGCAAAGGCCTCGCTGTCCAGTTTCCCATTGACGTTGACGTCGAGCGACTGTTTTCCGTTTCCGTCCCCATTAGCGCTTCCAGCAGAGCTAGTAGCGTTGGTGCTGGGAGTTACCAAGTCCAGTGGGCTGTTGGGCTCGGATCCTCCATCGGGCGTCGGAAGTGTCGAGGTGATGTGCAGAGAGGGCGATGCTGGGCCTAGCGACGGCGGCGTACTGCTGCCGTTCTTGGCAAGCTCCTCCTTCTTGTCGATGTCCTTCCTGAGCTCGTTGATGATGCCCTGGAATCTCTTGAGGGCGTTTCTCTGCCTCTCGTCCAGCCCCTTGTGGTTCCTGAGCAGCTCATTGATCTTCGGCTCGAGCGTGTCGATGAAGAATTGCTGCTCTTCAATGCTGAAGGTCGAGTGTTTGACGAGTTTCTCTGTTCATTTGTTAGTAACCTTTGGTGAGCACAGTAGCCTGGATTTTAACTTACGAATCACGTAGTTAGCAAAATGATCCAGCATGAGGAACCGCAGAAAAGAGTCGGGCGATTGATGCTCGGAAGAATATCCCCCGACCCCGTCCTGCGGGTTGAAGAACATGTCCCTGATACGGCGAACGTCTTCCGGGGTGCCGTAGTTGATGCACTTCTCCACCACGTTGGAGGCGTGTTTGTGTGTTGAGAGAGTGATCGTTTGAGACATGACTGCAGCGATCATGCGGGCGCGGTCTTCGGGTTTCCCTGCTTCGATGATGTGCTGGGCAACATAGTTTCCGTAGGCATCTGTGATCAAGGTGTGGGCACCCTTGTGCAACTCAGACACGAGATAGAGCTTGTCCTCTTCATTCCCGTGCTCCAAGGCTCTCTGGATGACTCTGCAAGCGTACTGGTTCAGGGCCAGTTCCATGACCTTGCCAGGCCCTTTGAAGGAGTCGTAGATGAACCCAATGTCGTCTCGGGGCAAGAGTTTGATGATCATCTGGATCACATGGTTGCCCTCCTGGGATTTGTTGAGTTTGTCGACGTGGTCTTTCAACTCGGTGACTAGGTCAACTTGGTACCGGCGGAAAATGTTGTCGAGGGCCTGTTGGAATTAGCTCCAGCTCAATAATGCGCATATCTCAAAAGACTGGGCTTACCTTTTGCACAACGCGGCAGCCGTACTTGTTCTCCGAAAGTCGCAACATGTTGCTCTTGATCACGAGTGCCATGCTGGTCTTCTGCTCTTGCGTGCCGTGCTCGAAGAACTTTTGCACGACGTAATTTCCGTACACATCGGTCATGAGAGGAATCAGCTCGTCCATGAGCTCTCTGTAGACTTCCGCCTTCTCTTCACTGCTAGCAGACTGCAGTTTGTCCTGAATGAACCTGGAACCGGCACGATCGGCAGCGAAGTCCGCAATCGACCCGTAGATTTGCTGGGTCAAAGTCAGTTTTGCTACAAGCAGCACAAGTTTAACAGAGGCTCTTACCTTCAAATCCCATTTCTGCGGAGCATTGCGGGTGTTCAAGTATTCACGAAGTTTTCCGCTCTGCACGCTCCCGGAACTCATTGCACCCATAGCCAAGCCAGTCGTTGGCAGAGAAGGATTCGGGTATGCCCCGGCCATTCCCAAGTTCGTGGCCAAGTTGTAGATTTGCAATTGCTGTTGGAGGGTCACGGCATCGAAAGACACATTCGGCGTAGGCTGAGGCTGCTGATTGAAGGACTGACTGCTGGCTCGGCGCTCGAAGTTCGTGGGGGTTGAATAGTCGCGCCTGGAGGGTGCCTGTGAGAAATTCGAGCGGGACTGTTGAACACCTGCATAATTCCCAAAGCCGTTAACGTTAATAACGTTAAAGCCAGTTTGGAATCCGTTAGTAGTCTGGAATCCATTGCCAGTCTGAAATCCGTTGCCAGTCTGGAATCCCTTGCCAGTCTGGAATCCGTTGCCAGTCTGGAATCCGTTGCCAGTTTGGAACCCGTTGCTAGTCTGGATTCCGTTTCCAGTCTGGATTCCGTTTCCAGTTTGGAACCCGTTGCTAGTCTGGATTCCGTTTCCAGTTTGGAATCCATTGCCAGTCTGGAATCCGTTGGCAGATCCATTTTCCCAAGCCGTTGGACTCGCGGGGGTGAAAGGCCGGGCTGAGGCGGCCACAGAATGTGACGAGTTGTTCCAGGGGTTCGAAGAAAACATCGGGCGTTCGGTAGAGGTATCCGGTAACTCTGCTGGCTTTCTCGCTAGCCAAGGAACATTCGTCTGCGCCGCATCCAAATCTCCAACGCTGCCTCGGTTGTTCTGCCAGTTCGAAGAAAAAATCGAAGGGTCGGCGACGACCGATGACCGATGCGAGTGTTGTGTCGGGTACGATGTCAAACCAAGTCCGTGCCGCTCCGCCGGTTCGGAAGGGCCCGATGATGCGATATTTGCGATATTGAAGGCGCCCGCGCCCAAGCGCTCACCCGCCTGCTCCATACTACCAAATCCGTTATCGTGCGAGGGGCGTCTCATAGAGGAGTTCATTCCATCGAGCCGATAGGCAAGACCCGGGGGAACCGAGGTCCTGGGAGACGAGCCGTTCGTTCCATTGCGAGTGTGTGCCGTCTGGTTAGGGTAAGAGTAAGACCAATCGTTAGAGCCACTGGAAGTGCTCGGGGGCCGGTCGCCGACCTCGGCCGGAACATTGGGGTTGGACCATATGGTAAAATTAACGTCGAAACTGTTCCGTTGTGGCTGGTTATTCAGGTTGTTCTCGGGGCGGTAAGGAGGGAAGCCACGTGGAGCACGGCCACGACCCATGTTGGGCTGGATTGCCAATGGTTAGCTGAGACCCTCTGATGTCGAGATCAGATGGGCGATGCGGTGTGTGAAACCACTGCCGTATGGACAGATAATGGGTATCATGGGAAGCATTGGGTAACTCTGTAAGTGTGCGGGGAGTGAGCTTACCGATGTGTTGGGAGACATGATGCGATCCGAAGTCTTGTCGTCTTGATGATACTCGTCGAGATGTGATGACTCGGCTGAGGCTACTCAAGGATGGAATCTTTTGAATCCGAGGGCTCTGGTGCTTCCAGCCTTACTGATACTGGCGAAAGCAGCTGACGGGGCGGTAGGTTCGGTCGTGGGCGTATGTAAGTCGGCACCCAAGAAGCGATTATGGTATCGAAGGGGTTGATTATTGCACTGTTGGCGAATTATGACTTGGTAGATGAAACCTCGAGTGGTCTATCGAATACAACGTCTGGCTCTGTACGAAGTATATGGCATATGTGCTGTATCAGAAGAGTAGGCGTAAGTTGGTACTCATACAGAAAATGAATGGGCTCATGATGTTTGACGGTTGATGGTAACAGGGAAGGGGGATTGTTTTGGATAGGAGGAAGATGAGAAGAGCCGATAGAGATTATTTTGGTAGGGAAAGGACCCCTATGCCTTGGGCGATCGGGATAGTAACAGAGATTCGGATTGGGCAAGCACGGGTATGATGAAGATAGGGTGCATATCATATGCAAAGGCTCGGGCTGCAGTTTACGGATTGGAGCTCTGACCCGACATGCAGGAATATGGTGAAGTCCGGAAGTAGACAATACAGCCCAGAAAGTACCTTTATGGCGAAGGGCATGGATAACTCCGGACCTCGAGGTCGAACCTTGGAGGCGCGGCCGCCAGTGGTGGGATGGACGACGACACTTGAAGCTAGCACTGGCTGGGCAAGAACCGGCGAGATTCGTTCGCAGTAGCAGAGGCAGTGAGGTGCACTCTGTATGGTGATTCACAGAAGGAGTATGGCGTGAGAGTAACGGAATAAGTTGTGAATGGTAACAGAAAAGATAATGTGTGTCATGATCTGTGGAAAGGCTGGAGGGAAATGAAGATCGGGCACGGAGACAAGATGAGGTGGGGCGATGAGAAGGAGACACAAGAAGAGCGACGGAAGCGTTCCACATGAAGACGGCGCAGGATGGGGCGAACCCAAGGGCAACTACTGCCCTTGAGCCTCTCACTTCCTGTCGCGCCTGTCCGCCTGGGCAGTCTTGACACCGGCATCCGGACTCGGGGGTCTAGACCGGGAATGCCGACGGGAGGTGGCCGGTAGTCGTCGGTAGTGGAGCTGGGCAGCGGCGGAGAGCAACGACGTTTCCTCCTCGTCGAAAGATCGGATAAAATAAAGTGTGGGGGGCGGGGAACTTTTGCACTTACCATACAGGTAGGTAGGCCGAGGGTCCGTCCAAAAGGTGTGGTGTATACCTCTAAGTCGTGGACAAGAAGAGAAACAGATCTCTGAACGAAGACCACCTGAATGTTTATAAAACGGGTTGCCCCCTTCGAAATGAAACTGTTTGGCAATGCAGTGTCGGCTGAGGTTGCAGTCTCAGACGTTAGAGACGTACAAAGTGAAAACCGGGGTAGGTACGGTAGCAAGGTACGTGGTGGTGGTGGTCCAGGCCAGGGTGCTATGTAGCAGCCAACGAGAAGTGAAGTGGTTCTTGACAGTGGCAGCAGGCAGTACCTCTTCCTCTATATGTATGTCCAGAGCGACGGGCCTTGGTAAGCCCGATCGCTGTTGGTGAGAATATGCGACCCGAAAGGAACAGTGTATGTTGGCGAGTGGGTAAAGGAGGGTGAAGAATCAATCAGGGCATGGATGTGCTTTATAGACAAGGGAAGTGGAAGAAAAGGAAGAGGACAGAGCTCCAGGGCGCAGGACGGAACTAAGGCGGCGTACGCAGCGTGGCCGACCGAGTTGGACGGAATGGAATAAAGCCAGCTTGGTGCGAGTGCGTGCCCTTGGTGCAGCAGAGTGCCTTAACTCCTGTAGAACATCCAAGGCAGCTCCTCATTGAGTTGTATGTATACCTATGTTCCTTGGCCTGAATGTACGCGTACGTGGTGAGGTGCTGGGCTTGGTGAGTGGACAGTTGGAGGCGGACGTCGTCGAGACGTTTGGGACCTGGCGCGAGGGATGAACCAGGGTGTGGTGGACTGCACGCACGCAATGTGGGCTGGGGACGCTCCTTCCTGGGAGGGGACCAGTTTGGGAGTATAGGACTAGCCGCGAACAGGGCGGGCGTGCTGCGGAGCGGGGATCGCCCAAGATATAGGGAGAGCAGTGCCCGTGCCTGGTCGATAGTACACGCCAGGGATACACGGGGTTTTGCCCTGAAAATCAACCTTTTTTGTTACCGTTTTATGTTACCAACCTAACGGCATCCAACAAAGTGGTCCAACTTGTCCCTCGTGCCGTGCTTTGCTGATGGCGGGGCCTGCGCGCTCGGCATAAAACAAGTCGTAAACAGTGGCTCAGTGGCAAGTCGGAGCTTTCTTGGAAGAAAGATCTATGCGGACGTATATGGTATAACAATCATGAAGAAATATCAAGTCGAGGTTCCTGTCAATGTTAGGTCTTGCAGTCGGGTTGGTGTTTGGTGGTGTTTTTCGGTTAGTGCCGACAGTGGAGCTTTAGCTCCCTTGTTACAGTTACATAGTTACAGGGTTCAAGTCCGGGTTCAAAGGGGCGCATGTCCGTGCCTGACAATCTTCCTTGATCCGGACCTCCAGCCGGCATGCAGCGAGCGTGACAACCTCCAAGCTTCGAATCTGTCGACGAAATCCAACTCAACAAGATACCATGTATTTCTGGCTACTGCCAGGTCTTTAGACGCAACAGACGATAAAGCCGGCACAAGATGGGCCCACCTGTGATGATGGCGCTTTCGCTCTTTGTGTGCGGCTGGCACATATACCTTGCGCCTGATGTGGGGAGAGAGGGACGAAGAGGGGCGAAAGGGGCTCTTCGATGGCTAACGGGTTCAATATGTGTGTTGGTACGCACCTGGCATATTTCTGATATCGCACATTCGAACGGTCGGCGACGGTAAGACGGAGGCAATATGACGTCGATAACGCAAGGCTGGGGGAAATGGCCACAGAATTTGGTGGACTTCTTCTACTACCCAGTGGTGTTGTCGAGATGTGGTTCCGTCAGCCTGTTCAAGATGGTTACTGCTGGTTTAGCAATTGTCTGTCCACTTATGGATGGCTCTTGCCTTCCAGGTTGTAAAAGATACCTATCTATCCGGATAGGGATGGGACGGTTGGACAGCCTTGGGCCGTAGGCGGTATGGTGTTGGTCGCTGGCACAATCTGTTGGTCTCGGCCCTTACAAGTAGGTACTTTGAAAATCTGCTCACAACTCCTGTGGTATAATCAAGGTTGCCAGATTCTCGCCAAACCAGAGCAGCCAGACACAACTCGTCAAATGGTCGAAAGAGACGAAGCAGGAAACGGCAGCGGCATACCATCACGTAGGCTGTCGTAACGCAGCATTGTTGCGGTGTCACCAAACCGGACGGCTTCGGTTACTTGCTGGTCTACAGTCCTGCAAGACTATCGGATACCCTTTGATTTCGTTGGCCAAGAAAAAAAATCCGCTCACGACATCCAGCTTGTCACTCCAGCAGCAGTACACGCGTGTCGAAAGTCGGTAGAGGAAACTTGGCTGATCTCAGTCAACACTTGCGCGCAGGTGTGTTGTGACGATGACTTCGAGAGCCAGGAAATGGAAGGGTCTTGCTGATTTTGCCCTTGCCGGTGCTGGTGATGGTGCTGGTGCTAGTGTAAAAAAGACTGTCTACGGCGTTGGTTCACAATAGTGACTATTGACTTTCTTTTCCGAGCTCGCGGCAATCTGCGTATTGTTTGTCGTTAGTGTTCTCTTAGCGCTTTGCTCCAATTTTACCCGTTATGTTTGCCATGTATCGCCGGGATTAAGGATGAAGCGAGGAATCTGCCAACCGACGGACATCAAGTGTATGTAACATGGTCGACTATGGCTCTGTTAGATGTTGGCTCTTTAACTGAATGACAACAGTATTGCCGCAAAACTGTGAGCTGGTTTACAGCGACAAAGGGGTGGACGAGAAACCAACGACAGCAATGTTCAAGTATACAGGCGAATTGCCTCTGCAGTTCTGATAATTTATTGGTAATAATGCTAATTGCCAGACTCATTGTCACCCACTAATTTTCCTTCATCAAGTTCCCAAGTCGACCGATCACAGATTCCTTATGGTGAGTGATGGAGTATCTTCCCATGCCCTATACGAACAATGAAGAAGACCACTTTTAGATAGAGGCCAGGGGCCTTGACTTGGGTAAAAGATGAGCTTGACATCGGCCGGACGGACGTGGTTGACTAGGGTGGTCCAGTCTCGTAACTAGTTATAGATATGTTACCTACGTATTGAGCAGGATCTGGCATGAAGATAACACAAATGGCTGTTGACATGCAGCAGTCAAACTAGTCAAGTTACAACATATTCCGTGAACTGTTGTGCTATGCGGGACTGACTGCCGGTCCTCAGAAGGCCACCCACCCTCAACCATCCGATGGTATGAAGGGAAACGACTGTTGAGAGACACCAAGAGATTGTCTTATGCTCCCAAAGATCACATATAGTAGGAGACGACCTACACGCAAAACCGCGTCCCAAAGTGTAAAGCAAGGGATGAGGGGTTGCTGTCAAGGTTTCGTCGTTGGAGGAATGCCCTTTGTCTGTCCTCACCCACCAACTCCGCCTAAGATCAGGGGGAGGGAAAATACCGAGGATATGTGAAAGGCGCATGTCTCGCTGCTATCCCCAACATGCAGACTGGGGTTCCCGTTACCCTTTGTATACATCGCATTTGCTGTTTCATAAATGGGCGTCGTTTGTGACACCCGTCGGTCTCGATTCGAACGGGAAAACAAAACGACCTCGGGCACCAACCGGACTGGAGAAAAGATGGTACACCCTCAGTACGTACGGGAGCCCTGGTCTGCATGGAATGCGCAAACCATTGTCAGGCTACTGTTGTAAGGTAGGTAAGTTAAAAAGAGCTGCAAACTGGTCCAGGATTGCCGTCTGGTACACTCGTTGCTGCTAAAAGCTTGGGAAGATGGCAGGATGCGCCATGATGGTCCTTGGGTATGTTGAGGTTGGCAATGTCTCAGCTTGCGCAACTCGGGAAAGCCCGCAAGAATGGCGCATGCACATCACTGCTCAGAGTGATGGCTCATCGGGAGTGCAAGATATGGTTTGTCGATCGATATGCGTGCGGATGCTGTACACTAGTTGGCACTAGGCTGAACCAGGGTAAGTGTTTTGAACCGTTGTTAGTATCACCAACTCACTCTTGCCAGGGATTGAAAAGATTGGTAGATCCTCCTCCGCTTCAGCGGCCGATGCCAACAAGCAGTTCTTCGAGTCGACAAGGCCAACCGCACCCGCCCTTTGCGACACCTTATTCCGCCACTCCTGGCGCCAGCACTCGGTTGCGAGCAACTCTCATCCGGCTCCGAGCCAATCTCCAACTCACTACTAACGCTCACTGGTGCGAAGGCACGCACAGCGAGTCGCATAGGAGAGACCAAAGGGAGTACGTGAATATTGTTCTTGTGAGCATATCCGCCAGAAACACCCCTTCCCGTCGTCATCGTTCCCACGTTCTCGGAGGCCGAATTAATTTGGTTCGCCCACGTTTCAAAGAGACCTTGAACGTTGGCGCCATGCCAACCGACGTACCGGCTCGCGGAAACCCAAGCCGAATACCAGATTCTAGAATCGATATCCCGCCCAGACGAGCTGTGTCAAGAACCCAACACTGGCTGGAGAGAAGGGCACGGCGTACTTTGATATGAGTGGAAACATGGCAATAGTACACCCTACTGCTCATGTGACTAGAAACGTTCGCCCTGTTGCTCCGGTACATGAACTTTTGGCGTCTCACAAGAGGAAAGTGGCAATCTCCAAGTGGTCTGAGAGCATATTGTTGTCTTGAACCCTCCAGTCATTGAGCTTTGACACGGTCGCCTGCAGTCAAAAGGCCGTCTGCCTGACAATCTGCTCCAACAACTACGGTAGGACCGCATGTCGTTACGGTGCCAAGCGGCTCCGGGGCCGGCAGCGGGAATCTGACATTTCCTCTTGAGTTTGCCGGATCTTGCTAGAGTTTTTGGTTGGTGCGGTCCTCCTAGCCATGCCTCACTCGAGATTCGAGAACGCCGGCCAGCCAACCCAACTCATCGTAGCGCTGCGAAGATGAGAACATGGCGAAAATTGGTCGCAGGAACACTTGTTCACGGTGAGAGAAGACAGTTGCCAAGGCTTGCAATTATCCAAGAACCGCTTCGAGAATCTTCAGGTCTGGCAAAGTGCGACAGACATCGGGGCTCTGGCAAAGTGTTTGTTGTACCAAGTAGTATGGTGATGGATTGCTTGTCGAGTGTCGTGTGTGGCTCGCCAGATGGAGCACAGAGAGATGCGGGGGAATGGTGAAGAAAGACTGATGATTGGGTGTCGCAGTACCGCGAAGCTGCAGCCTTAACGATTTAGTGATCGGAACGGCGCCTGTTCGTCGGCATCAACCGAGCGCTGAGTGAGCTCTGGACGTTGTGATCATGGTAAGCACGAAGCGGCGCCGTGATGCAAGTGCGTCAGAACTGGAAGAAACATCGTTGTCGACTGCGGTGCTGGCAGAAAGGAGGCGATACGCCGAGCAGAAGGAGAGTGAGAAAAGAAAGAACGAAAAAGACAAACTAAACAACACCGACAGATCTGGACGAATCAATGTCATTTCTCATCTCTGCAGCAGAGGACGGGAGTTGTTTCTGGCGGTTGCAACTGGCTTCACTCGATGAAGCCCGGGCCTGTCTGTGTGCTCCCTCGGTGATGAAGCAAATGCACTGGAATTGTGACGAGACATTGACAAACCTCTTCACAGCCAAACGAGCGCCCTCATCTCAGCAAAATGTGGCACACATTGCAATGCTGCATTGCGCATTGTCATTGCAATCTTGGGGAGAGCCGAATCGAGCACAGGCCATGGTTCGTTTCCCTTTCCATTTTCCGTCCATTTTCCAAAATTCCTTCCTTTCCGGTTCTGAGAGTGGCCCGTCCACACCCTGCGACCCAAAAACAGAACAACCCCAAATGGGCCCTTGGCGGCAATCACAAATTGGACCCGCCCTCATCGACCGCCTGCCATTATCATTGGACAGCGCCCGTATTGGGCGGGGCCGTCATCCCAATCTCGAAAGCGAATGGAGCGCGAACGGCGTGCTCTGGTTGGCGCCCTGGATGAGCTTTTGAGCGGCCCCTGCTTTTGGAAAAAGAGCCTGTTCCTGTTTGGGCTATAGCTCCTTTTCTTTCCCCAGCTCCCCCTGACGGATGGAGCCCTGCGAGCCCACCAGATCCCACACGCGAGCCCGTTGCGGCCAGTCAAGCACAACGGCCAGGGCAGGATGGCACCCAGGAGGACCCAGGAGTCGTGGGAGGTGTGCCGGGATGGAGTCAGGTAAAGCCTGTGCTGGGTGTGCTAGGCCTTCTGGACCGCCAACGCCCGTCTTGTCGCTCGCTCTCTTGAACCGGCCGGGTCCTTCTTCTCCTCTTTCGCTTTCCCCAACTCGTCCATCTCAGCTTCTTCAACCAAACACCAAACCATCGTCGGCATCAACGGTCTAGGGGACTGCACTTTGTCATTCTTTCTAACAAACCCATTCCTTCTTTCACAACCCCCTTGGTTTCGACTTCACTCTCTTAGTCGACTCCGTCCAGTCTTTTTTCCCTTTTCACGCAGATCCCCACCGACCACGACGCTGTTTGGACAAGACGATATATCTTGGGTAGATTCTTGATACGGCCATCCCTTGCGTACGTCTTAACTTAACCTCTTCATAGCAGTCCCAGGAATGGCAAGGAGACTATGGACAACACCAAGCTTGCAATCCTTTGTTGGTCAAATGAGATGGGACAAGTTGCTAACAGTCTGGTCTACAGATCCAGAATCCCGGTATATCCATCGTTTATAGCCTTTGAAGAAGCATTATCGAGTTTCACGACCAATCTTACACCGACGACATTCGTTCTACCAAGCGTACATACATACGTACACTACAAACCACCACATATAAACCACACTCTTTACATACATACACAAACGTCAAAATGGAGTCGCTCACAAGCTTTGTTCGCCGCACCGTCGACGATGAGTCGCATAATGACAGGCTTGTCAACCTAATGATCGCCCTGCTGGTGCTCGTCTTTTGCGCCCTTCTGTCAGTCACCATTCTCTTGCTCCTCAAGAGAATCAAGCAAAAGACCCCCGGGCACAACGAGAGTCTTCCTCAGTACCACGACGAGCAGAAACGTTCCAGTAATCACCGACGTCTTACGATCTCGACCGGGCCCGGCGCCCCCCGGTCCAGCGTCATCGTCTTCAAGGACGGACAGCCCATGCTGGCCAACCCCTCTTCCCCTCCTCACTCGCCCGACAACGTTCCCGAAATCCACATTACGTTCCCGGATGAGCAGGATGACCAAGGCCGCCGCCGCAGCGGTCGTGTCCTCGTTGTCAGACTCGGAGAGTCGACCAACTCCATTGGCCTCGAGCCCCGCCAGGATGAGCAGCTCCCCGCCTATGAGAAGGAAAGCAACTCGCAATTTGTCTCGGTCGATATCGAAAAGATCGGCGGTCTCAAGGAGAAGGAGTACCGTTAAAGTGTAGATATAAACGGCACAACATAAAAGAAAAACCGACCTGGCAAATTGAAGAGCTCGCTGTGCTCCTTTCTTTCTTTTCGGCACATGAGGCTGTTGGAGTTCGCTGTTGCATTGATGACTTTTTCTTTTCAAGTTACGGAGTTTCAAGGCGTGTACAGGAAACATGGGACACTACCGCACGGCGAGAGCTGTTTACTTCTTTCTACATTTCCAAGGAAAAAGTCTGATTCCGCGCGCTGGACGAGGCTTGCCCGCCAGAGGGGCGTTCGAAAGAGATGGGATAATGCATCTGGGGAGAGGCAGGCCTGAAAGCATCACAGCACATATTGGTCTCCCGGATGCCCCTGTACATTGTGTACATATTAGCCACGCCGCAACTTCGGCCCCGCAGTCCTGACTTGGGAGGTTCTCTGTTGACGGATCTTGTGGGAAAAGAAAGCGGGCAATTTCAATTGCGACGTGTTTTATCATTGGGAAAGCGAGAAGTTGGAAAAGAGTGGTTGACATGGCTACCTCTTTACCTTGTGCATGCATCATCGCTATTCTAGTATTGTGTAATTTCTATTCGAGGCTCTGTCACTTGGCCGAGCTTTTTAACGTCTCCTTTGTTCAACTAACTACCACATAGAGATGATTCAAAGATCAGGACCACTAGAGAAAAAAAGGCTCGCAAAACGCAGCCACGGAGGGTTCTCATTTTCTTGTATATACTTATTCATTAGACCCGGATGGCCTTTCATAAATATACCCTACTCTGCCTCCGCAAAGACAGACCTTGATCAAGTTGAAACTTGCAGTGACAGCTTCTTCCATGAAGCTTTTGGCTCGCAACTCAACGGATCCTGCACCAGAAGACTGACTCGGAAGTGTGTGGGGATATATCGGGATGGAAGCATTGAAGGGTTAGGGTTTAAGCAGCGATGCTAGCACATGCCCCGAGACCAATCTCACGACTCCCGTCTACGGAGGCGTCGGCCGGTGAAGTGTGGGGAAGCTGTTGCATCAATTGCTGGAGGGGACGTGACGGAATAATGCAATTGAACTTTCCATCTTGAACCATTGCAATTGACGCGTTGTTCCTTTTTGTTGTTGATACACACCCATACTCCCACCATACATATCTCTCGTGATTGGAGCTTCCTGCACCTCATCATCGACGGCTCCACGCTTCGCTCTTTGATCCATTGACATTTACCTAAACAACCCCACAGTCCCCAACACCGTCGGCAGCGAAATACGGCACCGAGACCGGGACACCGACACCGACACTCCTTTCGCGGCCTTCCCACCACCGGGACACGGGACTTACGTCGCTCATTCCATTAATATTCGAACTGAACCGGACAAGAATCCCACTGACTACAACTTTCGCCGTCTCAAGCGCTCTTCCTCCCCGGGCTTCCGAGTCCATCACTCTCCGTCCGCCCCACCGCGCGCCGCCCCTCGGGCTCTCCTCCTCCTCTCCCTTCCTTCCCTCACCGGGGCCGCCACGATGCCGCCGCCGACAAAACCGACATCGAAGAAACCCCCGCCGCAGTCGCAGACGGAATACCAGGCAATTGCTGCCAAGTTCGCCGCCGCGAAGCGTGCAAAGGAAGCGCAAGATGCGGCAAAGGCACGAACAGCTGGAGTAGCGAAAGCGGCAGGCGGTGAAGCCACCAAGAAGGAGCAACAAGAGTTAAAAGACCGGGTCAGTCTGGCCGACAAGCAGCGCGCAGCCCTCGAGGCCCGGCGCAAGTCGAGCTTCGAGGCTCGCTGGCTATGGACTGTTGGCTTCTGGGTCTGGATGCTGTTGATCCACGTTGTCGGCATTGCCTACTTCACCAGCGGCTTCCTCCTGACCCGCCTGGTGCTGGATGACAAGTCCGTGTGCGACGCGCCGCCGACTTTGAATACTAGCACCACCAACGGGGTCGTGGATATTCTGCCGAACTGGAAGGGCAAGGGAACAGTGGACGGAGGCTGCTGGCACCCCAAGACCTTCGACCGAGCCGTGGTTGTCGTGGTCGATGCGTTGCGCTACGACTTTACCGTCCCCGTCAAGGACGACGCCCCCTTCCACAATGCGTTCCCCTTCATGTACGATACCGCCCTGGCCTCGCCCAACAACGCCATGCTCAGGCCGTTCATCGCCGATCCCCCGACCTCAACACTCCAGAGGCTCAAGGGCCTGACTACGGGCACGTTGCCCACCTTTGTGGATGTTGGCAGCAGCTTTGCCGGTACCGCCATCGAGGAGGATAACCTGCTTATGCAGCTCCGGGACGCCGGCAAGCGCCTCGCCCACCTCGGAGATGACACGTGGGAGTCGCTCTTCCCCGGCTACTTCCAGGCCAACTTGAGCCGGGCCTACGACAGCTTCAACGTTTGGGACTTGCACACGGTTGACAATGGCGTTATCGAACACATCTTCCCCCTGATGAAGCGCAAGGGCGAGTGGGATGTCGTTGTTGCCCATCTTCTCGGTGTTGACCACGCCGGCCACCGCTACGGACCCGACCACCCCGAGATGGCCAAGAAGCTACAGCAGATGAACACGTTTATCAAGGATCTAGCGTCCAACATTGACGATGACACTCTGTTGATCGTCATGGGTGACCATGGTATGGACAGCAAGGGAGATCATGGCGGGGAGAGCGAGGATGAGGTCGAGGCTGCTCTGTGGATGTACTCTCCCAAGCCCGTGTTTGGCAGGACCAAGCCCGAGTATGTCACTCCCCCGGCCACCGCCAAGACTCGCCCCGTCAACCAGATCGACCTCGTCCCGACTCTGGCGCTGCTCATGGGTATCCCCATTCCTTACAACAACTTGGGTCACCCGATCGAGGAGGCCTTTGTTGGTCCTCGCGGCACTGCCTGGGACAACTTGGCTGCTGCGGAGCGCATGGCTGCCGCTGGCATCAAGCGTTACCAGACGTCGTACTTCTCTGCCCGCGGAATCGAGCAGGCTACGACCCCCGGTTCGCCCGCTGATTTGTGGGATAAGGCTGAGGCTTTGGTTCCCAAGGGCAAGGTCAAGAAGGGCCACAGCTGGGAGTCTGTGTTCTCGGCCTATGCCGAGTATCAAAAGGAGACTCTGGACTACTCCAAGAGCCTTTGGGCCAGGTTCGATGTCAAGAGCATGATCATTGGCATTAGCATCATGGCGTCCGGCGTCATTGCTCTTCTTGTCTACATCAACAAACGTTCCGAAGACGACGACGTCTTGGTGATCGAGGACTCCGAGCTTGAGAATGCCGAGAAGAGCCTGGAGCTACAGGGTATCACCGCTGACGAAGGCCAAAACCTTGAGAAGCGTCTGGTCCGTGCCGCCATGCTGGGAGCCCTGCCGGGCTTCTTCGGCGGACTTCTGCAATCCTACCTGTCTGGTAATGGCGATTGGTATCGCGGTTCGGCCATCGGTGCGTTCACCAGTGTCGCAACCGTCTTGGTCGCTCTTTACGATGCAGAGGGTTCCTATTTTAACGTCCTCCCTACTACTCTTTGGGGCTGGATGGCCGTGGTCTTTACCATCAGCCAGTCTATCGGCTTCGCCTCCAACTCGTACACCATCTGGGAGGACTCGATCCAGCTCTTCCTGATGACCACCTTCGGTCTCGTCACGGCCGTCTCTGCTTTCCGCATGGAATCGCTTCCGGACCGGTACATGACCATCTACCACTCCATCCTCTTCGTCCTGCTCGGCCGGCTCGCCTCCTTCTCCAAGCTCTGCCGCGAGGAGCAGATGCCGTACTGCACGTCGACGTACTACGCCAGCGCCACCTCCTCGACCTCGGCCCCCTGGCAACTAGCCATCCCCTTCATCGCCGTCATGATCCTCCCCTCCATCATCAAGGCCTACCTCGCGCCCTCCAAGTCCTACGAGGGTCTCGCCCCGACCTGGATCGGCTACGTCTTCCGCGCCGGCCTCTTCTTCTCAGCCATCTACTGGGTCCTCGACGCCGCCGACAACGGGCAATGGCTCTCCTCTCTCTCCTCCTCCTTGTCCTCCTACCTCCCCTCCTCCGCCTCCGACGCCCTCTCCTCCCTCCCCCCTCTCCCCGACAAGGCCCTCAAGACCCTCTCCGTCTACACCGCACAAATGATCCTCGGCCTCGCCCTCGTCGCCGGCTCCACCGCCTTCGTCTGGGCGCCCCCTTGCATCTCCATCGTCACCACCACTCTCCGTAACTCTCCCAACAACCCGCTCGCCGCCATCCCCGGCGCCGCGGAACAAACCGCCCAAGTCACCGTCTTGGGGTACGGCAACGCCCACGGCGCTCGCTACCTTTTACTACCACTCAACTTCTTCGTCGCCCTCTTTTTGGTCTCCAAACCCATGGGCGCGGGAGCGCTAGCCCTAACCCTCTGGCAATCCCTCTCCCTCCTCGAGATCCTCGATTTACTCAATCTCCCAATCGGCTCCAACCCCATCGGCCCCGTCATGCTCGCTCTCCTGGGCCAAAACGCCTTTTTCAAGACGGGCCACCAAGCCGTTTTGTCTTCCATCCAATGGGACAGCGCCTTCATCCCGCTTTACAGCATCAAATACCCCTGGTCTCCCCTCCTGGTAATTCTCAATACCTTTGCCGGCCAGATCTTAGCAACGATCTTGGTGCCCATGCTCGTCCTCTGGAAGTCTGGACCTAAGAGACGCGGACTGCTGGGGAGCGTGTCCAGAGCGTTGGCGGTTTTCGTGGCGTTTTATGCGACGGAGGCGTTGGCGACTATGATGTGGGCTGGACATCTGAGGAGGCATTTGATGCTTTATCGGGTGTTTAGCCCCCGGTTTATGACGGCGGCGGTGACGCTTTTGGTGGTGGATGTGGTGGCGGTTGTGGTGGGGTTGGCGGGCGTGAGGGTGAATGTTATGAGTGTGGCGGAGGTTTTTGGGTGGGCTGATTAAGTGAAAGGGATTGGATTGGAGTGTATGAGAATGAAAGTGAAATGTTGATGTTGATGTTGTTACATGACTGAGTCTTTTTGGCATATATAGAATGGTTAATTGGGTGGTTTGGGTGGGTGGTTTGGGTTTGATATAAAAAGGTTTTAACGTAGTGGATGGGGATGGAATGCACGAGGTAAAATGTTTCTGTATGCAACAAAATGACAAGAGAAGTGTCAACTGTAAATAGTACCTAATATCAATCAGACCAGGTACGAAAAACACGGGGACGAAAAAGACAGGGAAGCAGGGGAATATGGTACCATGACTGTTCTGCGGTTGTATCAAGCATAAACACATCCCTGGTTGAGATGGTCTTTGTCAAGAGTCGACGAGACAATGCCACAACAACATCATTCGACGTTGATTCACATTCAATCATTAGGATGTTCAGTGTCACGAATCAGGCGATGTCAGATGTTGATTTGGTAAAATCCATTCCTTTTCATTCCTATGAAAATAAAACGCAGAAAGCGTCCTGATGGTATATGAGAAGTATCCATGCCTGTTCCACGTCTCCTTTTCATTTTTTATACCCTCAAACGCCGTGTTGAGATGGCGGCAACCCCGTCTCATAAATGCTAATGTTCTGTTGAAATCATAAATCCGGTTTTTCCCCTTGTCCCTGTGGTATCGAACGCCGAGTTGAAGTGGCGCTTTTGGAGGTATCATGATCATTTTCCCATATTTCGTAACATAAATCCGTGAAGTGAACCCTTGACCGCCTCTGTCAATGCTAATGCTGTTGAAGAAAAACCCGGAATAATTAAAAGCACGTCACGCATCCCAACATCTGAGATGCATGTTTGTCGAGTCGAGAAAACTCTTTAAGCCTTGTTGGCATACTTCTCACGGAAGTACTTGGCGGCCTCAACCATGTGGGAGAGGGCACCCTTGACCTCATCCCACTTGCGGGTCTTGAGACCGCAGTCGGGGTTGATCCAGAGCTGCTCAGGCTTGAGGTAAGCAAGCATCTCCTCGATGCGCTGCTTGAACTCGTCGAGGGTGGGAACACGAGGAGAGTGGATGTCGTAGACACCAGGGCCGATGTGGCGGGGGTACTCCTCGTCAATGAAGACCTTGAGGAGCTTGGCATCGGACTTGGAGTTCTCGATGGAGAGGACATCGGCATCGAGGGCAGCGATGGCGTGGAAGAAGTCCTGGAACTCAGAGTAGCAGAAGTGAGAGTGGATCTGAGTGGAGTTCTCGACATTGGCGGTGGCGAGTTTGAAGGAGTCGACGGCCCACTTGAGGTAGGCTTCACGCTCCGCACCCTTGCGGAGGGGAAGACCCTCACGGAGGGCAGGCTCATCGACCTGGATGACGTAGATGCCGTTCTTCTCAAGGTCGACGACCTCGTCGCGGAGAGCCAGAGCGAGCTGCTGGCACTGGACGGACTGGTGAACGTCGACACGGGGGAAAGACCACCGGAGGCAGGTAACGGGGCCAGTAAGCATGCCCTTCATGGGCTTCTTGGAGATGGAGGCAGCGTACTTGGACTCCTTGACGGTCATGGGAGCGGGGCGAGAGATATCGCCGACAATGATGGGGGGACGGACGCAGCGGGAGCCATAAGACTGAACCCAGGCGTGGGTGGTGAAGACGTAGCCGTTGAGGCGCTCACCGAAGTACTGGACCATGTCGTTACGCTCGGGCTCACCGTGGACGTAGACATCGAGGTCAAGCTCATCCTGGATCTTGACGGCGAGCTCAATCTCCTGCTCAATGAAGCGCTCGTACTCCGCAGCGGAGATCTCACCCTTGGTGAACTTGTTACGCTGGACACGGATCTCGGAGGTCTGGGGGAAAGAGCCGATGGTGGTGGTGGGGAAGAGAGGGAGAGAAAGGTGCTTCTTCTGCTCGGCGTAGCGAGTGTCGAAGGGGGCCTTGCGAATGTGCTGCTCAGGGGTAACCTGGGCCTGGCGCTCCTTGACAGCGGGGTCGTTGGTGCGCTTGGAGTCAAAGTGGGCCTTGATGGCAGCAGCGTTGGCCTCGAGCTCAGCCTTGACGGCCTCGGGCTCGGTCACAGCCTTGGCGAGGGTAGCAACCTCCTTGACCTTCTCGCAGGCGAAAGAGAACCACTCGTAGACATCAGAGGGGAGCTTCTTCTCGCTGGCGAGGGTGTGGGGAGTGTGGAGGAGGGAGCTGGAGGTGGCGACAATGACGCGCTCAGGGCCAAGGGCCTTGACGGCAGTCTGGAGGATCGCGAGCGACTTGGCGAAGTCGTTCTTCCAGATGTTGCGACCATCGACAACACCGGCAGAGAGGATCTGGCTGGGGCCGAGCTGCTTGAGAACAGGCTCGAGCTGCTCGGGGTTGCGGACAAGGTCGACGTGGAGACCAGCAACGCCGGAGAAAGCGGGGAGAACGTCGAAGTTGTGGACGATGTCACCGAAGTAGGTGGCAACGATGACCTTGGGGACGGCATCGCCAGCGGCGGCAATGGCCTCATAGGCGGGCTTGAAGGCAGCCTTGACCTCGGGGCGGAGATCGAAGACGAGGACGGGCTCGTCAATCTGGACAGACTCGGCACCAGCGGCCTTGAGCTGCTTCAGGAGCTCAACGTAGACAGGGACAAGCTTGTCGAGGAGGGTGATGGGGTCGACGGAGGAGCCACGGTCAGCCTTGCCAAGAGCAAGGAAGGAGACGGGGCCGACAAGGACGGGGCGGGTCTGGAAACCGGCCTCCTTGGCCTCGAGGAACTCGCGGACGGGCTTGGGGTCCTGGGCGAGGGTGAAGGTCTGGTTGTCCTGGAGAGTGGGCTTGACGTAGTGGTAGTTGGAGTCAAACCACTTGACCATCTCGAGGGCGGGGACATCGACACCACCCTTCTGGTGGCCACGGCCCATGGCGAAGTACTCATCGAGAGGGGAGAGCTTCTGGGAAGTGTAACGCTCGGGGACAGCCTGTAGAGAGTGGGGCCAGTCAGTTGACGTGATCCCAGGAAGTGGAGATGGGGGTGGAGCTGCTTATAGCAACTTACATTGAAGAGCTGGATGTGGTCGAGGACGTGGTCGTAGTGGGCGAAGTCGTTAGAGGGGATGATGTCGACACCGGCATCCTTCTGGATCTGCCAGTGGGCGAGACGGAGCCTCTTACCCTCGGCGAGGAGAGCCTCCTGGGAGATCTTGTCAGCCCAGTAAGCCTCGTTGGCCTTCTTCAGGTCACGAAGGACACCGATGCGGCTGGAGCATGATGTTAGCGATGTTGGTCCAGAGCCAATTGGTGTGATAGACAGCAGCGGCAACTTACGGGAAACCCAGAACCGAGGACTGGACCATTGTGATATGTGATTGTGTGAACAAACGGAAATTAGGGGGGTATGGAAAAGACCTCGCGACTGCTCTTGGGACAAAGAGCAAAAGTAGACGAGGGGAAAAGGAAGGCAGGATGGATGGGGGAATGAGGGAAGGAGTCTCTGGAGAAAGAAAAGAGGGGGAGGTCCGAGTTTATTTATGTGAGGGGACTGAGCGAGGAAGTGGAGGGGGGAGATCTGAGAGGGGAGGCAAGTGGGCTGGTTGGATGGATGGGTGGAAGGCCGGGGGTGTTCGAGTGCGGTGAGTGAGAGTCTGAATTTCGGACCTTGGACCGCGTTGGGAGGGATTGGAGAGCCTGGGCGTGGACAGCTGGAGGCCGTGATCGGTGTGGGGCTCACTTTCCACTCACGGCGCCCAAGCTCAAGCTCTCCTCGTCTCTCTTTGGCCGGATTCTCACGAACAATGCCATGGGACGGAACAGCTCAACAAAATGCACGCGGGCTGACAGCTGGCAGATCTCAAATGGATGATGGACGTTTTGGTATTGTCTAGATTTTTTGATCTGTTATTCTATCGGCGGGGTAGCGAGACACGCGATGGCATTGACTGGTTAGACTGGTCTGAATTTGATGCTTTCTGTGCCTCTAGCATCTGCAGATCTGCACAGCTCTGCACACCTGAGAAGGTGGGCAAGAGGCTACCGTCTCAATCGCCAATGGCGCGCCAAACTCAAACATTGTACTCGCAGCTCAGGGACCAGGAGGTGGGGTGTTGGCGGTGGGGCGCCTGTTGCCGGAACCCACGAATCTTTCGATCCTTTGTGAAGCTTCTGATTGTTTGCCAGACAAAAAGGACAGATTGGACGGCATCATGCCAGCTGCGCTCCGGTTTCTGCCCGCATCAGCACCACAGGGAGCACAGGCCCAATGAAATTGTGGTCGGCGACTCATGGACTTTTACGGTCATATCAAAATGCCACACAAACGCTATCCATCGAACCGATGATGTGACCGGCCTTGTCTCCACCGGGCTGGCAGGAGCTGGGAATAAAAGGAGTCATCCTCTGGAGCTTCAGGTCGGAATTCGTGGCGATGGAGGTGTGGTGAGGAGCCCGACTCCGTGCAGAAAGCCAGGACGACCATGCTATTTTTGCCCGTTGACGGAGCGGCGGCGGGAAGATGCGCGGGGACCTCAAATGCTTGTCTCTGGAAAATTTTGTAGCCGAGCAGCCGATAGTCTGGGGAGCTCCATTCGGCCGCACGGGCCAGCCCCGACGTTGCTTTCGGCCGATGGATTCGAGTCTTGGCATCCTAGGAGACTCCGTGCGTCGACGTTGAGGTAAAGTTGGCCCAAGCTTCTTTTGAAGCTTCATCTCATGTGGCTCGTGCTCAGGGGAAGCGAAAGAAGCTGTCACGTGGGAAGCGGCCCGAGCACAAAGATGGTGGTTTGAAGTTTCGCTGTTGCTTCCTTGCCTGCCATGAGCAGAAGGTGGAGCAAAAGAGAGGCAATGTAGAGCTTTCATTGGACTATTTCAGCTCCATTTGCTCATTTTCCATGTTATTAGTTCCCGCTTCCAACTGGCTCCAACCAACCCGAAACCTCCAACCAAGGAACGGGCGCTCTGTTCAGTTGGTCCAGTCTTTGGTCTTTGGGGAGTGACATCGATTGACCGCACTGATTGCCTGCCTGACACTTGACCCTGACCCTGACACAGCCTCAGCAACAACACCCGACCGCCGCAGTGTTGTCGTCGTCATCACACGAGCGCTTCCACGGCGCATCGCATTCTCCATACTTGCCATTTGCATCTTGTCTATCTACACCATAATCACTACTCTAATTCAACTACTAGTCACCTCCATTCCGTGACTGCCGACGAGGAGGAGCTTGCTGCCTCTTTCGCCAGTTGCCTCTCCGCTCTCTTGAACCCCCTTTTCCCCTCGTCGTGTATCAGGTGTTGCTGCGTCTATTTCCGCGGCCCCTAGCCCCTCTCTTCCTCCTTCGATACTCCTAGACTCGACACTCAGTTAATACATACGAGGAGGAACCGCCCATCATGTACTCGAACTCGAATGCCTTTCTCGGGGGCGCCAACAGCCTCCGTCCCGGCCAGCAGCCGCAACAGCAACAGCAACAATATGGCGCCCCGAGTCCGTTTGGCCAACAGGGCCCGATGCAGCCTCAGCCGACCGGATTCGCGCCGCAGCCCACCGGGTTTGCTCCCCAACCTACTGGTTTTGGTCAACAACCTACCGGCTATGGTCAGCAACAACAGCAGCCGCTCCAGCAGCAGTTCACGGGATACCCGGGGTTGCAGGCCCCTCAGCAACAGCCTCAGCTCCAGCAACAGTTCACCGGTTTCCAGCCTCAAGCTACTGGCTTCCAGCCCCAAGCTACTGGCTTCCAGCCCCAAGCGCCCCAGCAGCAGTCGTTCCAGACCGGCATGCCTCCTGTCCCAGCGATTCCCCAGCAGTTCCAGCAACAGCAGTCGTTCCAGCAGCAGCCGTCGATTCAGCAACCCCAGCCGACTGGGTTCCCCTCCGTACAGATTCAGACGCCGGCCCAACAGCCTGCCCCGACTGCCCAGGGTGGCATCGTCCCTCCTCCTCCCGTAAAGCCCCAGGCTACGGGCTTCTCTGAGATGGCCGCCTCGTTCCAGACGGCTGGGGGCAAGGGACGGAGGGCCGAGCAGAAGACAACCACCGTCAAGATCCCCAACATCCGCCTGTCTTTCATCACGGCGCATGACCAGGCCAGGTTCGAGACGCTTTTCAAGTCGGCTGTGGGGGATGAGGGACAGACTACCATGTCTGGTGAAAAAGCGAGGGATCTCCTTCTGCGGTCGAAGCTTGATGGAGACTCCCTATCACAAATCTGGACATTGGCGGATACCACAAGGTCTGGACAGCTGCACTTCCCCGAGTTTGCCCTGGCCATGTATCTTTGCAACCTCAAGATCACCGGCAAGGCACTTCCTAATGTCCTACCTGATCATATCAAGAATGAGGTTTCAAGCATGGTTGATATCATTAACTTCAGTATCAATGAGGACGCGGGCTCTAGCTCTGCCCCGGCAACTAACGCCCCTAGCTTTGCTACGCAGCAGAACACGGCCGCCCCTCCGACCATTCAACAGCCCCAGCCGCAGCCGTCAAACTCTGCGATTCTTCAGGCGCAGATGACTGGTTTCCCTGCTCAGCAAACCGGTTTCATGGGTCAGAACCAGGGCCTTCAACCCCAGCAGACTGGATTCCCGGGAATGAACCCCCAGCCAACTGGCTACGCCGGTCCCATGCCTCCCATGCCTCCCATGCCGACCGGATTTGGCTCAAGTCTGTCGCCTAACGCTGGCCCTGGAGGCATGGCTGCTCCTCTCAACTCTCAGCCCACGGGAATGCCTGGACAATGGGGACTTGTCAATACGCCTGCCACCGGATTGCCTCTCATTGATGCGCTCCAGGCTCGCATGATGCCTCAACTAGGACGTGAACAGGGGAATTATACTACGGCCGGACTTCAAGGTAATGCCGTTATCCCCTGGGCCATCACCAAGGACGAGAAGACGAGGTACGATGCCCTGTTCCGGGCTTGGGATGGTCTGAACAAGGGTTTTATCGCTGGTGATGCTGCTATTGAGATCTTTGGCCAGAGTGGCTTGGACAAGCCTGATCTTGAGCGTATTTGGACCCTCGCCGACAATGGAAACAAGGGCCGCCTGGATTTGGATGAATTTGCGGTGGCTATGCATCTGATTTACCGCAAGCTTAATGGCTACCCTATTCCTAACCAGCTTCCTCCTGAGCTTGTTCCTCCGTCTGCGAGAAACCTCAGCGCGTCCATTGGTATGGTCAAAAACATGCTTCATCAAGAATCCGAGTTCCGCAAGAACACTGGAGCCTCCCTGCTGCCCCAGAAGACCGGCGTCAGCTATCTTAAAGGCCACTCCTTCAAGAACACTGGGGCCAACCGCAAGGATGCAACCGTGTTCAAAAACAACGATGAGGAAGTGGGATATCGCTCCAGCGCACGCCGCCGCATGGGCGCGTCTCCTCGTCCCGAATCTCCGGCCTCTACTAATTCTGGCGATGATTTGACCATTGAGCAACTCCGCAAGAAGATTAAGGAGAAGCAGGTACTTCTTGATGCTATGGATTTCAAGGATGAGAAGAACATGGAGGAAGACGACATCCTTGACAGACGCGACCGCCGCGAGGCCGATGAACTTTATCGCCGTATCCGGAGAATCCAGGAGGACATTGACAATCATCCAGATGCTCAGCTGATCAGTGCCGACTCTGACGCCGAGAGACGCGCATTCAAGCGCCAGTTGCAGCAGCTTACTGACAGAATTCCAGAGCTAGCGTCTCAGGTTCGGAAGACCGAGAAGGCCATTGCCGACGCCAGACTTGAACTCTTCCGCCTCAGGGATGCCAAGGCCCATCCCAACAGCGCCGCCGCTATTGTTGGTACTGGACCGGGCGGTATGGTCACCGAGTCCGACAGAATTAAGGCCCGTGCAAAGGCCATGATGCAGCAGCGTACAGCTGCGTTGATGGGCAAGAAGATCGATATCGGTGATGATGACGCCGATGTCCCCAAGCGCTTGGAAGAGGAGAACATCAAGATCAAGACCGAGAAAGAGAACAACGAGCGCATGGTCAGAGATGTTGAAGATAGCGTCCGCGAATTTTCCAAGGGTATCGAGGATAGTCTGAAGGAGGGTGCTCCGGATTCCACCTCTGAACACGAAAAGCGTCGCTGGGAGGATGCTCTTGGCGTGGAGGACGAGGTCAGAGACTTCATCTTTGATCTTCAGCGGGAGAGCCGGGCCGCTCGTATTCGGTCTCAGGACCGCCAGGGCGGCCGTAGGGCCACTCAGGAACCGGTCAAGGCTGAGGCCCCGGTTTTTGCCCCGGTCGAAACCGCTTCCCCGTCGATTTCGCGGACATCTACCCCAGCCTCCACTGCTGGCGGCGGTTCTTACTCTTCCTACAAGACGCCAGAGGAACGCGCTGCCTTCATTAAGCAGCAGGCTGAGCAGCGCATGGCCGAGCGCCTTGCTGCTCTCGGACTCAAGGCTCCTGGTAAGCCGGGTGAGACTGCCGCTCAGCGAGCTGAGCGCGAAAAGGCTGAGCGAGCTGAGAAGCGCCGTCAGGCCGAAGAGGAAGATGCTCGTCGTGAGGCCGAAAGACAAGCAAAACTGGCTGAAGAGCAAGGCGGGCCTGCACCCGTCGCATCTCCTAAGGCCGATTCTCGCAAGCCCCCTCCGCCCCCGAGCAGAAAGGCTGGCAAGACTGACGATAGACGCGACGAAGAGGCTGCCGCTAAGAAGGCTGAGGAAGAACGCCTGGAACGTGAGCGGGAGGAGCAGGAGCGCGAAACTCATGAGCTTGAGTGAGTCACACTCTACGTTGACACATTTGCATATTACACCATAACTAACAATACAATACAGGGAAAGCGCCAAGGTCCAAGAAGACGAACTTGCCAAGGAACGTGCGGAAGCTGATGCCCGTCTTAAGGCCCTGGAGGAGCAAGTCCGTTTGGGCAAGCTCAAGAAGGAGGAGGAGAAGCGTAAGAAGAAGGCTGCTATGGCTGAGGCCAAGGAGAAGGAGGCCCAGTTGGCTGCTCGCCGTGCCGAAATCGAGGCCGCCCGCAAGCGTGAAGAGGAGCTCCGCAAGCAACTCGAAGCGATTGATGATGAAGACAGCTCCTCTTCTGATGACGAGGGCCCGGAGCAAATCACTCCCCAGGCATCTACCCCTACTGTTGGCGGTAGCCAAGTCGGCACTCACGAGCAGGAACCCAACTCTCCCCCTCCTCCTGCGCCGGCGTCTGTGGCCTCGCCTCCTCGAATCGTTACGACTAGCCCCAACGCCGAGAGGGAGAGTCGCAACCCGTACTTCAGAATGATGTCCCAATCCTCTGAAGCATCTACTCCTTCGGTTGCCCCACCAGTCGCATCGCCTCCTCCGCCGGCCGACGTCTCGACCAACCCGTTCCACCGCATGACGCAGGCAGCCGCCGCGCCAGCTGCTGCTGTTAGCAGCGCTGTTAGTGGTGCTGTCAGCGGTATTACCGATGCTATTAGTGGTGTTATGCCTAGCAGACGTCGTCCCAACGATGATGATGATGATGACTGGGGTTCAGACAAGGACTCGGACGATGAGGACTCCGATGACGAGGGCAGACCGGGCGGCAATAGCGCCGCTGCGCTTGCCTCCATTCTCTTCGGCACCATGGCGCCTCCTCGTCCCCTGTCCGCCACCGGTGACAAGCCTACTGCAAGCTCTCCTCCCGTTGTGAGCTCCCCTAGCTCGCCTCCCCCTCCTCCGGCCCCAGTGGAGCCCTCTGCTGGTTCTCCTCCTCCTCCTCCCCCTCCGCCCCCTCCCCCGGGCCCTCCTCCTGCTCCCAGTGGTGGTGCTCCTCCCCCGCCTCCTCCTCCTCCTCCGCCTATGCCTGAGTCTGGAGCTCCTGCTGCTCCTCCTCCGCCCCCTCCTCCGGGTCCCCCTCCCGCTCCTGGCGCCGCTCCTCCCCCGCCGCCCCCTCCTCCTGGCGGTGCTCCTGCGCCCTCTCTTCCTCCTGCAAGAGCTGGTCTCCTCGGAGAGATCCAAGCCGGCAGGGCGCTCAGGAAGACGCAGACGAAGGACAAGAGCCAAGCTGCTGTTGCCGGTCGGGTGCTCGACTAAGCGATGTCTACATTGTTCTACCACCATTAGGCGTTGTCTTGGAATAAGTGGCGTATGTGTGGCAATGGGCAGGGTCATGTAGGAGTTAGGGGTTCATGCGGCTCGGATGCGCAGCGGTGGTGGTACAGTGGTACTAGCTTGCTGCTGTGTCAGGTCAGGTTCAGGTAGAAAGGATGTAGGAAGAAGAAGATGCTGTAGGGGAGGGGGTTGGGGACGCGCATGGTGGATGGTTACGCAGATGGCGTTGTATGAAACAGGATGTTGGATGGATGGAAAGAGACTGAAGAATTTGCAGTGAAGGGGATGGGATGCAAGGAGGGAAGCAAGTTGAGAGAGAGAGAGAGAGAGAGAGAGAGAGAAATTGGAACAAGGGTGGTTGGGGAGACACAAGAACAAGGACAAGAACATGAAGGAGAACACACGCACACGCACATACACACACACTAGATGGGCACAGGGCACACACCGCGAGTCGAGTCTTGTAGCTTATCTACATCTACCTCTACCTCTCTACCTTCACCTACTTCAGGACATTGGACTTTTTTCAAGTTTTAATCTCTCATGTTTAGTTATTGAGACGCTGTATGGTGTCCCGTCGGGCGGAGGACTCGCCCCTTTTTTTTTTTTTTTTGCAGAATATTTAAAATAAGAGTGTATTTGAATCAAACTTGCCCGGTCCTCACTTTGCACTACAACGGACTAGTTCTAGGATGCAATGGGCTTCAAGATGATACGCAACTTTGATCAACCGGTAGGTAACCCGCTGGTGTTTAGAGGTGAGATTCCATCACCACCATTACCATCACTTACCATCTATGCACGCACGCACGAACGGCAGGCAGAATCCGAGCTGATCGAACACCACTGAATACCTGGGGGTTCGTTCCTCTTGTGTCGAGCAAAGGTCCCACCGTTCGACGACCGCACCACAACCCCCAAGTAAGTATTCATCGACCACTCCACTCTACCACTACTCTACCTATGTAATATCTACACACCTCTAATAATATAAGTTCCTCGATCTCCTTCATTCAAACACATACGACCATACCCACTGGAAAACTCGGGATCCCGTCCGCTCTCCCATAGATAAGCCAGTGAGGGCCTGACTAGTAGTTGGGTCGGTGACGACCAGCGAATCCCAGGTGTTGTATGTTTTTTTTGTCTTTTGGGTTTTAGATTTTTTTGGTCTTTTTCTCATCAGGGCCTGTTTGTTGGCTTTTTGTTTTGTTTTCTTGGTTGTTGGGTTTTGAGGATCGTGCTGTGCTTTTTTTTTTTTTTTTTTTTTGGGTTGGTGGTTTGAAGGTGTTGGAGATGCCCTGAGAAAGGAGATATCATCAGATTGGATCTGTCAGATGGAGTGAGTGGATTCAGCTGCCCTGGGTTCAGATGAACTGCACTGTACCGCTTCCTGAGTTTTGCAAATGTCCTAGAAGCCCCTGATTACTCGGCATCTCTGGAAAGTGAATGAAATATCAGTCTAGTTTGACTTCGTATGCGCTGCGCTCACTGCATATGGCTTGAGGCTTTTGGTTTTTACAATGTGGCTTGCGGAGTTACTTATTCTCCGTTTTTGCATATCGACGTATCGACATGATGTAGGTCGCCGGTTGCCGCCGCCATGATTCCATTGCCTATCTACCTTACCTATCCAACCATTCGTTTCTAATCTAGGCTCTTTCTTCACTTCCAACTCACTCAAACTATCGGGAGTAATTGTCAAGGTGAGGAGAAAATGATGGTTTGATAATGTTGTGTCAGATCCACCCACTACCCACTCGATTTTGATAGCTCGCAGTACATACCATCTTCGGCCGGCTGTCAGTTACATGATGCAAGAAATGTGTTACTCTCAAGGAGGGAAGGGGAGATCGCTGCCGCGATCATATTTCGTGCATCCAGTAACAGCGAGAAAAAAATGACCCAAGTCAACTTGAAAGCTCGAAGTGGTTGCATAAAGATGAAGGCTGGTTGGTGCCTCAGGGCACGGAGGGTACGGAGCAACGAGCGAGCCGTTGACTGACTGGAACGGGTGGGCTTTGAACGAAAGGGGGATTGGAGGAGGGAGTGAAGAAAGAGTCCTCTTGGATTTTTATGATAGGTTTGTACACGTTGGTTTGACTGGATGAGAGTTGATGACAGCGTTGAGAGATGATTGGATCTTGAGTGTAAGTGGACAAAAGTCCAAAAGTCAGTTTGATGTACTCGCGCAGATGCGCAGATGCGTCGGTCCAAAGAGGGTTGCATATGCTGTGCTGTTGTGCGTGTGTGTGTGGATGGGTGGGGAGTACGTTCAGAACCTCACGTTTCAAAGGACTGGGACTGGACTCGAGAGCTCTCAACCCGAATTCCGACTGTAGTTCTTGGATAGATAAGTGAAGTTGGTTTCACGGCGGGAAATGGTGCAATGCTTGCATCCTTTTTCGTTGGGTCGAACGGCGAGCTACACTACACCAGGTTCGTGACTATTGACTATGTATGCAAGATTTGAGCATCACGAACCTTGTGGTCGGATTGTCATGGTGGTGTGAACTTGAGAAGCCTTTCATCACGGTTAGATGGGAAGCTTCTTCCGCGAGCCCTGGAATTTCGTACATATAGTGGTTGCATATGTACCCCGTGTCATTCACCCATGTTACATACCTTAGCTGCCCGGTGTGCATTAGGTGGTGGAGGCGGTGGATCATAGAGGTATCTTTCTTGCATGCCTAGGGTGGATTTGGGCATCGTGACTTAAAACTCTCGATCTTCTGAGTGGTGTCTGCTGCTGTTGAGCTTCCTCGAAAGTAGACTGGGGGAGGAATTGAGTGGCAGTCTAGAAAGTGGCGACATTCCTGGGTAGTTTAGTTATATAGAAAGAGCGCATACCGCGGTGAATCGACTATGAAGACGAAGTTGTCGGCTATACAGTATTCGCACGGGCGCAGAGTTAAAGAGGTTGCAGCTGAAAGGATCGAGCCTCTACACAGTATGCATATCGACATGGTGTAGTCATGAGAATGCATCGCGGCATCACTCGTCTGTCATGTAAACGGTAAAGACCTGTGCGGATGTAGAAGCGCGCTTAAGAACCGACTAGAGGTGCGTAACGCAAATCATCTCAAGTGTCCAAGTGAGGAAGTGTGGGGAGAAACCAAAGGGATGGAAGTGCAAGACACATTGTCTTGTCCGTTCCCCCGAACGGACCGAGTGACGAGCCGGAGGATGGCGGCGACAGCGGACCAAGAGTACGGGACTTGGTAGATAGCCCACGGTAAACCGTCTCACCGTCTTCCTGTGTGCCCAGACAAAGATGCAAAGGGAGTGACGGTCAAGACCGATGATGTCACCTAATATCCGGGGCTTCACGCCTTTTGAGTGGTGAACGCTGGATGTTGGAGACAGAAAGTCAATCCGATCGCTTGGGCCTCCCTTGGATTCTCATTCCACTTGGCAGGTACCGGTATGCCAAGTCCGATGTTGAAGCACTGGAACGGGCTGGACGGCGGAGCCTCCTGAACATCATGGCATTCCAGTTCGATGGCGGACTCTTAGGAGCAATCTCGATTCCGTTTGTCGAGTGGGAGAAAGTGGTGTTGAAAGTCGAAAGGTAGCACTGACGTCGCGTAGGCCCCCGCACTTGGGCTTCGTTCATCCGCCTCTGATTGGTCAATGTTAGAGTGGATCACAAAATCGACGCGGAAGTTCGCGCCAAGACCAGTTAATTGAAGCTCTCAGACGTGCCGGTGCACGTTCCAGTTGGGCAGTTATTCAAGAGCTGGAGAGGTCCAAGAGGGAGGTAGCGCCGGCGTCTTCCGGGCCTGGTGTCTTCAACCGGACCCGAAGAAGCTGAATGGTCGACGATTTCCAAGTATCAAACGTACTGCTCGCAAGGTGAGCATGTATTTGACGCCAAAGGTTGGACGTTGACGCTGCGGCACGTTTGGTGTAGCCGTCGACGGTGGCTCGGTTCCGTGCGCATCGAGGTACCCGGCGTCGGTCGAGTCTCCGTGAAATATGAGATCTGAAATCTGACGGATCTCGGAGGGGTGGAGGCGGGGACGGTAGGGCATTGAAGTATGAAGTGAATCTTTGTGGTTGAGCCCGTCGGGTAAAAGATAGGACAATACATTCCTGTAGAGAGAATGCGCGCCTATGAGGTTCAATGTTGGGCGTGAGCGGAAGTACCCGACTAGCGGACGTGCTCAAGCCTGCCCGACAGGTGCAGTACATGCCTGTCAACTCTAGCAAAATGCGCGTGCTGCTAGACTCCTGCACGAAAGAATGAGAAAGAAAAAGACAACGGCAGCTCATCGTTACATAACGTCCCCGCTATCAATCATGGATCTATCATCCTTGTCTGATAGCCCAATCCGTGCAAGACATGTCTTTGACGACAAGAAGGTCACTATGAGGCAGTCTGTCCCGCTCTCTCAGTGTCGTCCACTTCAAGTTACAATGGGCTCTGCCACACCCTTGCATCATATTGGGACGGAGAGGATAAAGAGGTTGCGTCTTGTAAAACACAAGAGTGACGGAGACTGGTTGAAAGTGGAAGGAAGGACACTCCATTCTTTACCATTCATGAATTAAGGCCCATCAAGACCCATGGAGGCCCACCACTTTAACCCCCTGTCCATGGCCAGCCCGCGGCCGTCCCCAGAGTCCAATCATGTGTCATCGTGCCCCTCCCTGCCTGGACTTGGCTGCGTTCTTGGAACAGCGGGTGTGAGCTGGCAGTCAGTGGCATCACTCACTTTCTCTCGGTTCTCTCTCGCCTGGAACCGTCGAGGTCTCTTTTTGAACCTGTCTCCATCTTCCACTTTTCTCTTCTTGACGTCTCTCAACGTCCCCAAGGTAGACATCTTTATGTCTATACTCCCCTCATCTACAAACCACTTACACCACGGTCACCTTGACCATGATATATTTTATATACAAACGAGCATTCTTATGAACCATCCTTGTATCCAGCTGAAGTTACTTCGGTTTTCGCCTAGCATCTTCACGGCCACAATCTGAAAGAAAGAAAATCCCATTTCTTGGAGGCGACCGACTTGTGCCTGTTCTTCCCGCAACGACGATCCATGCGATAACCGTTTTGTCACCCCCGTCCCTTGCCAGCCAGGCTCAGAGACCCAGAACGACTTCTGGCTTGGAACCCAAAAAGTGCCAGTCGCTGCCACCCAGTGCGAGTGCCAGTGACCCAGCCTGTCCCGTCACTGTCCACTGCGCCCACACTGCTCTTTCACAGCCCAGCCAGCCAGTGCCAGTCCATCTGGCCAGTCATCTTGTACCTCCTCCTCCCTCCCAGTCCCGTCCTAGTGCTTCTTGTTCCACTTCCTTTCCACTTTCCTACATCCAACTCCACGGACTAGCTTCCTTCTACCTCTATACTTCCACCTCAGGATCATCAACGACTTTTTACCTACCTACGACATCGAAATAGGTCACCTCACAAACCGACACTCGTTCACCAATATTCAGTCGCAACATAGTGGCCCCAAGAACCACACGATTCGACTATCCCCCCGGTCCAGTTTCGAATTTCTCAGGCCCACTGCTTCGGCAAATCAGGCTGCGCATGACAGCAATATCACCATCACCAAACCACCAGTGTCCGCTGTGACGGAGCAGTGAGCATCGACTCGTTGTTTGCTACCTGTTCCTAAACCGGCCTCGATCCCTGGACTCTTTCTCCCGTTCCGGAACATCCCACACCCACAGTCGACATGATGGCAAAGCAAGCACGCTATGGGGCGGCCGAGCCGCTTCAAATCTACCAGGACGACTTGTATGACCAGACAACACCCGTTATCAGTCAGGCCCCGATGCCTCTCGCAGCAAAACCACCTCGTCGCCCTCTTCAGCCTGCCAACAGCAACAGCGTCATGCTTAAACCACCAAGTGCCATGGCGCCTCTGCAGAAATCACCCTTGAAGCCAGCAAACGCACGGATATCTGATTCTTCCTCTGCCCCGACCAAGCCCTCTCAGGCTCAGAAGAAGCTCAACAACGTACAGATGCCTCCACCTGGTACTCTGGCCCCGTCAACCGATTCACTGCAGAAGAAACCCCCCATGTCCCGGTTCAAGACCGTTGCTCAGAAGCCTCCGGCGCAGGATCTCACCAACCTTCAGTTTGTAGATCAGAGCCCGCAAACGACCATCTTCCCAGCGCCGACTCAGTTCAGCCTACCTCTCGAGAACTTCTATCAGAAACCTTCCGGGAAACGAGTGCTGACTGATTCACCCACATCCGATAAGGAATCAAGGCCGGCGAAGAAACAGAATACTGGCGAGCCTATACCGATACCAGATCCCGGCTCGTTTCCTCCAATAATAGACGATGGAACAAAACCTCATCACAGTTATGCAACGCTTATCGGGATGGCCATTCTACGCTCACCACAACGGCGCCTCACGCTATCTCAGATATACAAGTGGATCGCCGAGACCTTCACCTTCTACCAACTCTCAGATTCCGGGTGGCAGAACAGCATTCGACACAACCTCAGTCTGAACAAGCATTTCATCAAGCAGGAGCGACCAAAGGACGACCCGGGCAAGGGAAACTACTGGGCCATCGAACCGGGGGCTGAGCAGTTCTTCATGAAGGAGAAGCCGTCGAGAAAAGCGCCACCTTCGGCCGAGAACCTCCCAGTTATGTCTACACGCCTCGAGCCATCTCAGCCACTCGGAGTTCAACCACAAGGACCCAAATCTCAGTCATCCAAACCTCAACCGCAGCTACTACAGGCACCACCACCACTACCTCAGCCACCTCAGGCACCCCTGCCAGAAGAACCTGTCCTACTACCGCAGCCCCCCACAACACAAGCTCAACTGGCCCCTCATCCGTCGTCATCACAGGCCACATTGATGCCTCTTCTTCCAGAGCTATCGTCAGACGCCACGATTCCCGCATCCGAGATCGGGTCGGTGGAGGATGTCACATATCAAGGGTTTGAGCATGGAGTTTCTAATGACTCCAACTTGTACTCGCCCCTTCCTGCAATTGTACAATCCTCGCCGCCAGTTCCCAAGCACATAGAGGCCCGGCACAGCACAACGCCTCCCCAACCGCGGACCAAAGGACGCCGCAAGAGATGGACCACCTCGATGGACGATAGTGGGTATATTTCCTCGCTTGATTCTTCAATCTTGCGCCCTAGTCAGCATTCCAACCTGCTTCACTCTGCAGATCGTTCGCATCTCAGTACGGGTCGGGCGGAGGAGGAGATCGCTCGCCTTCGAACATCATCATACGATAGCCCATCAAAGGGCCGCTCGTACGGCTATGCTCCCCCTTCTTCTCCGCTACGTCAAGCTTCGGCCACCCAGTCTGGCCAAATGCTTCCGCCTCTAACACCGGCAATGAAGCTCAAGGCACCACCTATGCCTCCACCATCGGTATCCCCTACTACCAACCTTCGCTTACACCGCGAGAGCGTCCAGTCAATGGTTGACGCTACTTATCAACGTGTAGCCGCCTTGCTGCCTGAAGATGACTCCCTTCTACAACTTACACCCAACCCCAATTTTACCCTTGATGACATGCTGTATGGATTCGAGCGCGGGACAGATAACGTCACTTCTGAGATCGATATCTTCCAGGACAGCCCCTTTGGGTACTACAACTTCGGAGTCTCGCCCGCTATCAACCAGTACAACGGTTCTCCGATCAAGCAGTCAGCAAGACGGCAGCGGCCTGAAAGGTCGCAATCGACCGGTGCGCTTACCGAGATGACAAACTTCTCTCGCGGCAACGGTAATGACGCGGCTTCTTTCCTCAAAGTGCCTTCTCAGCCAGTTGACCTGAACACTGGGACGCCGAGCAAAGTGTTTGAGGGGCTGCCCTCTTCACCCAGCAAGGTATTCCTGGAGTCTCCGTGTAAGATCAACCCTATGAGCAACCATAACCTCGAGAACCTGGAGCCGTGGATGACGATGAACGATCTCTGCGGTCCCGACTTCCTAGAAGATAACGACTTTTCCGGAATCGACATGCTTGCTGGATTCGAGAAGATTGGCTCGACTCCTGCTAATACTTCGAGGCCCATCAACAATGCACCTACGATAGCAGGCCCTCCCCCGAGGCAGTCTTATAGTCGCTGCTACAGCAACATCTTCTAACTCGCATATTCATATTTGCTGTTTTGCTGGATATCAGCCTTGAATAGCGCCGATTGGGTTTAGCACGGCATAATGACGACTACTACCACGGTGTTGACCTTGACCTGGACTGTGTTACACACCCCTTACTACATACGAGCTTGAAGCACCACAGCCCTCAAGCTTTATTACATCTACCTCATGATAACGAACAACGTCTTGCCGCCGTCAATTGTGGTGGCCACGAGGGAACATTGCATCAACGGCGTTACTTTCCACTCACATAAGAGTTTCGGTGCCTTGCCTCTTCCTTCTCATTTTGCTTTTCGAACTTCCCGTTACCTCACCAAAGCCAGGACCCTGCAAAGGGATGTTGGATGTTTTGCCTTCTTTCAAGGCAGTTGGTATCAGTTTTCTGTTGATCTTCGTGCTTTCTATTCCGGATACATACCGGTTTCTTTGCCTTTATCTTTTAACAAAGCGTTTTTCTTTTCCCTTCCCCTTAGGTCGGTCTGTTTGCTCTTGGAATCAGCTTGGTTGGGTTGGGTTATCACGTCACGGGGTCTATTGACTGGGGTTGGGAATGAGAAGTCGGAAAACAGGTTAACGACATGAAGGAGTTCGATGTGTTCTTCAACCGCCGTTTCGGATTTCTTTCTCCACGCGGTATGGATGGTTAGGATTGTTATGGTCTTGGGATTTTAAGGGATGGGAAATGGATACAAATGTCCTTGGGTATTTTCCCGGTCAAGGAAAGGGACAGACAGGTTTGAACCCGGTCGGCTGATCGGTTTGGTTGAGTGAGGTTGGTTCACGTTGCATAGCAAGAGCGATACGGCATGGGTTGATTGTTTCTGTCTGCCTTTTTTTTTTCTTCCTTTGGCGGTTCGGTCGGATATTAGCGTCGTCAAGGGTATCGGTGACGCAGGACAGTGGCACAAAATCTGATTTTCCCATCTTCTTTTGCTTTTTCAGTGTTCAATCTACGGTGTCCGTGGTAGCTCAGCATGACCGAAATGAATAAACCAGACATGAGTTACTATAATGCGTTCTTGTTCCACACGAAGCAAATACTCGGCTTTGCCTTCAAACCTCTCATAGTCACCTGTTTGTTCAACAGTCTCCTTGTCATCCCGTCCATCTCATTTCTATCTTGTTAAACCGGGCACTCTTCGAGAGCAGATACTTCGTTGCAACGGAGCCTATACAGTACATCGTCTCTAACTCCCTCTACGTACTTAGTCGCAAGTGACTACTTTGGCCTTAACCCAACTACCTAGACCAACCGTCAAAGTGTATCAACATTAGCCATACAAACATACCGCAGAGAAGATTGACAGCAAGTGAATACTAGACTAGGGGACACTCGGTCCCAAGTGCACCTAAACTACATTACATGTATACAGTATTTTTGATTGCTTCAAACTAGGAGTTAGATGGCGAAACGGAACCTTCTAACTATGTATACCCACTCGAGCCACTGAAGCAAGGTCACTCACTGCTCGGGTGAGCGTAGGTCAAGGCAAGCTTAATGTGTCTCGCTTCCTTTGGGAACCTTGGGCGAGGTCTTGATCGAAGAACAAATACGTACAAGGAAACAAACCAGCATTGAAAGATGTATTGTGATCGTTGTAGTAATGTGCAATCGAGAAAGTTCGAGAGTGTTTTGTGTACATTATCATTACCTACCTCTATGTATTGTGGTATCGTGGACGGCATCCTCACGTGTGTCAGTTGTCCCATCCCAAAAGATCTTTCTGAGAGGGAATAAAGATTTCTCTGAGAGGGAAAAAAGTTAGCGCGGTTTGCCTTCCATGTCAACAAACAACAGGAAGACGATCGAAAGTCAGAAGGAAAGAGTACGTGGAATAAATAATTTCCTTCGTCCAAGCGTATGTAATACCCAGAAAGCCACATAAATCGAAATATCTATGGTCCGGTTCGTATGGTCCTCTGAAGTCCCGTTTAACCTTCTCCCCATCCTGTAATCCCATAACGCCCTTATCCCATGCTTTGTTGTTGTTGATAATGATGGCATCTTTCTTCGCTCCTTGGAGATTTACGACGCTCCAAATACTCGCAAACCCGCTGCAAGCCCTAAATAATTATGATATTGCGAGGTTGGAATGTTGAATGACTCCAAGATCTTGGGAGGGTAAGCAGTACGAAAGGCCTGTCGTGCGTGGTCGTGTTCAGAACTTCAGATCTCGCTCATTCCCCGTCATACTCCCTCATCTCCCCCAGCGCCTTCTTCAATCGCCTCACCCTTCTTCCTTATGAACTATTCCCGCCTCTTCATCTCGTTTATCAACGTCTCAGAGTACCGCTCTCTCATCGCCTTCTCTGCCTTCATCCTCTCTTCCGCTTCCCGGGTCCGCTTCCCCTCCTCATCGAGGACATACTGGAACTCTCTGTCCCACCTATCAAGCGTCCTGGCGCACGCCTCATCGAGCCTCATAGCAGCATCGCGCACCGAAACGCCAATGTTCGCGATCACACTCCCTGCGGAGTTGACCCAGGGGGGACTATCCCGCTAGTAAATACCCATCCTGGTGGCCCACGAGCCAACAACTGCCGCTGCCGCGCCCCCCGCGGCCCCTGCTAGCCCGCCTGCTCCTCCTCTCCCTGCTCCTCGTCCACTCCCGCCAGTTCCACTACCGCCACCACTGCCGGAGCTTCCAAAATCGCTTCGTGCTGCTTCCTTGCTAGCGCTTTGAAGATGTTGCTGGGAGGTGGCATGGAGGCCGTGGTGTGGGTTGACGTTGATTTGGTAGGTAAACGGGTTGGAATCGTTGGTGGTGATGGGCGGGATGTGGTCCTTGTGGGTATTGGCGATGGTGATGCATTTGAAGACAGTTGATTGGAGGGTGGATTCCATTGCGTTGCGGACTTTATGTCGTTCTTTTCGCAGGGAGAAAAAAAGGGGGGGTTAGCGATTGTAGATGTTCACATATAACGATGACGGAATTGAACCGGAAAAAAACATACCTGACTCAGTCCGCGGCTCAGCAACCGTCACCTTAACCGTCCAGTTCTCCCAACACACCTCGTCGTCGCCCCTCCCCATACCATACCACGTCTTCCTGCGCTTCTTCTCAAAGAACTGCACCGTTATCTGCCCGCGACCCCCACCGCCTCCGCTATATCCGGGACCGGGACCGCCATAATGATGTTGCGACGAAGAAGACTGGTTGCGGTCGACCTCGAGCTGGCGCACGAGCGTGGCGACCCGCTGGTCGATGAGCGTCTCGATCTCGGCGTCGGGGATGTAGGCCAGCTCGAGGCCGCACACGTCGCGCGTCTTGGGCTCGTGGGAGACGAAGTAGCGCAGGAAGAAGATGGTGTGGAGGATGCCGCGGACGACGTCGCGCACGGAGGCGGGATCGGCAAAGGCCTCGAGGGTGAACTCGGGCGCGACTTTCTCCATGGTTGCGGCGGTATTCGATAAAGATGGTAATTATTTGGTTGGTATGTTGTGTCTCGCTGGATAGCTGGGATGACGGCGGTTCCTTTCGCGGCGGCTGAGGTTTTGGCGGAGGGAGGTCCGGCGCTTCCCGTCGTTCTTGTTCTCGTTCTTCTCGTTCCTGTTCCCTTTCCGGTTTCTTTAGGTCATGCGATTACGGCAGGCGACCGACCGGTGACAAGCGATAAGCGGCGGCAGGATGGTGGAGGGGTAATTGATTATCGATTAAGGTACGGCGGAAAGATACAAATGCGCATTGATGGGACAAATTGAGGGGCAACAAGCAGCAGTTCTCTGCACTCTGCAAAGTCTGCAGTGATCTCCCTGGCGCGGCTTCGGGGCGGCTGGGCGGTCAAAGAGTTGTTAAGGACAAGGGCGGTTTTTGGCGGATGGTGTGACGTTGTTCCTTTCTGGGGTCCAACTTCCCTGTCACTTGCGGGACCTGCGGGACCCCGGGGGTCGCCGGAGCCCACGCTGGCTGCAAGAGCCCCACATGCCCCGGATTTGGTTGGGGATTGAAGACTGGGATTGCTCCTTTGAGAAAGAGAAATGACATCAGCAGTTTGACCCCTTTTCATCGACTGAACGCACCGTGACCAGCCCAATGAGCCGTATGAGTGTCTTAGATGCACATAGTTATTCATAAAAGTTGGTCATTTACTGCGACCATAAAATGGATCATCGAAGCTCGATAACGAAGGCAGTTTTCAAAAAGGCCGGGGTGATTTGGCGTACTTTACCCCTGTCGGAGCACGACCGGAGCTGGACCCAGTCGTAACTTACATACGTTACAACTCGTAACAAAACGCCACACACTGGGTACGGCTGACAGGGTTAGGGTCTCCGCAGGGATCGATCAGCCCTATCAGCCCGATTGGCCACGAGCCGAGGTTATCAGTGCGCTACGGGGCATCCGCTCGATGGATTACAGTACGGGGGCGCGACCTGGACTCCCGAATTTAGCTGAAGCTGGGGGGCTCTTCACCGTTAGGAACCCATACTTCGAGATCCATTCTAGCTGCAAACTCGAGATTCGACGACCACGCATCGCATACGACACCGGCCGATTACATATGCGCCATCGATAAAGACCTTGAATAAGACGGGGCACGACCAATTGAGCTTGCCGTCCTACAATTCCCAATCGCCGCCATGCTCGCCTCGACGCGGCGGTGGTTCAAGCGCAATCGCACACCTTTGGCCATCGGTGCTGGTGTTGTCGGCGCCGGCTACGTCGCGACCCAATATGTCCTGAGGAAGCTCAATAATGCGCGCGAGCGCATGAGCAGCGATCGCATAGCCAAGGAGAAGTACGTTTTTGTTGATCTCCTTGACGTCGTCGGCTAACCCCTGAACCCCCTTATCGACAGTTTGCGACGCCGCTTCGAACAGAACCAGGAGGACTGCACCTTTACCGTCCTCGCCCTCCTACCTACCGCGACGACGAACATCCTCGAGGCCCTCAATACCGAAAGGATCACATACGAGATCCAGCAGATGAAGAGCCCAGCCAACAGGAAGAAGAGCATCAGCTCTCTCACCCCAAGCATATCCGAGGTCGGCACCATGGACGACGATGGCCGTAGTATGATCAGCGGATTCAGTGTGCAGAGCGAGGGTGGTGCATATCCCAGCTTCCTGGCCCCAGGGCCTCTACCATCTGTCGCAGAGGGGGAATCGGCCCCCCAACCAGAGGCGCCCAAGAAGCCGCGCAAGACTAAGAGACAGCTCTGGGATGACCTCAAGATCAGCTGTGAGCCCCCATCCTGGCCATCCTCCATCTTCCCACTGGACTCGACTAACACACTGTTGGACAGCAATTACCCGTTCTTTCACCCTGATTTATACTCTCGGTCTACTTACCATGCTCACACGGATCCAGCTCAACCTCCTCGGCCGTCGCAGCTACCTCTCATCTGTCGTCTCCCTCGCCACCGGCTCCGCGCGCGAGGGCGCCATCGCGCTCGAGAACAACGACGACGACGGCGATCTCGACGGGGAAGGCCAGGCCTACGGCTCCGATTTCGAAGTCAACCGCAAGTACCTCACCTTCTCGTGGTGGCTTCTCAACCGGGGCTGGGTGGACGTCATGCAGCGGGTTGAGTCCGCCGTCCGACAAGTCTTCGGCCCGCTCTCGCCTCGTGACACCATCACCTTCGACGCCTTCTCCAAGCTCACCCGCGAGGTGCGCACCATCATCGAAGGCTCTTCGGCTGGTCAGGGAGGCGCAGCAAGCACGCAATGGCTCCCCTTCCTCCTCCCGCCTCAAAACATGGAGGACTTCGTCCTTCGCGAATCCGGCATCCTAGTAGACGACTCCCAGCTCTCCTCGCCGCCCAGCGCCACCCCCGAGGGCGAGTCCACCACCTCCCTCCGCCGCCTCCTCGACGAAACCGCCGACCTAATCGAGTCCCCCGCCTTCTCCTCCGTGCTCACCCAGCTTCTCGACGAGGGTTTCACCGTCCTTCTCGACAACAAACTCACCGTCGGCGCCTTCGAAACACCCTCCCTGCCCGCCGCCGTCCCGCCCGCCGTGACACTCACTCCCGAAGCCGCCGCCGCCGGCGAAGACGTAGTCACGTCCACGACCCTCGTCGCCACTTCCTCCGACCTCAACAACGTCAACAACGCGGGGCGCCAAAGTATCGACATTGAACGCCCCGCCGTTACCCGCGCCGTCCTCCTCCCCAAGATTCTTTCGATTCTCACCCGCCAGGCCCACGCCATCGGCAACGGAATGCCGAATGAGTACCTCCAAGCCATGGAAGGCGTTCGCGACCTGGAAGGTTTCGCGGCCGTGGTGTATAGCAGTAATTGGCAGGCGGAGATTGCGAGCGAGGAGTATGCTGGTGTTCCGGCGGCTCCTGTGTCTGCGCCACCACCATCAGCTCCCGCTCCCAGGGGAAGTAGTAGGAGAGAAAGGACAGCAACAGTGGAAGAAGAGTCGGCGGTGCTGGTCGAGTCTCAGTCATTAGGTGTGTCTGGGACAACGGCGGCGGCTGTGGAAGAGAGTTTGGTGGTTGTGGATCCTAATCCGGATCCGACGGCTGGGTTTGATAGTGCGTGGGAGAGGGCGATGAGCGCGTCGCAGGCGGGGTCGAGGGGGCCGTCTTTTGAGGATAGGAGATGAGGTTGTGTAAGTAATAGTTTATGTGTGGAGGGTTATATGCATTGGACGGGGAGAATTGATTGGATGGGTGGGTGGGTTTTTTGTATAATGAACTGATGGACGGATGGACGAGGGCGTGTAGTGCGAGAGAAACGAGGGGAGTAGGGGAGGGGCAAGGGGAAGGGGAAGGGGGGGAGGCTAGATAATGAGTGTTTATGTTATACTATTACTATTACTCTAAGATAGCATTATACGTATTAGATGGAATAAAGAGGATCATAAAGCTTCCAGGTCTCAAGGTGGATTTTTGAGAGTTGGTTGTGGCGGCCAAGATTGGTTGGTGTTGGGTTAAGAAGTGGTTTTATGTGCCATTAATTTGTTGGTATTCATTATGTTGGTTCTTTCATTACGACTATTATGTGAATGGTATAAATGTTCCACCATTTCCATCACGGCCATCCCGCGCCGGTGCTCTCGACGGATCGTTTCACGTCTTTATATGCATACATTCCTCCTCTTCATCTGGTCTCATGGCGAGGCCAGTTCCGAAAGCGGCCAGCTCCATTGGATTGGTCCACTTGTGTCTTGCATAAAACTGACCCGAAAAACTCCCGCTGCTTATATTCCCTTTTAGTGAGCCCAGGCTCTCTCTCGCTCGCGAATCGACAATGGTTTGGGCTCGGGCTCTCTAATCCTTTAGCCAGAGGCCATAAGCCGGACCTAACCCAAAGTCTTGCCCCGGGGGAACCTCATTGCACTACTGCCTTTATCCCGTTATCGTTGGCCGCCGGTTCGACCGCTATGTATCGAACTCTTTCATCAGCTTTTTTTATGTCTGCCAGGGAGCAGAAAACTGAGCGAGTATGTTGATGGGTTTGGGTGGGCTCAAGACGGTAGATGGAGTGTCGTTGGAAGCCCCAATTGCAAAGCGAGAACGGCCGGATCGGGTGTTTGTGCTCATGTGCTGTAGTGAATAATCTCAATCAAGGGCTGGACGAAGAAGTTCTCACATCAAACCCGTGATAAACTGATTCAGACCCAGCTCGAATAACTCGTTCCTGACGCCGGCGCCGCCTTTGTGTTCGACGGGTGAGAGGGGGTTTTTGACCACTGTTATCGTTAAACTTCCGTTAGCCCCTTTTCATCCCCTTTTCTAACCCATTCACAACCACAACCACAACCACAACCACGCCCTCCGGGGAAGGAGTGCTAGTCCAAACAGACTCACCATATTCACACCACAAATTAATGTATATCTGATGCATCACGTTCCGCATGCTCAGCGTCCCCGTGTCCGTCAACATGACAAAGCGCAGGTTGCTCGCCGTCTCGTAGTAGTGCAGCTTGTACTGGGCCGTTCGGTAGCTAATAAACGCGTCGTCTTCGCCGCCCAGCTTGCGCACCATGTTGCGCAGCGAGAACACGGTGCCGAAGATCAGCTTGGCGTCGTCCGACGCTTTGTTGGCCGCGCTGACGGCCGAGCGTGCGCTGCGCAGTGTGTTGGGAGGATGATGATGAGGGTCGGAGGAGGCGACGGCGGCGCCGGTAGTGCTTGTCGGGCCATCATGTTGTTGTTGTGCCCCCGGGGCAGGAGGGGGTGGGAGCCAGGTTTTGGAGTAGATGCATTCCGCTGTTGGTTGGGTAAGGGGAAAGTTAGTAAGGTGTCGGATTGGGGGATAAGGGGGCGGGCGGGCTTACTATGCCGGTCGAAGATGTAAAACGAGTAGACGACCATGGTTGGTGATGTAGCCCGTAGATCGATTTGCGGACTCGGGGGAACGGCGGATGTACAGCGAGGACCCGGAGGCGTGGGAGTGCTGTGAAGCCGACGGGTTGAAGCGAGGTAGACGTTGGGACAAGATGGTCGGAGAACTGTTGGTTGCGATTGCGATTGCGACGGGAGTTGCGATGATGAATGCGGAGCGGATCCCTGCCCCGGTGTCCCGTTGTCGGCCGCGGGAGTCGTTCGCCCGGGCGTGCTTCCTGTGGGGTTGGATGCGGGTGCGCTACGGCCCCAGGGAAATGCGCTAACAGTGGAAACTTCCAGCGCAACTTTCATCCCGTCAGCCTCCCGAACGCACAGGCTGCAGTGATCTACCGTATAATCTCTCGAAATTGACTTTCGGGAAAGCACAGAGCGGGTAGGGTTAAAGGTGTCGAATGTAGGAAAGAAGCAGAAAAAACGCATGTATGTGGTTGAATGACTCCTTTAACCCTACCCGTATGTGCTTTCCCGAAAGTCAATTTCGAGAGATTATACGGTACACGACGGCAAGCTCCGCTATAACGACATGCCAGGTATACACTACAAAAATAGCAGACAGCAAAATCAGCATTGTCGATTTTACGATTCTCTCCATCTTCTTGCTACAGTTCATCTATGGTAGCGGAGACAAACAGTTCTCATAGCAAATGGGCAGTGAGGAAGTAGTTTCCAAACTGAAAAGAGAGTGCAAGATTGACATCATGGAGGGGCAAAGAGCAAGGAGAATGGACAGGCAGGATCGTGAGAGCCCAAGTCGAGGTGCAGCTGCCCTACGAGGAGGACCTACAATACTACCGGAGCTCACATGTGAGATGTTGCACGATGATCTGACCCCTGGGGAATGGTTCCCTCTCACTTTTGTGCCTTTTGTCCACTTAACGGTTCCGCCTTTGTGTGAGCCCTGGGCGTTCCCGTTTCCATCCATCATTGAAAGAAGACAAGTTTATAACAGCAGCCTACCACAGTGCCGGGTCCATGTCCTACTCTCGCCTAATGCAAAATACGTGCGAGTTATCAAAGTCTTCCAAAATAATTACCCCGTGTCCTCTCCACAAGGACGGAATTGCAACATAACATCGTCATCTCTGAACTTACCTCGCTTCCAAGAAAACCCCCGCACTACTAACTACTAGCCCAGCGCCAAAGCACCACCAAAACCAACTGTTCACGGCTCTTCCCGCTCAACATCTGTCAAACCTACATATCCCGCTCTTATCATTTGTTTAGTCAAGACGAAAATGTCAGATCAACAACCTCAAGAATCTCCCGGGGCCCCTGATCCTCACTGCCCTACAACAACAACCTCGCTACCACTTCGTCCACGCCTTCCCGGCGTCCAAAGCACAATGACCGACCTTCTTGAACCAGATCACCCAAAGACCACATCTCCCCCTTTGCTCTCACCGGGCATCTCAGTCCAGTTCCATGGCGACCCAACCGACGATGGCAGGCCGAGACCGGCAACGCCTCCTCACACTCATTCGGCCCCTGCTCAAATGCAAAAGTATCCGAGTCCCATGAGACATCACAAACGAACCCCGTCCTTTCACAGAGAGGTCAAGGAAACCCTCAACGCCAGATCCGAGTACCTGGGCGACGACATCGACGGCTGTTCCCGCCAGCGCATCAACCAATATCTCATCAAGGATGAGATAGGCCACGGCTCCTACGGCGCTGTTCGTCTGGCTACCGACCAATTCGGCAAGGAATATGCCATAAAGCAGTTCTCCAAGGCTCAGCTCAGAAGGCGCGCTCAGTCCAACATTCTTCGCCATGCCCCAAGGGGTCCTCGCAACCAGTCCATCTCTCGCTTCTCAGAGCAGAGGCTTCTGGAGGCCAAAGATCCCCTTTCTCTGATTCGGGAGGAGATCGCCATCATGAAGAAGCTGAATCATCCTAACCTTGTCCAGCTGTATGAGGTCCTGGATGACCCTGAGGATGATTCACTCTACATGGTGCTGGAAATGTGTAAGAAGGGCGTGGTCATGAAGATGGGCATTCATGGATCTGTTGAACCTTTGCCCGAGGAGCAGTGCCGGTTGTGGTTTCGTGATCTCATTTTGGGCATAGAGTATCGTAAGTCTTCTCTCTTAAGTATATTGTCACCATAGCTCTGGCTTACACTCATGTCTCTAGTCCACTCACAAGGTGTGATCCACCGTGATATCAAGCCGGACAACCTGCTCCTTACTGAAGACGATGTCCTAAAGATTGTCGACTTTGGAGTCTCTGAGATCTTTAAAAAGACGGATGAGATGAAGACGGCAAAGCCTGCAGGCTCACCGGCTTTCTTGCCCCCTGAGTTGTGCGCAAAGCATGGCGATGTCGACGGCAGGGCAGCGGATATCTGGTCCATGGGAGTCACCTTGTATTGTCTGCGTTACGGCAAGCTCCCCTTCGCACGCGATAACCAGCTGGAGATGTGGGAAGCCATCAAGACTGAAGAGCCTCAGTTCCCACCTGACGAGAACCCCGAGTTCGTTGACTTGATGCGTAGGCTCCTGGAGAAGGACCCGGCAAAGAGAATTACCATGCGTGAGCTTAGGGTGAGTGACCTCATCAACCGGAGCATCAAATACAGCCGACTAACAATGTCATCAGGAACACCCTTGGGTGACTAAGAACGGCGAAGACCCGCTGCTTAGCGAAGAAGAGAACTGCTCTGAGCCAATTGAAGTGCCCAATGCTCTCGAGATCAACCATGCCGTTACCAGGAGGATGAGCCACCTGTTTTGCGTGGTAAGTGAATTCAACTAGTTATGCTTTACTCATCTCTGACACCATCCAGATGAGAGCAATCTACAAGTTCAAGAGCCTCCTCAACCGCAACGGAGCCACGCGCAAATCTCAAACCCAAAATCTCAAAGTCCAACCTGGCGAAAACGAGCCACCAACAGCAGATATCGACTTTTCCAACACCAACTTCAAGGACCCTACGCTCGACGAAAAGAACGATAAGGAATCTACAGCCGAATTCGCCAACCGCATCCTCGAAGAGCGCAGAAGATTCTTCAAACCCACCGGCCCCCGCGCCTTCGGCATCAACCGAGCTCTACCCGCCACCGAAAACTCTTCTCCTTCTCCTCCTTCTTTTACACAACCATCCACCACCACCTCATCCTCCTCCACTACCACCTTGACCAACACAGTGACCATCTCAGCCGGCCCAGGCCCAGGGACTTCCGAGCAACAACAGGCCCAACAACAACAGCCCCAACCACCGCCCCACCTCGGCATCGGCGTAGGCGGCGTTGACGCAAGCTTCTCCATCAACCCCTCCGACCTCCCGCCCGCCGACCACGTCTCCGAAAGCCCGACCATGGTCGACTTCAACATCTACGATAACGCTTTTGAAGCCGAGATTGAGCGGATCAAGCGGTCGGCTAGCATCAGTTCTAATAGCGGCGGTCGCAGGAACAGCAGGACTAACGAACGTAGAGGGACCGGAACGGGGACGGGGACGGCGCCGACGTTTTACCATACGAGGTTGAATAAGAAGAGGCATGATACTACTATTTTGGTGAATGATGGTCAAGAAGAGGCGGGGGAGGGGGGGCAGGGATTGTGGTTTGGGACGGGGACGGGGAAGGGGAAGGGGGATGATAACATGAAGGGGGCTGGGGATACGCCGAGGAGTCTTTGGCAGCCGCAACGGGACGGGCGAGGGGAGGCGGAAAAGGAGGGAAGGAGTGGGTTTGCGGATGTGGTGGCTAGAGCTATGGAGGGGGCGAAGGAAGTGGTGGTTGGGGGGAGTGGGACGGAGGGAGAAGGGAAGGGGGCGGGGGGTGGTGGGCAATAGTCGAAAGGGAGGCAAAGAAAGAGGAGGAGGTGCGGCTTGGCAGATGGGTTGATGTGTTCTATGGAGGGCGGTGGTGAGAGTGATGAAGCGGTTACTTCGATGTAATATACCTCGAACGTCGAGGTCACCTAGGGCCCGAACAGTTTTATATTGGATATCGGTTATAAACCTCCATGCTGAAATACAAGTCTAGCACGTGTTCCCTCTTACGGTCAACGGAAAATGTGGATATACATATGGTTATCTCTTACGACATCTGTATAGGAGCTCGGAATCAAGTCTTTTTATTCTATCTTTCAAACCTTATTTTCATTTTACCTCTTCGCATCTCTCTTCACTTCTCTCTTCACTTCTCTCTTCACTTCTCTCTTCACTTCTCTCTTCACTTCTCTCTTCACTTCTCTCTTCACTTCTCTCTTCACTTCTCCTTTACATTGAAAATCTCGTGATAAAATACAAAATCCACGTTTGGACAAACCTGAACGGTACCTACAGACAGATACGGGAATGCTGTTCTTAGCTCGTGTCAGGCCACCCGGTCGTAATTTCAAGATCCACTACTATTACTTTCATTCGTAGCACAAGTCCCGGTATCGAAAGTGAACTACTATGAAGCTGAACCATTCAGATATTTAACCTTTCTGTGTGGAAATACTCACACAGTTGAGAGCGTAATCTATAGACTATCCGTTGAGACCGACCGGCGTTACAAAAGAAGGATACTGAAAATCCACACATTCTTGTCGACAAGAACAAAAACTTCGGTTTACCACGTGTTGTTGAAGTCTCACCTCGATACTCACGCACTTGTTGAGTAGATATGTATGTCCCTCCCTGGCTACCTATACATTTAAGGAAACAAACAAGAATGATGTCTAACCACTGGCGGAATAACTTGAACTCACTCCCCCAAGATGAAGTGTGGTTGAACAACTAACTGATGACAACCTACCTACCTGAGCATTAGCACCCATACCTTACCTTCAGGAAACATCATTCGATCGATCAGCGCTGGACGAGATCCATACACTACTTACTCCTATATGAACCTTCCACCAATATGGTCTTTCATAATATCGTCCCTGATGATCCATCCATCCCTGCGGAGGGAACATAAGCCCGGCAAGCCCGGTAAGCCCGTGTTGAGTAACCCGACTGACTGACTGGAGCCGGACAGACAGGTTACCTACGTCTAGATAGGCCATGACGGGTGGGTGGGTGGTAATGGTTGGTGATTGGTATATTAAAGGGGTTGATGTCTCCTTTCATCCGATCGCGAGTTGGATGGTAGACTAGTCTGCCATTTTGGTGGAATACTGCTTCGAGTTCCGGGCAGTAGGAATACTAGAGCGAGATAGATAGATAGACGACATTTCATGACCACTCTTACGGAGGCACTTTTCATGTCGATACCATACCAGTTAAACATGATGTGGAAGCCAAGCTATGGTGGTTGAGACGCCGTTTTTGTTGTTGTCCATGAACCCGCACCGAATTGTCTTTTTGCCGGGAACTACTATCAGATCGCCTTTACTAGGTACCGAGCTCCTGGACCCCGTATCGGCCTAACTTATCTTGCTGGCATGTGAGTGAAGCCTACCGATCAAAGTTGCCTTAATGCAGTACGTCGGACAAGTGAGAGTCCAAGCCCAGATGTCCATCGACTCCATCTTTTCCCTTCTCGGTTTCCCATGTTCCTCGCATGCTTTTGAGGTAGCTACATCTTCTTGATCCCGCACCAAGTTCCATCTAGGTATATTTACCTTAATCCTAACCTTACCGAAGTCCCTCCGACTGGATATTTGCTCGTGTAACACACCTAACTATCCTCTAAAAGCTATGTGTACTTACCCCTCGCTCCCCTGTTCACGTTCCTCTCGGTTGGCGCACCCGAAACGCTCACTTACCCACTTACTCTCGCTGACTTGCTTACCCCGTCTTATTCTCACCAGTCACCAAGTCAGTCACTTGACTTCCACTTGCGTGCGGACTTCATCCCGCCTTTTCGAAATTGATCCGTTGCTTCTAGTCTCCGCTAGTCTGCTCGCTATCTGGTTTCATCGTAGCGTACGTCGACGGTGCTTGTATGTCGAAAAACTCGAGAATAGTGAAAGAATACGACCTTGAGAAGAGCTTGTTAGTCGAAGCTGGTAAGTAACTATCCGCAAGCAATGGAGGTTGATAACGGACTGGTGAAAGACCTACATCGCCCTCTCATCCCTTTCCTGACTCAGATATACCTTCCTCTGTAAGACCCGTTCGATCACAAACGATAAGCGCAGTCTGTCGAACCTGTTATCGATGGCCTCCAACGTTCATGCTCACCGCTGCTTCCACGCATCGTGCAAGCTTCTCCTTATCCCGCGTATCCTCCAATTCCAAAGAAAATCCAGGAGTGGCTAATGCACACTCGCATAATCAGTTGCGTTATGTATGTGCATGGCGTTTCCCATGTGGAATGTGAACATACGTGCATACACAAAGACCCCAACCTCACTTGTGCTTGCATCGATTTGATAGGCACAGCACCTTTGCTATTCCCGTGAGAGGGCGGTTGATAGACATTGTCGGTCTGCTTGGTGATAGAGGGGTTGTATCACCGTTCACACAAAACGGAGAGGGAGGTGTATTTGTTAGGAAACGTCTGGCTGTTATGTGGACTTTACGTTGATGATAGCAAAGCGAGAGAGAGATCATGAAGGTGAAGGTCAACCTGACGCTGAATCGTCTGCGCCGAGGGGAGGGAGCGTAGATTTTCCGGCAACAGGACTTTGCGGTTTAGTGCACCTATATGTGTAGGTAGGCGAATGCACGTTTTCCGAGCTTTCGAGGCCGCAACTACGGCCGACAAAAGGAAAGGATCGTAATTTACGAACTCTTGAATAAAACCTGCCCGGGACATCCACAGATGTACCTGGGCTGAGTATCACAACCCACACCATTGACGTAACCAGAAAGTATGCCGAGACTACCAAGACGGCTATACTGCACTGCCGTGACACACAGGATCTCCATTTCTTCCCGCCGTCGGGGGAAAAGATAAAAATTCAAGAGGATCGAAAGTGTTACGATAATGACGGAGGACAAGCAAAAAGGACCCGAGACAATGGGGTTGAGGAAACCGTTGGAGGCCTCAGGTAAAAAAGAAACAGGACCATTGAACTTGGCAAAATGTTTGAGAAAGGGAGTTTTATAAGAGGATGAGAGATAATACAAGCTTTTGCCAAGTCGGTGGCTGCAAGTCTTGGAAGTCTTGGGTTGCGGTTGTCGGATGTCGGACGGCCGGGAACAGCAAAATGTGAATCGGGAACTGGGACTGATGAGACGGCTTAGGGTACGCTTGAAGGGTTCAAGAAGAGACGAAATGCGAATGGGAAGATTCGACAGCGTGGAGGGTGGTAGTACCTCAGTTCACAAGATAAACTAGGCGATGTCAGGGTTGCTGTTGATGATACCAGTCCTATGGTTCCCTAAGTTGCCATGTTAACAGTTAACAATCCTTGAACAACCCAACAAGAAAATGGTGAGAGCACTTACCTAGTGCTAGCGCAGATCCATACAGACGGGTGTCAACGGATGTTGACCTGAATCTCCCCGGAAGACTGCCAAGGACGGCAACCTACCTCGCGTCTGTTGCCGTGCCCTTTGTACGCATAAACATGATCCGTACGGAACATATCGGTATTTCGGTTTGTCTCCTTGTGCATTATCGACGAGAGTATAATAAGTGATGACCAGAAGATGAGCGTATCACCGCCACGTGTGGAAGTGTTTCGTTTCGACAAGGGAAGAGCAGCGGCAGAAGGCTTGGTGGTATTGCCGGTACCACCGGTACTATCGAAGCCATGCCCCGAACCGAAACCGAATGGCAGTTTAAGGTCTCAGTTCCGAAATGAAAAGCAAGGGGGCTACCCTTCCATGAGCATCATATAGACTTGATGCCCCTACCTGTTTTGTCGTTTTCTTCCCCTCCTTACCCCACCATCTTCTACCCAACGTTTGTCTATCGTTCCCAGCGCATGTGCTGCTCACTGCCTGGGTGTGTTTGATCGTCAAGATCGTCGATATCTGTCGTGAACACGGTACCATCAAGAAATTTTCTGAGCCCTACGCTCATGTCGATCAACGCGGTCTTCGCGGTAGCTCTCTGCTAGAGATATAGGGATGCATGTTGCGTGAGATGAGACGATGTGAGCCTTGCAACTTGCAAGACACTCTCCACATAGCGTTGAGACATGCGGCACAGGCGCTGATAGGCAATGGACTGTTTTATCTGTCCAAGTTGTGACTTGTGACACCTGTCAGCATGGATGGGACTACGTGATGAGATCACCTACCTTATCAACCTCCCGAAGTGTTCCAGGAATAATCCGATGACTTGCACTCCCTGAGTAGAAACAGCAGACTTGGTGATTATCAGAGGCCAAATTGGAGGTATGCACTTCCAGATGCTCCGAGAGTTTCGAGCACCGGCAAAGGCGTCATGATAGGTATTCAACCTGCTACCCACTTTCTCTGTGAAAGATGCGGCTCTGGTTGAGTATTCAACCCAACAGCCCAATCCTGCGGTCCCAAGTCGGTTGTCCGGCAACCAAAAAGTCTTGGTAGGTGATTGAGAACCTTGGCAATTTTCCAGCCTTTTCGAAGGTGAGGTAAGAGGGCTTGACGCAGTAATCCATAATCGGTCTTCTCGTACATGGTGGCTTTGGCACACCGCTACGGGGGCGTCACTTCCCCTTCCGTTTGCTGCAGTGTCAGAAGAGAGAAAGAGAAGAAGTAGTGAAGACACATGAGCAAACCGACGCTGGGCGAGGATGAGAAAAAGGAGGCTCTCAAACACCCTGTTCACCCACTGTGTCTGTACCTCTGCCAACTGTGTATCATCCTGCGAGAAACGGTTACATCTGATGCCAAGAACCCGCCATGAGTCCCTAAGTGCACTATGCCGTATCTGAAAAGCCACACAGCGGAATGGGGTTCTTTGAATGGGAAACATGGTTCGTGGAAAGAAAAGCTGATGTGTGTAACTCGGGTGCATGACTGCGGTATCCCTCGGTTGTAGACATGCATCTTTACTGTTGCTGGGATAACAGAGCAGAGGTCAGAAAGCTTCAGCGATAGCTCCTAGAGCTCCCCAGCTTCCATATAAGGTAACCCCGAGATACATCACGCAAGACGGCAAGGGTTCTGGTAGGTCTCGTCCCCGGCTGGTAGGTTGACGAAGGTTGGTAGTGGTGGATGTTTGTCGAAAGACACTGGCGGCGCAACCCCGCGGAACCATTGCAGGCTGCAGCGCCAGTTCATCAGCTCAGGGACAGGCCTGATGAGCGACCAATAATGGGCGCAGATATGAAGTTACGAGAAGCTGCTGATGAGAGAGAATACGGATTGGAGACAAGAAATAATAGCAGGCGGCATGTATCTGTAGTGGGAGAGGGACCAAAGGATGCGGCGAGAGGGGCTTGAAGCAAAAGCCGGATACTTGCCTAGTCGCAGGGAGGCCGCAGGACGTCGAGACCACGATTTGATATGTGGAATGAGACGAGGTGAAAATGCCTCATAGTATAATAACTGAGGAGGAGGTGATGTTTTGAGGTAACGTATCTTGCTGTCTCTAGCCAGCGCGCAATTGCAGACGCATGACACCAAACTACCGAGATGAAGTAGTATGGAGATGGAGAACATGACCAGGTATGGGAATATGCAGTTGGTCAACACAGGAAGGTGAAGGTAGTGAGGAGATAGACTGGTCATCAATAGTTTGCGGCCAATTGATGCCCCTTTTTATCATGGAGTCGATATCAACTCACGATATGTCGGCTCGCTGATGCCATCTTGATCCTAACCAGCATATTAGCATGGGGGAACTTACCCAGGACCTCCGGTGGGGAGGGAGGAAAAAGGAAGTGAAGTGATGTTTCATCACGCCCGCGAGGCCCGCTAATCGGGAGAGCAAAAGCCGAAACCGGGGTACAGGTCGCAAGAAGACTTGCTCCGTAACTGGCCGGAAACCGCCAGATCGTCGGCCTTCTCCTTCTGGCGCTCGGGCACTATCACAGGCCTGAAATGAGATTCGATCGGCCCCGCCTCCGCCCACAACGGCTTCTACGTACATGTACGTGTCGGATCAGCCAGTCGACGAGAAGGGCGAAGGGAAGCGGGCAACCGTAGCAGCCGCAACAATATTTGGATGCCAACCTCGACGGGAAATGGGAGGCCGCCCGCCCGCCAGTCCCAGGTCCACCAAGTGTCCACTGATGGCTCTTGCAGAGTCGCAAAGACAAGACTCTTGGAGAGTTTCATTGAGATGCAGATGACGCGAAGAATGATGCTGCAGAGGATGGAGAACCTGTAGGAGATTAGCTTGGTGTAATATATGGAGCAGTGTGGAAATGCACGAAAAGGCAACAATACACACCGGGTACTATGTCCAACAGTCTATTGACCGTTTCTGGGTATGTTAGCTAGGTATAGAGGTAAGGTATGGTTCTTTTGCCACAGGCTGGACGGATATTGGAAGGCAGACCGCCGGATGTCGACCACAAATGAGAGGGGGATTGGCGAAGATGTCGTTTGATGTGACGGGCAAATAGAAAGTGACCAAGTTAGACAGGGCGTCGGATTTGTAAGACAAGCAGTCCAAACTGGACGAGTCCAGCCGCTTCAATCCTGTTCAGTTCGAAGGCCGTGATTCTGAGCTGAGAGTTTGGGATTGCTTTGTTGGTTTGGTTCCTCTTTCCAAGGACAGAAAGTGTTGCGGTGCATATTTGCGATAGAATGTTCTGGCCTCTCCCTTCGGAAACGAAGAGTTCAGGTTTTTCTGACGAGAGCAAAGTTTTTCTCCCTCCTTCCGTGTTGCATTCAGTAACCCCAACCGTGGAAGGGGCCCTCCAGTATGCCTTCCGCATTGAGAATGCATCGTGAGCAATAAGCTCCATACTGTGGTGCTCTCAAGGGTCGTCGTACCTTCCACTTCTTGTAATTTCATAGCGGCGGATGATGGGTCACTTCCACTCTCAGAAGGAGCGGTGCTCATCCGCTGTTCACCCTCAGATGATGTTTCCTGATCCTCGGTACCTCTACTTGCCATACCCATCCAATAGTAGCCTCAACTTGAAATTCCGATGGGTCGGTGTCGACGAAACCGAACGTTGAGATTCGGAGCATGTCTTCTTTTTGGTGTAGCACGGCAGCACGAGCTTCGATCAGGGATGGAGAGGAGCCCCGTCCCAAACTGCATGATACGTACAGTACCGAGAGTACAAGAGGTACAGCTAATAACAAGCAGAACCTTTCCAAATTCTCACTGACCACCGGCTGCAGAAGAATGATCATCAGCATTCTTGCTGAGTTTCCAGGGACGTTCCAGAACGTGATCGAAAAAAGTAAGAGAAACCGGCATACCTTTGTAAGTGGTATGTTTATTAGGTCCCATGCCCCGCTACCTGTATGGTGGGTAAGTACGAGTTCAATTTCACCGTTCCAATGTTACCGTTACAGATTACGTACGGTGTACATACGTAAAAAGAGATACCCAGATCCACCGTGACACTCTCAGAACTCTGAGCCTCTGTTGAAAGAAGCTGCAAGTCCGATCGATGTATGTACCGCATATTCTCAGAGGATTTGATTTTACTCGTTTTCTGACTAGCCTTCTTACAATAAAGACTAGCCCCCATCTGCAAGCCCGCTATAACCCAGAGGCGCTTCAAGTGGGTACGTGAACGTGGCCATACAAGGGGTACACAGGGGTGCCCAATTCCTTGGCAAAAGAGGGGGTTCTAGAGACCGCCAACTTTCTAATTCCTATTAATTTCATTGTTTTATTCTTTTTATACATTAACTAACAATACTAGCTATAAAAACAACAATATTTTTAGTTCTCCCCTATAAAACTATGCCTCGTATTGACCTTAGGACTATCGATATCATTTATACGTAAAAGTCTATACAATTTATATTACTAATTAGATCTAATTTCGTTTTATAAACGTAATAAAAGATTTTAAAGATATTAAAATTTTTATTATTAACGACGAATATAATATTATTTACCGGCAACCTTCCTCCCCCTGGTTTATATACGTTATTAGTTTATCTCTTAAAAGTGGTAGCTATTATTTTGGTTGGATTCGAAAACGGTGGAGGGATATTATTAAAAAGTATATTTTAAACGAGAATTATTTAGTTAAATACTTTATAAAATCGAAAGGAAGGCGATAGCGAAAATATAATATATAGGGTATTGAGAGAGAGTAGTAAGAAGGTAAGGTATTTATATGGGTAGAAGAGTTTGTCGTTATCAAAGATAAAGACGAAGATTAATATTATTAATCGATTAGAATCGGTACTATTGAGCTTCCTTCTTTAATATTAATATTAACCTCTTCGTCGTTAATCCCTATTTCGACCGTAATGAGAGCGTCTTCGTTAGCTATTATAAGTTTAGCGATTAATTTAACCTTCTTCAACCTATTGAAGCTGAAGATACGTTATTATTTATAGAAGGCCTTTAATTAGGGTACGCTATAACTATCGTAAACTATACTTAATTTGTTAATAGCAGCCTCCCCTTTTAGTCCCAGCTCAGTATAATTATTAATAACCTCGGTATTATCGGTATTTTTAAACCTAAAAAAGTCGATATCCCTCTAATTAATACCTTTTATCCTAATTTTCTAATCTTCTAAACTATTAGGGTAAATAGACAAACTATAATTGACGAAAGATTTAATTACCAAATTACGGTTTTTTTTCTTTAAATAATTAACAGTACGTATAATAATATGTATGAGTATAATCCTTTTTTTGGCTGGGGTCCATTTCTCAAATTCGTTATTAATAATTTATCGTTCTTCTAAATATTTTTTATAGACTTCGAAAAGGTATATTTCAATAGACTGGTTAATATAAGTATCAAAGGGTTATAATAGCGGGGTAAGGCCGCTAGGGATTAGCGTTCAGTTAATACCATATTTATCGAAGGTATTAAACACTTCCTTTATTTTATAAAAACTAGCCGCATCCATAATTAGAAGTACCTTGTTATTTTTACCGCCTACGATTATATTTAATTCTTCGTTGATCCATTTAACTATTAATTTTTCGTTATTGTACGCCGTCCCGTTGAATTCGACCGTTACACTTGGATGGTATACCGCCTTTTCCTCTGCAATATAGTTAGTATAAGTTAGCAAAAGAATAAAAAAAAAATAAAAAAAAAGCATAACTTCTACTTCGTTCCGTTTTTCTTTCTTTTTCCTATAGCCAAGTAGGGAATATATTGTCTACCCGCCTCTACCTATATTATAACCTATTTACCCGTAGGTAGTAAGTAGAGAATACGGTACTAATCTACTCTTCCGTCGGGTTAAAGTCTTACTTTAGATTAATAACTATACTAGCTATAGGGAAAAAGAAAGAAAAAAAGAAAAAAGATAAAAGGAAGGGGAAATTATAGGTTTATAGCACATGGCACTACGCTTATCTACCCGCTTTAATTCGGATTATTACCTATTTGCCCGCGGGCAGTGGGATTAATACGGTATTGGTATCATGGGGCAAGGCGGCGGTTAGGGGGTAGGTTGGATATACGTAATTATATGAGGAGAGGAAGAGGGAGAAGTATAAAGAGGTCTGGCGATATAGGGTAGGGCTGAGCCATACCCAGAGCTAGACCTGCACGTATATATACACGTAATGTACCATTGGCCAATGGCGGCAATAATATAGTACGAGGCTCGACTACCTATAGCGGGAGCCGTATATATATAAAATACAATTATAAATAGTCTTATAACACTACTTCCCTGTAAAAGAAGCTATAGAGCTTTAAAATCTATATATATATAAAATAATCGATTAAACCCCTCAATCCCCGTCTTTAAACTCCTTTATCTGTAATTAAAATTATTACTTAAACTCTCCCGCCTATAACTCCCGCGCTTATAACTCCCGGATTCTCCCTATATCTTTAATTTTATCCGGTCTCTAATTATCATCTCCCTACCAATATATCTCTATTTCTAACTTATCTACCACATTCTTTATAGGGAGCCTCCTTCCCTAATATATCTCTAACAACTTATTAAAAATCTATTTGAAAATATTGTTTATTTTTCTTATATCTTCCGTTAATAATTCTTCTATTAGTTAGCCAGGGTTCTCCTTTATTAATCAGTTAATTAATGGATTAG